AGCGGCTGGCTCAGGATGAGGGTTAAGTCAGTACTGGGTACATTATGTAGGTACGTACTGGGCACCGTGTGTGTGAGTAGGAAACCCTCACGGTCTGCTTGCATGGTTACAGGCAGGGAGTCTGATGTTTTTCATGGCTAATGAATTACCCGCGATTGACTATGTTCTAGCCTGCCGGGCAAAATGGGTTTTTTATAAATAGACCAGCCCGGGGGGCAAATGACTGGATATGCGATCTGACCAGACTGCCGAGTCAGAAAATATTCTGGATAGACCGGTCTCTGCAGATAGTTTTTAACCCGATAGACCGGCCTGCTGGGTGATTTTGGTCGCCTGGCCAATCCACCGGGAATATTTTACGAGTAGACCAGCCTGCCGGACATGCTTTATGTGCATATCCGTGGGCATCACATTTACGGCGATGGATTGAAGTATACTATCAGCAGTCAATAATGTTCTATCGAGTCAATACCTACTCAAATCTTTACACGGCGCTGAGGTGAATCTACAAGTCATCGTCCCCTCAGCCGTGCACTCTTTTTCTCTTTCTCAACACCCGTCCAATGTTTTGCCCAGGAGTTTCCCCTCCAGCTGCCCTGAATATAACCAGTGCTACAGATGACTTTCGTTGTGTTGCTAGTAGGCCGAGCCCTATTCTGGCTGGATGCCGCTTGGGCACCTTGGAGGCGACTGCTGCTTGGGAACCTGAGAGGAGACTGCGGCGGCTTGTTGCGGGTGCTGGTAAAACAGCGGCGACTCGTGGAGTATTCTCAGTTCTGTCCATCAATACTGGAAAGTTCGGAAGAGGCATCTGTAGCTTCTAGTACCATCACAGTAAGGGCGGTGATTATGTGATATGTAAAGGCATGATGCTTGAAGATGTGAAGCCGAATATTAAATGTGTCAAAAGTGATATTTGTCCATTTGTGGTGGCAAGAGAAACGGTTCTTTCATGGTAGCGAGAAAAATATTTTCTTTACTGGCACCCCAAAACGTTTTAGTTACCGAGTAGCGCCGGGAATTTGCGAACAGACTGGCCTCCTCACCAATATGCGAGGAGACCAGTCTGCCCGTATAAATATTCCCCACAGTCCGGTCACTTCGTATATCCAGTCACTTCGGCTGGGGGCCGGTCACTCGGTCTGGTGGCCGGTCACTCGGTCTGGTGGCCGGTCCATTTATAAAATACTAGTTTTGCCCGGCAGGCTAGAACAACTACATACGATCGTATTTTTCGTTCGGCGATGTTATGAACAATCCGAGCGATTCTGCTTCACTGTGTTTCAATCGAACGGTGCTTAAGCCTTGCTCTATACAAGCGAGCTGGTCGGATGGACTGGGGACTGCTGACTGACAAGTTTCCAGGCTCTTCGCACAGCGGCTCACTCGTGTTTCCTCTTTAGGCACTTCTGAAAACAGTAGAGGCACGTGATATTCATCGAGCACACCACGCAAACTGTTTTGATACTACTTCAGTATGTAAGTAATAAATGGCCCTTTTTCTTCGGCCCCGCGACAGGTGCTTTCGTGTCTGCTCCATCGCCCTATCACTACTCTACAGCACTTCCGATTCTCGTGCATGAGTGCTGTGGTTGGGTAAAACCGGGTTGAGGCAGGCATTGTTTTCAGCCTGCCAAGTTGGGGACAGGCCCCCCCTCCCCCAAACATGCGGCAAGCACATCCAATACATACACTACATAAATAATAGCACCCGTCACCGAGTTGTCAATCTGCGACGGTGTATTTAGCAGGGCAAATCTCCCAAGCGAGGGGGCAGGCGATGTGTAATCCAGTAGTCACGCCTTCCTCGCAGTCCAGCAATATATCCGAGTATGTAGTGGTACCGTGGTAGTCGTGCGATTGCTCGCCGCCGCCAGTGCCGTTAGCCGATCAGCGACCGCAGTTGACGGAGATGCTTCTCCTATGTAGGTACATACTATGCTTAATTGCTGCGAAATCACGGTGGTGGTAGCCGTGGTGGTAGTGGGCAATATCTTTGCGACGGATGACCGCGTTGACCGACTACCTACCTGGTTTGTTGAGTGGAGTAGATTTACCAGGGAATAACTACGAGGGATGGAAGCGGAGTCCAGTCGCCAGTCGCCAATGCGGTTGTGACAGCGGCCACACACCTCTCGCTTGTTTGAGGAGACTAAACGGAGGTGAATCGATCACGATCGGAGGCGACGAGACACGCGCTCCTGTCAACTTGTCACGTTCCCGTCTGTATGTACCGTAGCGGCACAGATCGTCGCGCATCAGAACGGCCGCCAGGTATCTACCTCTTTCTGTACTCTAGAGACCCTGGTGCTCGGTAGATCCTGTCACTCATCCCACGCCCACATTGCATCCGATGTCCCATCTCCTTCGCTCCACCCTCCCCCATTCGCTGCTGCACCGCCTTGCCTGGCGAATCTCCGACAACCCCTCCATGTTACTACCATCTGTAACTGCCCCGAGGCGAGGCGCTGCGCAAACTACCGAATCTTCGACATACAGGAGATGAGATGGGATGGATCGGTAGGAGGATTCGCACGACTCCCCACTGAACGCATGTTGACGGCCGCGACCCATAGTAAGATCCCGCCGGTAGAGAGATCCCGCCGCTACCTATCTATGTACTGTGCTGTGCAGAAAACTCGGCGGTTATCGACCTCCGTCGGACGCGGCGGCAGCGGTAATCCCTGCGGGTAAGGCTCCAACCGTACCCACCCACTCGTCGAATACCCTTAATTTGCATCCACACCTACATATCTTCAAAGTTCAGGCGTGAGCTCGCATTCCCGTCGTGTGTTAGCGGCGACGTTCGAAGAATATTCCACGCTCACATATAGTACGGTACATACATTTTACTTATTGGTATACAGGCAGAACCTGTCACCGCCGTGCGATCCACATTCCCAGTCGTGGTCGGGCTGGAAAAACACTTACGCACTTCTCCGAGCGCACCATTCGCGGCCAGTAAACAAAAAATGACCATCGGGGACTTTGTCACGGTTGGCTCACCGGACGGCGGATACCGCCGGCATAATGACGCTACATATCTCGCTTGTTTTTGCTGATGCTGCTGCTGCCGCTGAGTGCTGACATTGCTCCATCGGTCGGCAATGGTGGGTGGGATTGGCCCCGCAACATCACGGACGTATCGGCATCGACGGAACCTCGGCCAGTGGCCGCCGCCGCCGCACTGATTCTCTCACGACGGCCATTGATCGCTGGAAATCAATCGAAGCCATCCTGTACTATAACCAGATCGTCGCCCACCAGTCTGTGCGAGTCTATGCGAGTATGTGCGAGTCTTGCTGTACCTTGTATCTAGTATTCCGCACGCTGACCCTGAAGCCCTGACTGACTGGTACATACATAGTCACCCTTGGCCATGACTCCCCGTTGAGTTAGATGTGTCTCGAACTCGCGTGTCTTCAGGGGAACATGTAAGTGGCGTGTGCGCTGCAGTGACGGGGAGGCCAGGTACGTACTCCCGACTCCCGGTCAATACTAGACTCGGATCCTGACACTGACAGTGACATGCTGGTACAAGCGATCGTTTTTTTCCCGTCACACATCTTCATGGTTCGGATGTAACAGCATGTTCACCATCGACCACCCCCAGCACCCGTGCTGTCGCAGCTGAGAAACCCCCGGTCCCTGCCTTCCCCCCTGCGTCGATGTGTGACAGTGGCGACATAGGAACGCAGCGGATGCCCACATAGCCACGAAACATACCTAGTATTCATGATAGGGTACGACAATCTCGACGCAGTGCACGGCTTCTGGCTCCGCCCTTAAGAACCTACGGAGGCCCCCCGTCACAGCGGCTCATCATGACCGAGATATTGAAGGCTACGACAAAGTGGAGCGACCACGGATTCGCCAACCCGCACCCAACATGATGACACCGGAACAGAACCTCGCCTTCCTAATCTCCATGCAGCTCATCGACGTCGGCATCTGCGTGACGCGCTTCATGCTTCTGCGGCATCACACACGCAATGCGCACGACTGGATCGCGGATACCTCCTTCCTGCTGGCCTTCTCCATCAACTTCTCGCTGCTGTGCTTGATGATGACGCAGGCGCGAGAGGAGCGCCGCGCACTCGACCTGTTGGGCGGCAATCTCACCTTGGTCGCCGCGTACATGTACAAGCCCTACTGGACACGAGTGAGTCCGCCGCCGTCCATCGATCCGCAGAGGAATGCGTGAGCTGACCAACCATCAGATCACCTACGTCATTGGTCTCGGAAATATCGTCGAGTTATGGAGCATGAAGGCCGCCTTCCTTTCCTTCTACTGGGGACTCTTCAATCGCACACAGACACGATTGCGATTTCTCCTCCACATGTGCATCGCCGTTGTTGCGGCCAGTGGCATCGCCGTGATAATAATGTACTTGACGTGGTGTACGCCCATTCAGAACAACTGGTGAGTTTTTTTCTTTTGTTTCTGCCATTCTCCTCCATTTCAGCTTGCTTACACAACATCAGGGCTTCCGATTATGAAGTCTACGTCAAATGCGCCTACCTCAGCAATCGGTTCACTCTAATCCTCCAAAGCGCCCTCAACATCAGCACTGATGTTCTAAGTAAACTACCCCGCCCCTGCTACTATTGAAGTCGGAAACCTCCCTGGGCTGTGCCATCATTGACTGGCACACACCGGCGGTGACAATTATGATGTCCCGAACCAGCCACAGCCATCCGACTTCCTCCCTCCCCTCTTCCGTACTGGATAACAGCTCTAATACAATACGCAGTCCTCCTCCTACCGATCCTCGTCATCTCGCGGCTACTGCTCGAACGGAACGTCCGAATCGCGCTGATATTCGCCTTCCTCCTCGGCGGAGTCGCGCTGGCGGCAACCATCGTGCGCCACATCGTGATGAACAAGATCCTGCACAACGACAGCACGGCGGCCGAGAACTACACCCGGCGCAAGACCGTCGAGGTATGGGGCATCGTCGAGATCTCCGCCGCGATGCTCGCGTTCTGTCTGCCGCTATTCCGGCGGCACCTAGTGCGGATCTTCGGCCCGGGGGGCGTGCTGGGGAGTAGTAAGAACCGCAGTGCGTCTGGTCGGCAGTCGGGGCGGGCGGATGTTACGGTCGGCGGGAGTTCGCGAGGCACCCGCGGGAAGCCCGCGGGTCCGGGGAGGAAGAGGGATTATATGGAGACTGATGTCACGGTCACGCAGTACCTCGGCATGGTCGATGAGGAGCGTCCGCCGGTGCATACGGCGGTGGAACTGCAGGATTGGGCGCGGTCGTCGGCGTCGAGTCAGGAGAGGCTGAAGGGCGCCGATGAGTGCCCCGATGAGGCGCCCGATGGATATACTGAGCTCAGTGCGCCGAGCGTGAATACACTGGGGAGGGCGCTGTAATGATAATGTTTATATCACGTAATTGGCGGAATGGTCACGCGTGACTTTCGTGTGGATGGAAGCCGTGGTAACATCGCCCCTCAGTCGGGGTTTTGAGTCCTTAACTTACCACCACCGGATCGAGACCCCTTTGAGCTCGGCGTGAAGCACTCCAGTTATGTATCCAGTAGTTATTAGAGGCTCGTAGCCAGGGTCCTACATACCTAGTAGAGTAAAGTTGACAGATGAAAGCCGACGGGGCCGGGAGTCCTTCACCATCACATCTCCTTCGGCGAAGGCGGATTCCACGGTGCAGATCGGAACATACACAGACTAGATCAACTTGCATCGTAACTAGCTCTACTACCTAATCATGGACTCGCCGGCTGAGGCTCGAGGCAACTCGGGCGGTGCTTCACACAGCATCACCAGTTTCGCGAGTGACATCGCATGCCTGGACGGTAGCGACAAGCCTCAATAACAACTCAACGGCGATTGAGTTCCACGCACCTCCTGTGTTCCAGTTCTCTCTCTCTCCCCCCCTTTCTCTGTCTCCCCCTTCTTCCTGCTTCGCCCTTCCACACCATCAACCGCACGATAACCCACACTCAATAAGTCGCAAATAAACACAATCGAAGCAGCCACCAGAATCCACTCGACGACCAAAAACATGTGCGATACTATCCCCATCACTACCGCCGCCATCGCTACCGAGGAAATAAAGGTTGACATGGACAAGAAGGGAGGTGCTGAGAAGGAAGTGATGGAAACCGAGGAGGAGGACGCGGAGGAGGACGAGGAGGACGAGGATGAGGACGAGATGGAGATGGACGAGGAGGTAGGGGGAGAGGACCAGGAGGACTAGGACTAGGGTACGCCGGTACGGACGAGGAGGAGGATTGAGGTAGAGGGAGCTGTATGTTTTAATTTTTTTTTTTCAATATTCAATTTATCGCCAATAACTGCATCCCCAATGACTTCTAATTGCATCTTTTCGAGCTCGTCGCGGCGCACCACAGTTATGTACAGACCAGATACTTCCATAGTTATCAATAGTACTGAAAGCCAAGGTATCCCCGAGTCGATTCAAAGCCACCGTGGCCCGGGAGACCTTCATGATCACATCTCCGTCGGCATAAGCCGATGCCAACTACCTAAGATCCACCCGACAGGCATGCTTTTGAGCCAGATGTCCAGTACTCCTCAATGTATGTAGTATGTACATGAAGCGATACTCGAGGCTCGGGACCTTCTCTCTGACCCAGACCCGGTAGCACCTTTTCAAGTCTTGTCGGGGATGGAAAAGTCAGCAAAAGGTACCATGGGCACAGGTCCGGAAGTGGAAAAGGAGGGGCAAGGACCGCTTCAAAATCCGATACCTCTTCACAGACGAGCGGTTTAGCCGGCCTCCAGGCCATCCTAGATCTCCTCTCCTCCGTTGATGTGAGTAGATGGATCCTGGAGGTTGCTGAGAAAGATGTAGCAAGCGAGGTGTCGGAGTGAGAGCTCATATAGCAGGAAGAGAGGGAGGAGCTGTGGTGCCTCAAGGAGGACTCGGGTTGCTGAGGTTGAGAAGCCAGGGTTTCCTCCATCATTCCTTCCCACTGCAACCCCATTCATAGCGTCCCATTCTGAAGAGCCAACAGGCGGCGAGGCGAATGAGGAACTCGCGGCTGAGTAGGGGCGAGTCGACGGAGTGGACGAGTTGTGAAAAAGGGCGGCAAGCCGAAGGAGGGGACGAGTTGTTGCAGCGGACGTGGGAGTCTTTTCCTTGTGTCAATTCTTTGGTGCGCTCTCTTTCTACCGATGGGACATACCAGGGCGGAGGGTGGGTAAAGCCACATCGGGCTGCTCGATGAAAGTGGGGCTGGACAGTGGCGTAGAAACGCGGGGGTGCACGGGTACATAAGGCCATGATCTAGATAGGTCCCATGCAATGACAGACATACCATGGCTTCGTAAGCAACGGCAGTATGTATCGCCACGAATGCTTACCGCGAGTCTCGAGCATCAATCGCCTTGTCCACTCCCAGCCTCAAAAACCTACACTTTTCCATCGCGTTTCTCAAACACCCAGAGCTCCAGATAGTCCACTCCATTGGATTGAATGGACGTGTGTAGTCAGACCGTCCAAGAACTTGCTGCCGCCACGGACTGCAACTTTCTGAAATTTTGGAGTCGAATTATGTGGCTGGCCGATTAGAATTCCACCGAATCGTTTAGAAGCAACATCGTCGCAACTCCTTCAACTCTTCACAATCCTTCCGTTTCAAGACTACTTTCAACAGCTATCAAGAATCAAGATACCTGTATCTGTCACCATCGATTCCTCGTCCACGTCGTGAGAAGAAAATACTACCAAGGCTACAGCTGAGATGATGATCTCACTGCCGGAGGGACTGTACTAGCAAGACCGTAAAATGCACTTGATTTCATCATAACTTTCAGACGATGAGTGAGTGCTGGGTGACGCCGCCAGCATTGGATCGGATAGACGATTCCAAGGAAACACGGCCAACACGACCAGCCCGTCCTAATCCGCGGTTGCTGCGTCAGCAACGAGACAACCATGAGCTGATGTCGTGTTACCACGGAGACCTATAGAATGCCGAGAAATTGAGCTCTGCCGAGCTTTTCCAACACCTCCGAGTCGTCCCTCCATTCAACCCAGCCTACCGGTGCCTTTAACTCTCGTACTCACAACCAACATGACGATGCTTCCTCGGCTTCTCATCACCGTTCTCGTTATCCTCATCACTTCTGCCTTCTCTTCTAAGCTTCCCTCCGCTTTCGTCGAACTCTCCTGCATCGACCGCACGATCCTCCGCGAAATCCGCTACACCACACCGCACAATTTCATCGGCCATCCGATTCCCGGCGTCGTAGACCCGGTCTGCCTCCTCACGCTCCCGGCCGCACATGCACTCTCCGCCGCGCAACGCCTGCTCGTTCCGCAGGGCTACTCTCTGAAAGTCTACGACTGCTACCGGCCCCAGCGTGCAGTGGACGCATTCGTTTCATGGGCCGCGAACCTCTCCGACACGCTGATGCGCGACGAGTTCTATCCGCGAGTCGACAAGGCCCAGCTCTTTGCAGACACGTATATGACGCCAACGTCGGGACACAGCCGCGGCAGCACGGTGGACATCACCATTGTCGCTCTACCTGTCGTTCCGACGCGCGAGTTCATCCCCGGAGAGAAGCTGCTGCACTGCACTGCGCCGAAGGAGCAGAGGTTTCCCGATAACTCGGTGGATATGGGGACGGGATTCGACTGCTTTGATAGGCTGAGCTGGCCGGACGACGAGCGGATCGTGGGGTTGCAGAGGGTCAATAGGGATTTGCTGAGGCGGACGTTGGAGAGTGTGGGGTTCGTAGCGACCGAGACGGAATGGTGGCATTTCACGTACCAGCCCGAAATTTTCCCCGGAACGTTCTTCAATTTCGATGTCACCTGGGAGGCCGTCGAGAAGGTGTGTGCAGAGGGGGGCGGCCGGCGGGATGATGTGTTTCGTGCAAACGAATTGTAGTAGCGTCAATGCCGACGGCAAAAGATGGAGGCAATCCTGTATCCTTAGAAGGCGAATAACCTGATTGGCGTCTGAAGAGCACAAATAAAATCAGACCTCGCATCAACCTTCTATGAGTGATATCCTGTGCCAAGCTGTGTATCTGGGTTGTATTTTCGAATGCCACCACAGAAAAAAGGTAACCGAGGCAACCCGATTAAACACATGTTGCCGTAGTACATTGCACCACTCCAAGTTCATCTTTATCGTGATGATGAGTAGGTTTTTATAGTGTTCCGAAAAATCTTGAGTTTCCATACAACAGTAACTTTGGAACAAAAGGATACAGTAGCAAGAGCGCCTACGTCCGCTGCTCCATCTACGAGAACATGGAGTATTACAAGTGTCACAGCTGCCGATGTGTTGCTAGACTCGCTACCTTTGCTTAGCACATTAGTTCTGATTACTACAGGATGTAATGAGCCCTACGATCACTATGAGCGGTACAACTTGTCTGAATTGTGGGGGTAGGACTGCGGGATAGGATTAAGTAGTATCAGACTTTTCACTAATCACAATTGACAGAGGGACTTTTTTCGGATCTTCAGTGTGACCCTTTCGGGATCGTTCAAATAGAAACACTAGCATAACTCAATACTTCTCTCCGTAAACCTCCATTTATGTCTTATCATCCGCCACCACCTTCTCGTAAACCTCCATCACTCTCTGATCATCCACGATGGTGGGTTGTTCTCCTCCTTCTCATCCTCGTGACTAGCGTACTCCATCAACTCCTCATCAACCGCTTCTTCCCCATCCCCGTGAGCTGGAGGCTCGGTGCATTCCCCAGCTTTCTCCTCATCCTCTGGCTCCGGAGTTGGCGCGGGGCTGGAACTGAGCAGCCTCCGCGCCAAATCCCCCTCCTCCCACTTTGTAGACAACTCCCTTGCCATCTCCTGCAAACCCCTCCCCGAGATCAACCGTCTCCACATCGTTCTCCTCCTTCTCATCCTCGTGCGTAGCGTACCCCATGAACTCCTCATCAACCGCTTCTTCCTCATCCCCGTGGGCAGGGGGCTCAGTGAACTGCTCAACCACCGCTTCCTCATCAACTGCTTCCTCCTCATCCTCTGGGTTCGGGGTTGGCGCGGGGCTGGTAGTGAGCAGCCTCTGCGCAAAATCCCCCTCCTCCCACTTTGCACACAACTCCCTTGCCTTCTCCTACAAGTCCTCCCACTTTGCAGACAACTCCCTTGCAATCTCCTGCAAGTCCTCCGCGGGATCAACCGTCTCCGACAGCGCCTTGACGGGAATCATAATCCCGCTCGGCTGAAAGTCCTTTTCCCGGCCATGGAAAGAATAAACAACCAACTTCAACAGTATGTTGATCAAGTTGGTGCGCCTCTTCCCAATGGCCTCCTTCTCGCTAGGTGCGGGTAGCCTCTGCTCGAGCCGGACTGTACCCGCTCAGGTGCTTGCAGGAAATAGCGGGATCGGTATGTAGGCGGCAGGATTGAATCCGGCTGGTGAGTAGCGGGGACGGGAAGAGGGGTGGGAAATAGCGGGGGTAGAGGTAGGTGGTGGGATGAAGTCCGGCTGGTGAGTAGCGGTGACGGGAAGCGGGGCGGGCCTGGCATGGGGCGAACGTGCATAATAGAGCATCTGTCGTGCCGAAGCGTGTCGGGCCGAATCCTCGTCGATTCGGTTCAGCTGAACCGACAAGTGGTATCCCCGGCCGAGGCCAAGGTCCCACGTCTGCTTCCGAATGTCGCAAAGTATGTGTCGCCAGAGCTTCTTGCACCTGGTCCTTCTGATCCTCCGGCTCCACCGTCTGGGCAGGCTCCTCCCCGCCCTTGTAATCATTAATGGCGACGCCGACCTTGAATAAGCCCGGGCTGTACTCCCCCAGCACCGTCGTCGCGGCCCTGGCAACTATCTCTAGGAAGCACACCTTGGAATTGCTACGCCAGCCAACGTCTATCCTGGCAGAAACAGGCCTATCGCCCGCCGGATCACGCCAAACGGTGCAGTCGATTGGTTAGAGGGGCATATCTGGGAAGTGCTCAAGAGCGCTGTCGAGAGCCTCAATGACCGGGCATCTGTCGTGCCGAAGCGTGTCGGCCGCGAACGACGATCTGGTTGAACGATAGCTTCCTCTTCGGGCCATTGGTACAACAGATATTCAGGATGGTGGGTGTGAAGGTGGAGGGTGGATGAGCAGGTGGTGATGGTGGATGAGAAGGTGCTTTCTTGCTAATCTGCGGAGGATATCGTCAGCTTGGCGACCCTGAGCCTCGGCCGGTATATGGGACAGAGATCTTACGGTCTTCAGTTGAGGTGGTTCGGTTTCGATTGAGCCTTCTAGTAGGTATGTTAGTTGATGGTGAAGACATCTCGATTCGATTGTGGTAAACCGTACCTTCACGACAGCTGAGTCCCAGTAGCCTGTGGTTCTTTGGTTGAGGAGGTTCAATCTCGATTGAGCCTACTAGAGGAATGTTAGTTGATGGTGAGGACTTCTCAATTTGATTGTGGTACTTACACAACAGCGGAGTCCCATCAGACTGTTTAGGAACTCGAGCGATCGTTGTTGGGGGAAACATGAGTCATACATGGTGTAGTGGTATAGGAATCATCGATTGATGTTTGTTGGGGAAGAAATGAGAAGTTGATTGCGTTGTAGTAAGACCCAATGATGGGAAAGGCACACTTGATGAAAGCAAGCGGTCCTAGACTGAGAAAAGTAACAAGCAAAGGAAATGAGATGATGAACGATACAGACTTCCAGAAAAGTGCGGCCCCCCGCGGATTAAATAGAACGAGTCGGCCAATTTTCGCCGACCGGACTAGACCATGTCGAGCGTGATATCAACTTTCACCAACACCGCATCGTCGCACCACCGCCGAGAACAACAAAAGCGATCAAAACAAAACAGAATCAACCAGAAAAACAAAGCAGGTCCCCCCTGCAGCCCCAGGATCGACAGCCGGTCCCAACGTCTTAACAACGAATCCTCCCAACGTCCGCCGCCAAGGGTCGACGAATGCTACCACGACGTCAGTAGCCACCATGCAAAAGTGAGCTGGGGCTGCGGTGGGGTGGATCGCAGGTGGCTGGTTTACCGCTATGATATGCCGTCTTGTGCACACTGGCTTGAGTGGGACCGCGCTCTGGGGAGGAGGGAGGGTATGCTCATGCATATGATCAATCCAACGCTTGTATTCCAATGGTGAGCAAGATTTTGTGAACATGGGATACCTAAATTGGCGAACGGCGTACCATTGCAGAAGGGAATATTGCAAATAAACAGGAGGCCAGCTGTATTCTCCATCTCAGCACACTATGCTCGGGTATCATAACTACATATAACACCCCCGGCCGCCATTGTCCTTCTCTCTAGACATCACGAGATGTCCCCTCCGTAATTCTCAGATGTGGAGAAACTGGCTGCGGTAGATTGGCGGATACGAGTGCTACTATGGTAGCCACCACTTGAAACTCTAAGGCCACAAGTTTCTTTCTGACACCACGTAGTGTTGGTTTTTTATCAATGGTGGATGTCCGGAGCAGTTGTCCGGAGATCATGTACCAAAGGATGATCTTGTTACCACAGTACGCGCTCAGTGACCGAGCGCCCCTGGCTGCTGCTTCGATAGGGGTCCTTCACGATATGTATGGAGTCTTGTATATAGAGGAGACTGGCCGCCTCGAGTCGTAGCCAGCTCTACTGGTACTAATCATGGACTTGCCGGCTGCGCCTCGAGGCGGCGGTACTATACGCAACATGCGTTCCCCTACAAATCAAACTGTTGATATCTCCGTACTGGAGGTTGTGTACGGAATCAAAGCTGTCGTAATTACCAGCTGGCTCCGTGGTTCTCGGGCGGCGCTTCACACGTCATTAGGCGAGGGGCGAGTGACACCGTATGCCTCGGTGGCAGCGACAAGCCTCGATAACGACTCTCAACGGCGATTGAGTTCCAACCACCTCGTAATTTCTCTCGTTTCTCTGCAGAAGCTTGGTCCTCCCCGCTTCTTTTGGAGTCTCTCTCTCCCTTCTTCCTCTCACACTATCGATCGGACGATAACCCCCCACCGCTCCCCTCTACAAGTTGCAACTAAAAGCCATTCGTGCTCAGTGTTGCAGGGCGATGGGAGAGCTGTCGGCGAAAGGAGGCAGCATGACGAGGACGTGGCTGCGGGAGGAGGCGAATGGGGTGGGTAGGCAGCACCAGCCTTGGGGGGTCCAGCATTTGGGGGTCCAGCGTTGGGGGGTCGGCCAGTTGTGCCGTATGCTCACTACGCCGTCTGCTTCTGCGTCTGCTTCTGCTTCTTCTTTTTTCTTTTCATCATCATCATCATTGTCATCATTGTCATCCAATTAGACGATCAACCCTCACATTTTCTCTTTTCGTCGGTGTGTGCTTTTTTCTAGATCCATCCTCCGGCCGGGAGGATTTTTGGCCAACGAACCGCTCGCAAAACCACCACCATAAATCACTCAGAGACGGAAATTATGGCTGCCACTACTAACACTCCTTCTTTCAAGACTATCACCCCCGCCTCCAAGAACAAGACCCTCGAGGCCCTTACCGAGTACCTCGACATTTCAGCCTTCCCAGCCGAACTCGCCGCCAGTTTCACGATTGAAGATGCCGCCGACGAGAAGATGAAGGCTACGAGAACTACGAGAGAGGTGGAGAGGAAAAGGAGTTGATGGAAGGCAAGGAGGAGATTGAAGAGAAGGGAGATGAGAACTACGAGGGAGACGGAGAGGAGCAGGAGGATATGGAAGGCAAGGAGGAGGCGGAAGAGGCATAGGGCTGAGGGAGTATTCTTTCTCTCTTGCAGTTTTATCATCAATAGCTGCATCCCCAATACCTTCGTATCCTTCCCTTTCGAGCTCGTCGCGATGCCGCGACAGCTACGTAGTACCGAATAGTTATCGTAGGCTCGCAGCCAGGCTCCGGCGGGGCCACAATCGAGCAAAAAAAACACATTCATCACTCTCTCGATGCTATTTCAGCACTTCTTCCTACTTATGGAGAGAACTCGAGAGTCGAGAATGTGGGCACGTGCGAGAGGCTCGGATGAGGCGAAGAATGGTGTTTGTGGGGTGGCCAAGGCGGAAGCAGAAATGAGGTTAGGGATGTCGAGTGCAACTTACGGCATCCATCAAAGAGGAGCGTCTCTCGCTAACCTTTCTTCACCCCAGATCTTCAGGCTGTCATTCCGTCGGACATCACCCATCCCCTTGCGATGCTGGGTATAGTCGCTCTCGGCGCCACTAATCGTACTTTCTAAGGCTGATCGACCAAAACACCAGGCTTGGTCAAGTTGTGAAATAATTCCAACCACGAACGCCCGATAAACGGATTGGTAGTTGGTACATCACACCTCCTTGAGATCTGATTCTCTGGAACTCCACATGTAAGAGAAGAATTGGGGGAATGGATGATTTGGCTGCCGAGTGCGGGGGGCAAGTTGGGCTTGTGTGTAGTACTCCTTGTGGAACTCGAGCAAAAAGAGCGGCGGACGGGCCACTGCACGCCTCGACTCGACACTGCCGGTGTCGTCTAAGCCAATAAACAAGACTTGCACAGCTACCCTACCGCTACTCCAGACCTCTCCTATCATACCTCCTACACATACCATCCGATTCATCAATCGCACCGCCGTCCTCTCCCCACTTGCAGAGATGAGGCTCGAAGCCGGATCTCGGAAATCCTCGCCCTGCAAGCACTGGAGCAAATGAGAAACGTCGAACCATTTACGTCGGGTATGCAGGAAGACGTGGCCGACACATGCATGTTTGCACAGTTGGCTGATCTCAATAGGCCCGCCATCGACAATACGAGGTTAGTAGTGGTCAGGAGTTAGGACATGTTCCACAGCCAGCTGCCTACGGCCGCTAAAACGGGAGGGGCGGAAAGCTGTCCGCGGATTCAATGACTGGTACTTTACATTCTTCGATTACAGAGTCGCTCAGCTTTCGATCTCGCACGGCGGGGAGTGAACCATAAAGGAGCCGATACGCCGCATGGTCCCATCCCACACCTCCTTCTTTGACGCAACCCAGCCATCGAACAACCAAACCATCAACAAATTCACTTCTCTAAGAACGACGGTAAGGCCTCGCGGGCTCACTGCCGACTTATTCTGTGTCGCTGACCAACCACCCGCTCTCTAGTTCCGATGTGGGCCTTCGTAACTGCCATCGCAAGGATTGCCATTCCACCTATCGTCCAGGCCGTCGCGAGCCTCTTCATGAAGCCACCGGACTCACAGAACCAAACGATGGGGCAGATTCAAGCGAGAATCCAAGAAGAAGATCGCGAGAGTTGCGAGTCGAATGCTCGTCGTCGGCAGGAGCAGCACAAAGAGAATCTGGCTGCGGTCCGGATGATGGAAGAGCGGTTGGCGAAGATGGAAGCGGATGCTCGACAGAGCGAGAGGGACACGCGTGCTGCTCGGGAGCGAGTGCAGGCGGCGGAAGAGGAGAGTCGAAGAATAGAAACGGAGGTCCGGGAGGCCCGGGAGGCCCGGGAGAGAGCACACACGGCAGAGTTGGCGAGGATGGAAGAGAACGTTAGGCGGAACGAGAAGGAGATGCTGGCGGCCAAAGAGCGGGCACAGGCTGCGGAAGAGGAGGTTCAGGGGAAGGAAAGGCAGGCACAGGAAGCTCAGGAGCGGGCGCACGCTGCGGAAGAGGCTGCTTTCAAGCAGCAGGAAAATTCAAAGGTTGCCGCGGCCAAGGCGAAGCGCGAAGCGAAAGAATTGAAGAGGAGGTTTGAAGAGACCAAAGAAAACCTCAAAAATGGGATTCAGCCGGAGGTTTGGCCGACGAAGAAGGAGTTGGAGGACGCCAAGATCAGGCTTGGATACCGGGACGACCGTCTACACTTTGCCGTCAGCGGCCCGTCCGGCTCGGGGAAGAGTTCTCTGATCAACGCATTCCGAGGCCTGACCAAGAAGAGCCCCCATGCAGCGCCAGTGGGAATCGTCGAAACCACCTCCATCATCACAAGATACCCCGACAATCGCCAAGAGATGCCATACCAGCGGTTCGTATGGTACGATGTGCCGGGTGCCGGCACCATCAATATACCAAGTTGGCAGTACTTCAACACGCAAGGACTCTTCATCTTTGACTTCATTATCCTGGTGTACGATGCTGTAAGTCACTGTTTCGTCACATCCAACCACTTTTTTTCTTTCTTTTCTAACCCCTCGCCCGTACAGCGGTTCACTCAAATCGACGCCGACATCCTCGAAAACTGCCGCAGGTTCAACATTCCGGCATTCATTGTCCGCTCCAAGGCCAACCAGCACATCCGCAACATGATGGACGAAGACGATGACCTTGAGCTCGCCGAAGCACGCGAGATGTTCATCAAGGAGACCAGACAGAACCTCGCATCCAACCTCGAGAAACGCCAACTCAGTGACGCCAACACCCGCTGCTACATCGTCTCAAGCAACACTCTTTACGACCTGATCAGAAGTGCAAGGGCTACCGGCGACGCAGGGGCATCGGCAAGAAAGACGAGGACGGATGAGTACATCGATGAGGAGCAGTTACTCGTCGATATCCTCGACACGGCTGTCAAACGGCGTTACACTTCCGCCACCTAGACTACTGCCCATGTCGAGGCAAAAGGGGAAACCGCCACTGCTACCGCCGTGGGAGGGACTAGTTGGTTCGAGGTTTTGGCTCGGTCGTTCTTGGGGACGTTCCAAATTCCAAGATACTAAATCGCTAAGCAGGTATGACTGTATCCAGTTGTGGAGTCCGGAAGACTTGCTTTCTTCTGTTATTTTAATGTGATATCTTCGGGGGAGAGATGCTGATCACTACCTACTTACGTACGTGAGGTGGTTCTTTCAATTACCGGTGTTCATTCAAGCCTTCTCATCTTCTAGGTAGTCTCTCGAAAACAAAATTATCGTCGTCTATGAATGCAACTGTTCACGCCGGCCCATTCCGCATGTTCCCTGTGCGGCCCAGTGTGGTGAAGTGAACGCTGAGGCGCAATGGGCAAGTGTGCATAATACTATCACATTTGGAGAGGGGAAGCAACTTGCAAGCGAGTGGAGAAGTGCGGTGCGGAAGTCTGCTGCAGCTTCATTCAAAGTATTACGCACTGCCCTGTACGTCTCCGCTGGAATGGTACGTCCGATGATGATAGTGATGATGATAGTGATGATGATGATGGTGATACATGAAGTTCTGCAGGCCTGCGGTGGGATCCTTTCGAGTTTCGGCCAAAAAATTGCGGCGGCTGGTCTAGAGGCTAGATCATTTCCGGTCGACAAACCTCACGCGGATCGCTGCCGAGAAAAGTGTAGATTTAGATAAAGTCCCGCTCCGTATCTAGACAGCTCTTAGTAACTTACTGTGATGACTAAAATTTGAATCGGAGCACAATTCTCCCTGTCCAGAGTCCACAGACCGACGGCCCTTTTCCAAGTCACCAAAGCCATCTAGAAGGCTAGAATTTAATTCGCTGCGGACGGCCATCACGGGGACTACGACAGTGGAGTTCGGTAGCCAATTCATTGGCTGCGCATTGCCTTAAGCCTCACTCCCGTCTCAATATTCCAGCAGCCGCCCCAGCCCTTCTAACTTCCATCACCCGCAAACACGAAGCCTGAAACAAAGGTGCCTAGCCCATCTGTATGCACAACTCATCACTCGCGCCAATAAGAAAGACCCTTTAGGTATCCCCGTGCAGATTTACCTGCAGGAGGAATGCAAACATGGTCTACATACTGTCGCCGGTCGCCGAAAGCAGATGTTATGACCCCACTTTGTTGTTCTTGCGGTGGGACCAGTGGATGAGTAGCAGATTATGTACTTAGTACTTGGCCGTCCACTCATCCCGCACATCCCCTCATCGACGCAATCCATCCGCCAGGCAAACAAACAAATAAACACTCAGATCATAGCAATCAATCACTTCGTCACCAAGACTCTCCACCGTAAGACCCCCGCTTTCAGCCCACACAGCCGGCACCGCACCACACCGCGGTGTGCACCCAGGCACGGTATCGCTAACCTATCTGCCGTTATCAGTTCAATCATCGATGGGCGGTGTAGTATCCGCGGTCGCTTCGGCGGTCGTCCGAGCATTCGCCGGGATCTTCACTGGGACACCGGACGCGCAGAACCCGACCGTGAACGCGATCGAAGCATACCACCACCACCAGGACGAGGAGCGGCGGCAGCGTGTAGAAGAAGCCTACCGGCTGCGGCGTGATGAGGAGGAAGACCGTCGGATGAGGGAGCACGAGGAGAGACGGCGGAGGGAAGACGACGAAGACCGTGAGCGCCGCTGGCGCGAGGATGAAGAGCGTCGTTTGCGCGACGAGGAAGATCAGAGAGTGAGAGACGACCATGAGCGAATGATGCGCGAGGAACGGGATCGGGTTACTCGCGAGATGGAGGAGATTGCAGCAAGCATCAGGCAACAGCAGGACGAGATCAGGGCGCAAGAGGGGGCGGCTAAGATGAAGGAAGAGGAGGTCGCGAGGATGGAGAATGCAGTGGCGGCGATGGTAGTGGAGACGCGGGAAGCAAATGAGCGCGCACGAGCGGCGGAAGAGGCCTCTGTCCAGCGGGGAAAGGAGGCGATGGCAGTTGCGGCCGAGGCACGACGCAAAGAGAACGAGGCCGTTCGGAGACAGGAGCAGTTCAGGCTTAAGGAGGAGACCAGGAGACATCAGGAGGATGAGCAGAGAGCTGTACTGCAGGAGCAACTTGAGGCGGCCACAGAAAACCTCAAGAAAGGAATTCAGCCGGTGGTCTGGCCGACGAGGCAGCAATTGAACGAAGCCAAGGTCAAATTCGGTTACCGAAAAGATATGTTGCACTTTGCCGTCAGCGGGCCCTCCGGCTCGGGGAAGAGTTCTCTGATCAACGCCTTTCGAGGTCTGAAGACCAAGAGCCATGACGCAGCACCAGTAGGAATCGTCGAAACGACAACCACCATCACGCGATACCCGGATGCTCGCCAGGAGATGCCATACCAGCGGTTCGTATGGTACGATGTTCCGGGGGCCGGCACCATCGATATGCCCAGTTGGCAGTACTTCAACCAGCAAGGACTATTTGTCTTTGACTTCATAATTCTGGTATACGATGCTGTAAGTTACTTATTCCATTATCTGTCGTCCGGAGTCCTAACCCTTGCCTACAGCGTTTCACCGAGATCGACGCCGACATCCTCGAAAACTGTCGCAGATTCCGGATTCCCGCCTTCATCGTCCGCTCCAAGGCCAATCAGCACATCCTAAACATGCTATACGAAGACGACGACCTGACATTCCTGGAAGCACGCGAGAAATACATCGAGGAAACCCGCCAGAATCTCGCATCGAACCTGAAGAAACGCAACCTCCACGACGTCAATACGCGCTGCTATATTGTCTCGAATAGCAGTTTGTACGATTTGGTCAAGGCTGCCGAAACTGCTGACGACTCCGGCAAACCGCCAGCACGAAAGAAGAATCAGGACGCCTACATCGACGAGGAACAACTGCTTGTGGATCTGCTCGACGCCGCCGTCAAGCGCCGGTACCATTCCGCAAATAAGACGAGGGACTCGCGCTCGCACGTCGCTGTCAGACAGACGCTCACCGCAGCTACCGCCGCAGTTGGCGAGCTTGCCTCGTCCGTGTCGAAGCTCGGGCTCGGAACGTCTTCGGGTTCTTCTACGGTAAAATAGCTCTCTTGACTTGCTATTTTTGGGGGCTTTGGATTTGGGGAATCAGTTTGATCTGTTATCATTTTTAATATTTTGATGGTCTATGGTGGTTGGTCGGTACGGGATGCGGGTTAAGTCAATGTCTACTGATTTTACATTCCATAGTTTATTTAATTATCACCGCTTACTGTGATGTTGGTCGCTCGTCAGGCTTGAACATACCTATGCGGGTTTCGGTAGAAGAGGTAATCCCGATGGCTAGAGCGACAGTCGTCTCGATATCTAGCGAACCGGGCCAGTCTTCGCTCTCTGGCCAAACCCAAGGCCATCCCGGATCCCCAGGCGCATACAGATAACTACGTTTCTTCTTACTGGCGACAACTCTGCAGCAAGCTATACGGCCTAGGCAGCCATACCCACCTGTAGATCAGGCAGCAGGACTTCCTGGCGTGGGGCCACCAGAGTATCGTATCACACAATGAAAAGGTACCGTACTTCATCAGCCGTACTGTCTTCTCCTCTCGAGTCCCAGACTGTCAGCTAACAGCTGTAGCCTGTAGCATGTAAGCCTAACCACGAGGCCCGCACTCGAACCAATAATACGTACCGAACCCCGCTTCACGTATGCGCTTGCGAAATCGTCGCGACCCGCGAACACGATCTGCGCAGAGCCGCTGGTCGCCGGTCGCCAAGCTGGGATGGAGGAATGCAGCCTGCATGCCGTGATCAAGACCCCCGCTCTATCGTCCCTCACGACGCAGCTATCCGTCGGATGGTTTTTCGGTTCGTCATTTATAGCATGCAACCTACCGGCCGTACCCAGATCATGACAATCAGTGCACTGTACATACAACTGTCCCGACTGCGGTCTCGGTGCTGCGCTCGCTGCAGAACCGGATCGTTGCATGTCCGCCGCCTGGGCTTTCCAAAGAAAGGTGTCCATTGGATGGATGGTTTCTATTGGATGAAATCTTCGGAGTCCTCAAACGCTATCCGCCGAGTGACAGATGACAACCCCGATTACATGAATAACACTATTGAGCGAGTGATCGAGAATGACACCAGCTCGGACGACATACCTAGTGCAAATTGCACCCCTTTTCGCTCTATACGTCTCGTTGCCCGGCTCTCAGTGTGGACGTCCTCGGCCTCTGTGTGTAGCAGCTTGGTCAGGAGGAAAGTCATACGACACATCGCACTTGAAAACAATCGAGATTTGAGGGAGGATGAAACGAGGCTTGGGCGCGAGGAAACAGAAAATTATCTGTGTGCGAGCGGTCAGGAAAGAAGGAGGCGACGGAAACAAAGATTCGGATCCGCTCGTAAGATGGAAGAGGCGCGAAGATGCACGCGGAAGTGGCGTGCTAGAAGTGACGATCAAGCTGGAGGCTGGAGCTGAAGTCGGGCTGGAAATGCAGCAATGACTAGGCGACGCCCGAAGGCTGCGGAGGCTCTGGGGATACAGGCGCAGGCACGAAGTGCGGTGGCGGCCGCTATTCGGCAGGAGGAAGAGGCGAGCGAGCGGTTGGTGGACAAAGCCAAACGGAAACTCGGGCAGCACAAAGTGGGAGAGCAGGCCCCAGGGCAGGATACTCCTGGAGGTCAAGAAGGGAGCCAGAAAGCAGCAGCGCTTTGAACAGACCAGGATCGGCCTAGGAAAAGGAGTTCTTCTGGTCGTTTGGCGGATGGCAAACGAATACGAGGGAGCCAAAACCAGGCTCGCGTACCGTATAGTGATGACCGGTTACACTTCGCTATCAGCGGTCCTGCCAACTGGGGAAGACCTTTTTGATCAACGTATTGCAAGGTGGAGAGGAGAGGAGACGAGCTCTCAAGCAGCGGAAATAGATATTGCCGAATCGTCACCCGCCATCACGCGATATCTCGATGCTCGCTAGGGGATGCCCTAGCAACAGAGTGCATGGTACGATATTGCGAATGCAGGCACCTACGATATACCAGGTTTGCACTACCTATTTCAACCGGCAAGGTCTATTCTAGTACGTCTTCTTCTTTGATTCCATCCTTCCACTATATGAATCTATAAGTGACCCGCTACGATATTGGTGCAGCGTACTCTAAGTCTCTAACGCCTACCTCTGCAGCAGGCTCAAAGTTCATGCGTTTCTTGTCCGCACCGATGCCGAACAGCACATCCAGAGCATGATGATGAGAAACCGCAGCTTTACGTACTTAGCAGCCGGCGAAGACGACGACTACATCGAAGCCCCCATAGAGGACTTTCTTATACTATTTTTGCTCACGAATATCAAAATAACCGTCACCTTTCATAAAGCCTCGCAAGCAACCTCACGAAACGGAATGTCGACAACGCCTACCTATTCTCGCTGCCACATCGGATCGGACACGATTCCGAGCTCACGGCAAACCCACCGAGTCGAGATCACCCCCGACGGCGCGGTGTTGCTGCCGGGAAAGGATCCCTCGGATTGCATGGACGAAGTTCACGGTGTCACCTGCTGAGTCGGCGGTCTCGAATCTCGTCCTTGCTATGTACGACCAAGCGGCAACGCGGCTTCGAGATGAACCTGGCGGCTTTGACCGCGGCAGTGCAGGACTCGACTCTCGAGCAGCTTCCACGAAGAGCTTGGGAGCCATTGCTTGCTATTTTGGCTTTGAATGCGTGGTGTGGATTCGAGGGTTGGTCGGCTGTGACCGCGGCAGTGCGAAAGACGTCGTCGTAGCCTCGTAGGCGCGCATGTCGATGCTTGGACTCGGGCGTTTGTTCGTTTGTTCGTCGCGGTTTCGAAGGTGGAATAGACTGTCTGTCTGTCTGTCTGTCAGCATGTTGCTCAGCTCGAACCGTTACACCGCCGAGCACCTATACGATACCTGTGATGTCTTCCATTCTTTTCCTCATATTTCGTCGGTACGATACCGTACGTTACGGCCTGTATATCTTTCTTTGGTGACTTTATTCTCTGTGGTGTATTTGCAAGTATGTAAAATGCAAGTACGTATCACCACCGAGAGATTTCTACCGTGAATGGTGAAATGGCCAGTTGCCGGAATCCGTGCCGTGCCGGTTAGACGAATCGCCGTAACACCGTTTCGAGCGGCCCCACACGGCCGCTAGTGAGTGTTGCACTGTTGCTGAGCCCCACGCCCGCAAAACCAACCGGCCGAGTACGTAGACACATACACATTATTATTAACAACACAACGACCGAAAGACGGAAAGACGGACAGACAGATACTTGACAGACGGACAGACAGCGCAACTTCTATGTAGGTACTTATGTAACAAAGTACGAAAATTATATGTAGATAACTCCCCCAACCCAACCCAACCGACCGACCGGCAGCTAGACCCGCTGATTACAGTATGATAAATAAACAAGCCGCAAACCCCCCAATTCTAGTTATCGCTACAATCCGACCGCAAGTCCGAGAAGAACCGCTGCCATGCCACACAGTAGGCTGGCGCCTAGGGTGCCCGCTCCACTATCCTGCTCGGCCGGTGTGATGGTGACATGGAAGTTCATGTCGCTGCTGGGATTGGCGCAGCTGGAATTGTAGCAGGGGGTGTCGAGCGTGGGGTCGCTGAGGCCGCCGGGGTAGACAGTCGCTGAGGCTGAGGCTGACGGGGTCTCGGCCGGCACGGAAGGCGTGGGAGAAAAGGAGGGGGTGCTGAAGGACACTGTTGAGTTGTAGTGCGCGCTGGTGTAGGTGCGTGTCGAGAAGGTGGTGGGCTTTGCCGACTTGGACTTGGACTGCGACGCGGGCTTGAACGACGTTTTGGTGGCGCTCTGCGAGTGAGAGAGTGTGCTGTTGGAGTGCGTGGTCGAGTTGAGGTACGCCGAGGGGCCGGCGCTGTACCACGTCAACGAGGGAATATCGCTCGCGGGATATGTTGCTTGCGAGGAGGGGTTCGCGGAGGCAGTGAGTGTGGTGGTGTAGCTCACGGAAACCGATACAGTCTTGTAGACCGTGACCGGGACCGATGTCTCGGGTTTGGGCAGATCCGAGCCCGTGTATGTGCTCGACGTCGGGATTGGCGTCGACAGTGGTGTTTCTACTGCTGATGCGTAGCCCGCGAGAGTCGTGGTGGCGTAGGCCGCAGCGATATCGACGATCGCATTGTTCGGGGGAGGAACAACTACTGCCTCCGCAACCGATATTATCGCGGCGTCCGGTGGTCCTTCAACGACGGTGGCGGCTGCTACGGCGCACAGCAGAGAGAATAGGGCGAACGAGCGCATTGTAGGCTTTTAGTATGTATAATACTGTTCGTTTCGAGGGATTTTGGTGAGAATATGGTTTTTCCGGTGATCCGAGGGACAGGTTGGTGAGAATATAGTTTCCGGTGTTCCGTCGGATTACTGATACTGATACTGATTCGGGCAAAAGAATGGACGCAGGCGTAGAAGGCCGGCAAGATCAAGACTGACGATGGAAGAGTGAACGATTCCAGAAGGCTTCGAAAGCGTAAGAAAAAAGGGAGGTGGCCAGCGCGCACCACCACTCCCCAATAAATACACCCGCCATCCTTCCATCGATCCATCCCGTCACAAGGGAGCGGCTCTTCCCGCTGCTGCAGGCCCTACAGAACCATCAGATCATGCAAGCTGTTGATTGTTGTGGCTGCGTATAAATGCCCTATACAGCAGGAGCGCAGCTTATTTGTGGACAAGCGAGTGCCAGTAAGAAGCATCGAAGCCCCTGTCGAAGGGCCTGAATGTGTGTTGTTAGTGGCCCGTCCGTGCGACCCAGCATTTCCGCTGGTTGCCGCGCGCCCAATCGTCGACATCGCACGTGCATGCGTGTGCATATGCGAGGTGCAATAATTGCGAAGAAAATTCTCGCTGGCAGCCGGAAGGCTGGAATCGGAGGCTGAAACTTATCGACGGGCTGGGCCGCTGGGGTAATCCAACCCCCAGAGTCGAGAACTTGCGCTTCAGTCTCAGCGGGGGAGAAATTCGTATCATACTCACCGGTATGTAGAATACTCGGATGGGATCGCACGGCCAATCCACCGAAAACCTACGGTCACGTGACATGGCACCGGCTGAAGACCGCTGGGCCCAGAGAAAGTCCGCAAGTGGCAACTGATGTTTATCCGCAAGACCACAGCACGGCGCGATGATTGGCCGCAGCGGAAATCGCCTGTCTGTGCGGTCGGTCAGAGGAAGTTAATAGCAGTCCTGCAGATAATTAAGCCGGTCCCGGGTATTATATCGTAGGCAAATGTGAGATTGGACAAGTCACCAAGGCCCGAGGGCGGCGTTTGGGAGAATTACTGCGGCGGCGGGGCGGGGAAGTGGGACGATATCAGTTACGAGTCCACCACTGCACCAGCTTCATGTCAAGGTTCGTGTCCGAGCGCTTGGCTACCTATTGGATTGCCGCTGCATGCGGTAAAGTGGTGCATACTTCCTTTCCGTTTCAAACACGCCATCTATTTCTCTTGGTTTAATCACCATATAGGTCATTCGACCTTGGTAGATCATGGCAGGGTAGTGTACAAATGCCATTTCCTACCGGTTCAAGGTGTGGCTTCTTTACTCTCCGCCCAGCTCCTCTTCGAGTGCACCAACGAAATTACATAGAGGTAGAGAAGCACCGCAGAAAGCACAAGTAGATAAACACACGCAGCTGTCACGCTCATTCTAGCTGCAGCGCCAGCCATGCCATCCAACAGTGTCTTCGCTGCATGTGTTGATGCGGTGATGTGGCGAGACGCGAGTGAGCCGTCGTGAAACGATGAAATAGCAATTTGGCTTCTGGGGACCTGATGCGAGTACCTATTGTGCGAACAGTTGTTGCAGACTCAGTTTGTGAGCTTGGAGCTTCCAAGGGCTCGCTTTGATTCGTGAAGTTTCAGTCTGGGGGTAAATGAGTGATGGCAATTGAGTGGGTGTCAGCGCGAATCACTATTGCTCGCTTGGGTATTGGGATCCAGTTGTTTGATTTCTGATCAATCATCAGGTTAGCAAGATCACTATGAATCCCTGCAGTGCTGACATTCGATTGATCATTGGGCACTGGCTACTGGCTACCTAGGCATGTGATATCAGGTGGCTAGGCCGTATAATGCTGCGATTTCGTCGCTTGAAGGTATTGCTCGCGTGGCGACGTCTGTCACTGTCTGTGGAGTAGGAACACACCATAGTAGTATAAATAAGGGTGTAGATGCACCGGTAAACTTCACTGAACCACCACGTTGGCTCTGCCGGTGACAGTTCAGTGGGATAGGGGCCATGAATTCATGGTTTCGGCCCGATCTTTGGTCAGACTCGGTCACTCGGCACCTTAAGAGCAACGAAAATTCATTCTCCCTCGAGTTCACAGACCTCGGGTGCAACCCCACCGGCTGGCCTGGCTTCCAAATATACGAATCTCCTGCTGCGAGGACTACATACAAACTCAAGCAACAATTGACCGTCATATGGTAGAATGTCATCCACAAAGCGATGGTAATCTTGAAGAGAGAGTACAGTCACACCACCGGAAGTACTACGGGCAAGAGAGAGAGAGAGATAGAGAGAGATCTTCAATTTATTTTGCATGCAGCCTATCTAGACAATGGCGAACCGTCGCACTCTTCTCCTGCCCACTGCGGCTGGCCGGAAGTGTTGAGGGTGCCATGTCGGGCATAAACCGGCCTGCTATCCTACCCAGGAACACCATGAAAATAAGAGGAAAAGAAAAAGACATCATAAGTAGTTGAGAAGTCATGAATATCCCAGATACGGCAGCTCGATAAAACCATAACCATCGCATCACGTTGCAGTAGAAGGTGAAGACCCGCCGTGCATAACCTCCGGCACGGAGGAAGCGATTTCTTCCATTGTAGTGGCGGATGATCTAATAGTGATGTGCGCGGACTCGCTATATCGCCGTTGAATCCCCGTCTTGAGGAGATCGGCGAGCAATTGCTCCTCATCTATGTACACTTCCTTGCTTCTCTTTCGGGCCGGCGGGACGTTGTTTGTTGTCTCCGTGCTCTTTGTCTGATCATACAAACATGTGCTTGAGACTATGTAGCAGCGAGTGTTTTCGTCGTAGAGGTTGCGCTTCTTGAGGTTGGATTCGAGGTTCTGTCGGGTATCCGCGATGTATCTATCGCGTGCCTCCGTGTAGGTAAGGTCGTCGTCTTCGATCATCATGTTGGCGATATGCTGATCGGCCTTGGAGCGGACAATGAACACGGGAATGTCGAACCTGTGGCAATTCTCGAGAATATCGGCATCGATCTCGGTGAAACGCTAGCAGGAGTTAGGAAAGCCCATATACTGGAGCAGATGACTTACAGCATCGTACACCAGGATTATGAAGTCGAATATGAACAGTCCTTGTTGGTTGAAATACTGCCAACTTGGTATATTGATGGTGCCGGCACCCGGAACATCGTACCACACGAACCGCCGATACTCCGTCTCCTGGCGCGCATCCGGGTATCGAGTGATGGTGGTTGTCGTTTCAACAGCTCCCACTGGCGCAGCTTCCTGACTTTTGGTCTTCAGCCCTCGAAATGCGTTGATGAGAGAGCTCTTCCCCGAGCCGGATGGGCCGCTGATGGCGAAGTGTAAGAGGTCTCTTTGGTACTCGACTCTGACCTTAGCAGCTTCGAATTCCTGCTTCGTCGGCCAGACCACCGGTTGAATTCCGTTCTTGAGGTTGTGCCTGGTCTCTTCGAGTTCCTGTCTCACTTCGTCCGCTTTGCGTTGCGACTCAGCCGCTTCCTCCTGCACCCGGATGTGTTCCAGGATCTCATCACATTCCTCTTGTATCGTGCGTTTGTTTTTGCCCTTCATCCTTTGACCTTTCCCAGAGCGCCCACCATTACCTTTGTGTCCACTCTCTTTTTCAGGCCATAGTTCATCCTCCGATACGAGAAGTCGCATTTCCTCACCCGCGAGGTAGGCCTGGATGGCCTCCACAGTAGGATTTTCCGGCTTGGGTGGTTTCCGAAAGACTTCGACGACGGTCACCAGAACCGCGCCTGCACATATCCCCGCGATTATTGGAATGCGAGTCGCCGCCGGCAGAGGCAGTTTTGCTAGGTAGGGACGTCAATCAGTACAGGGAACCATACGATCTCGCGGAGTCGCGGGCTTGGTTGGGGACTCATGAACTCAACTTCCCCGCCGCCGAAGCACAGAGAAATCGGGATTCGGGAAGCTACCGGCGACAGACCTAGTATAGCCACGGCAGTACGAACGCGCTGCGCGGTGTCCGCCACAGCGGACGCTGAGTTGCCCATTGTCGCGATGGATCAGGAAGCCTGGCAGCGATAATAGGCTGTGGTAGAAGCGGAATGCGAACGAGCGTTTAGAGTCGGAGATAAGAGGATGTTTGATTGCTTGATAAGGGTGTCGACGACAGTGCTGAGTATAGTTGTACGGTGAAGCGGGGGGCTCGGTGACGATGTATCATACACCAGGTGGCGTCCCGCCTGCCACTGGGCCACCGGCGACCGCTTGCACATCCTTGTTGCATGTGCATATGCACAGTCGAGTTTGGGCCTTTATGAACCGCTCGAGTGCTGATTTATGATTAATCACATGAGCAGTCACCATATATCTATATCATCACGTGCAGGGCTCGAGGCGACACATAGTCTGTTCGCCATGGTCTAGATAGGCTGCATGCGAGATAAACTGAAGATCTCTCTCTCGACATCCAGTCCGTTAAATGGGCCACAGACAGGACTATATAGGAGTGGTAATTTGGAGTAGCATAATCGGTAAGACTCCCCCTCCCGCGCTGCGAACCGGCTGATAGCCATGTTCGCCGGTACCGGGTCATTACCCTTGGATCGCCCGCACAGGACAGCACATACCAGTATTTGATCTTCGAGCTCGCGGGGAAAGGGGTCAATAGGCAGGTGTGCCTCAGTTATAGCGCTTCGAATGTTGCGTATGGGGTGCGTTGTTATTGATGCGACAGACATGGCACTGGCCTGGCGACTCGGAGGAGCAAGTCACTCAGCTTGGGAAGTTATTCACGAAGCTCCGGATATCCAGCCACCTCCCACATATCCTTGGTGTCGAACTTCACTGTTGATAGGATACGGTGTATGATCGATTGTCGTTCACATTGTCTCCCACCTAGGTACCTACCGCATCCCAGTTTACCCCGCTTCCCCCGCAGCAGAGTACATAAATACGGGGGGCACCGTCATCGCCCCCATCATTTTACATACCTGCCCATACATCGACATCCGCTCGCCGGTCAGGGTATCACCCTTGCGCAACAAAGTCTCTTCAAAAGGCGCCACCACTTCGCCACAAATCAAAAGGGGAAAAAAAGATTGGAATCTGCGAGAAAACCTCCGTTATAAAAAAGCCTTTACTTGCGTAGTGTTGTTGGATTTGGAGGCGGCTATGAGTGAATGAATGCGTATAATATCGTATTTCGTGATAAGCCAATTCACCATTAACGACAGGTAATGCAACATATCTATTGTGACTCTGACTGGGACTGGGACTGGGACTGTGATAACATGGTAGAAAGCAATCCGTCCACTCGATCGGCCTTGACCTTTCCACCCATCGAGCGCATAACCTTTCCCACGACGAACCCGCGCAGCCCCTTCCGCTTCTTCTCATTCTCCAAGTTCGCCTCCAGCTGCTGCAACACGTTCTTCCCCTCATCGGTATCCAGCACGCCCTTGATCAACACCGAAAGTTCATCGTCGCTTATTTCCGTGATTGCCAGATTCTCCTCCTGGACGATCTTCGCGGCGGATGCTTTTCTGTCGGTGAGGAGTCGCGGCAGTAGGGCCTTCGCCGTAGCCCCCGTAATCTTCCCTCCTACCAACAGCGAGATCAGCTCTGCCAAACCATGCGCGGTGATTTTGTTCTCGGCCCAGGAAATCTCGTGTATGGTGAGCAGCCCCCCAAGCTCATGGATCATCCAGTTTCCGACGATTTTGCCGGTCGTCTTGTCGTTCGGTGTGACGAGGGATACGACAGACTTGTAATAGGCGACCACATCGCCGCTACGGCCGTCGTCCCAGAGGAGGATGGTGCGCGCGTCTTTTGCCGTGAGGCCGTATTTCGAGGTGAGTTCCTCGACGATTTGGTCGGGAAGTGGCGGCATGTTGCCCTTGACTTTATCGATCAGTCTTCTGGTGAGAACGACGGGCGGAAGGTCGGGGTCGGGCATGTATCTGTAGTCCACCTCTCCCTCTTTCCCTCTGAGTCGTCTGGTGGTGAAATGTTCCGCGTCCCACCCGCGGGTCTCACCACCTATCGTCCCACCTGCAGACAGAATCGCGATCTGGCGTTGCGACTCAGAAAGGATCGCCTCGGTCACCGCTTTGAACGACGAAAGATTCTTGATCTCGCAGCGCCGGCCGAGCTCTGTCTCTCCACGCCGCCGAACGGAAACGTTGACATCCGCGCGCAACCCACCCCACTCCATGCCCAGCACACACGCATCCACCGCCTTCAACAAGCCCTGGATCTTAGCGAGTACCTTGCCCGCAGTAGCAGCCTCCGCCAACGGGAACGGATCAGTGATGATCTCGACCAGCGGCGCACCAACACGGTTGAGATCCACCAGCGAGTTCGGCGGCGCGGCAATTGTCTTTCCCGTGTCCTGCTCGATCTGCACCTGTCGGATCTTGACCTCCAGATCCATCCCGTCCGCATCCTTTGTCAACCGCAGCGTACCGTTCTTTGCTAGAGGCTGATAGAACTGTGTGATCTGGTAGCCCGCCGGCTGGTCCCAATAGAAGTAGTGTTTCCGATCGAACCGCGAGATCTGCTCGGGTTTGCAGGACAACGCAACTGCTGCCCGTAGTGCTGGCAGAAGAATCTTTGGATTTAACGTTGGCTGCGTTCCGGGAAGTGACGCGTCGATGACGGAGATGTGAGTATTCGGCGGGGCGGTGGTGGACATGGTCGCATCTGTAGTTCAAATATCAGCCATCCGTCGCCTCCCAAGACCACGTCCCCAATCACTTCAACCCAAAAGAAAACTCACCGGAAAACAGTTTCCGCTCCGTGTTCAACTGTGCATGCACCTCGAGGCCGCAAATCACCTCCCAGGGAGATTCAGTGAAAGCAATGTTAGCATCCTGCCGTTTCTCCTTGTGACCGTGGTGGACGTCTTTCAGCGAGCGTTTCTGGGACTTTTGGAATTCGCCGGTGACAGTGTTATTTGATGAGTAGAAGCGCGGATGTGGGAGGAACCGACGGCATAGAAGAGTTAACGGTGGTCGGCGGGGGAGGAGGAGGCGCGGTGGAGGCATGGTGGTGGGGAACGCGTATGGATGTAATTTGATGCGGGGATGCAAGTTTCGGTTGGTTTGGCACGTGATTATCTACGGGTAATTCCATCCAACCACGATCGCGGCACTTACATAACTGGTTCTACCCCACTGTCCCGAGTCCCGACCGCCCGCTGGCTGCAAACTCAACGTGGGTTCCAGAATCTCCAGCACTCTCCGCCTAGCCCTTCCAAAATGTGCGCACCATGGAGATTACGGTATATCAAGTCCCGATGCCCGTCCAACCCCCGGGTAGTCAACTCCACAATCTTGTCCGACTCTTCATCTTCCTCCATCGCCCATGGGCGCTGTGTCCGTTCATCAATACCTATCTCTCGTTCCGCCTGTGCCTGTCCTTTCCATTACTCCAGCCCTCGCCGCATCGCACTCTACCCGAGCACCCAGGAGTCGAGAAATACCCACCACCCGCTGGCCGTCAGTTTTCTCTGGACTGAGTATGAATGAATGACTGGTGCTGGTGGTGGCAGGAACCGCGTTCTACAGACTACAGTCCCACTGTTCCTGGCGAGTCGCGACGTCCCCGTCCTCCACGAATTCCCGATGCCTCTGTTGATCTTCCATCTTCCATCCTGCGCGCTGTAGCTGTAGCCGTAGATCGTAGTGCTCCTTAACCGCTCTACAATGCAGCCCGCTTGTGTTTCTTCCTCCAAACTCCTCTGTGCGCTTCTCTGGTGGCCAGGGACCGCACTCTCCATCGTCACGTGATTACTCTACTATCCACCGGAACGGCGAGTAGACGCTTGCGGAATAGGGCGTGTGAGAGTGAGACAATAACTACTATTTAGAGGTTGGTACCGACGATCATGGAGGCGTCGATAGTAGGGATCGAGGTGCGATACGAGACCTCGGAATTAGGCATGAGCTTGCTTTGACACCGGGCATGGGATACGGTATTATCATGGCATGATTCGGGCGTTCAGCCTACAATAGTACCTGCGCTGAGCTCAATAGCTACTCCGGACACGTAGATAAAGCGGGAGTCAAGACCATGTTCGGGATTGCGTTCACGGAGTCGTTGAGATGCTGATGAGCGGGAACGCGAAAGAGCGATGTCGAGGGGACGGCGTAAATCACGTCTAGCCCCACGAAAGGCCAATAGGAGCACCGATTATGTCGTGGACGGGACACGCGAATCTTCGAATCTTCAGACCCTGCGACCGAGCTCTCTGCGATTTCTGCATCTTCATCCCTTCACTTGGCGATGAATAGCGTCTTGGCGAGTTGGTCGGGTAATCACATCCGCCGGGGTTCGTCAAAGTTCTCCACTGGACAGGGCGGTCGAGCATAGCTCCAGATGTCACAGTTTTCACCTCACCCCCACCCCGCCCCAACCCCCCGCGTGCAAAGTGATTCTTAGTCAGATCCCAACCCAGTATTTTATTCCAGCGAGCGAGCAATAGATACTAACTACTCGAGAGAAAGATCAAGAGAACGAGGGGAAGTGATTTAACATTCTCCACAGCTGGCAATGGAGATGGTGCCCGAGGTGCGGCCGGACTGGTCGATGGACTTGGACTCCATTCTGTTAAGGATATCCGATCCCTCAACGACCTCTCCGAAGACGACGTGCTTTCCATCGAGATGGGGGGTCTTCACGAACTGTTCATTCCAATGACGTCAGTGGCTGGCATGGCAAAGCGGGGGAGGCAGGGGGGTACAGACGGTGATGAAGAACTGCGAGCCGTTGGTGTTCTTGCCAGCGTTGGCCATCGACAGAAGGTAGGGCTTGTCGTGACGCTTGATGAAGTTCTCGTCCTCGAACTTCTCACCGTAGATGGACCGGCCACCGGTACCCTATCACGCTGTGCATCAGCATCGACCACCCTTCAATCATCCAGCCTTGAATCCGAAGAGCATACGTTTCCACGGGTGAAGTCACCACCCTGAGCCATGAAGTTGGAGATGATACGGTGGAACTTGGAGCCGGTGTAACCCTGGCCGACCGACTCAATCTTGCAGAGCTCACGGAAGTTCTTGGCGGTCTTGGGGACAACGTCGTCGTAGAGCTGGAAGACAATGCGGCCCCAGTCCTCGGCTGTTGAGTCACACGGATATGTTAGCGGGGCAGATTGATTAATCCGCAGATTGTGCGGGAGTCGGAGATGCGGAGATATGGTGATGGTGGTGATGCTGTTGATGATGGTGATGATGGTGATGATAGTAACGACGTAGGAGGCATTATAACCAATGCTTCCGCGTCTCCATCATCACCACCGGCAGAGACGGAGTGGGGGGGAAATACCTTTGCCCTGGGGGTCGGAGTAGCGGATATCGAAGAAAACGTTGCTCATGTTGGCGGTTGTGTGGGGTTTGTTGATAACAAACACTGGTTTTCTTGAGATTTGGTGGAGGTCGGTGGAGATGGAGATGGAGAAATTGAGGAAGGCGAGAGGAATTGGGGAGAAGAAAAGGGAGGAAGGAAAAGGAGCGTTGAACGGGGTGGGGCGGGGAAAAGTGGGGTAACTAACCTTCCTGGGCTTCAGAGCAGCCTCACCGAAGTAGACCTGAGGACGAAACAACCCAAACGCCACCCACCACCTGTCGCCCTAAATCACCCACCATCTTACATGCCCAAGGCTCCAAGCACTCTATGTGCGCAATCTCACCCACCCCCCTGCCCCGCAGATCCTTGCGTCGCTACGTCCTTGGCGAGGTACGCAATAAGCAGTCATCGCCGCAGCCGCGAGTGACGGGCAATGAGGGCGTGGCGCGGATGTGGCGTCTGTAGTCTGGTGTTGAGGGGCGCGGAGGCGGCTTGGCGGCATCGGTGAGCGCCGAAGAGGGGAGACCTTGCTGAGACCTGGTGGGCCCCGCTGCAGACCGGATCCGGTCGGTCAACGTTTATTTGTTTCTGCTGTCACTATTTCTGTTCTTCCTGTTCGTCGGTCGGTCTCTGGTCATCATCATCTTGTACAATAAATCATCTTCATCGTCGACCGAAAGCTTTAATCCAATTGATCACGTTTTTGTTCCTCGCCCCTTTTTAGATCTCTCGGTGTCCAGGAGGTTCGACTGGGAAGTGAAGTCCAGCTTCTGTCTCTGTCTCTGCAGACCAAACCCTGAGACACCTCCCACCCGCGATAGCCCATAGCTATAACGATGGATGGGACTACCTATTAGGATGTATGTACGGCACCCATGGTCACGTCCGGTCAGCATCTTCACCCTCTCCCTGGTAGCGAAGTCCAACCGACCAACCAATGGTGTCCGCACGGCGCCCGCACGTGTTCCCGCCGCTTGATGCTGGATGGCTGAAACTCGATTAAACGCCCGGTTGCTTAATACGGTACCCGGTCGACGGGCCTCTCCGAAAGAGACGCCGTTTGGGTCGAACTACCTAGATTAGCGTGCTGGCCGCCGATCGTCTATTGTGCCACCCAACTGACTGTTCCTAACGTCGTCGCTGTATCATCATTTAGCTGTTTGGAAACTGGAGGATTTATGGCAAATCGCCCGCGGGCTCTGATAATGAAGCATCGATTCGCAATTGCGCACGCAAAAAAAGGTAAGCTGGGTGCCAGTATGTACAATGTATCAACCAAAAAAACAGAAGCTTCGTATGTTCAAGAATCTCTCACGATATCAAGACCAAATGCAAAACGTCGATGATTGATTCACCACACTTCAATAGCTGCTGTGAGACAGTTGTCTCTTCCACGGCAGGATCTTCTCCATGAGCGTGGGACTAACACACGCCAGCGCGCTGTCGACCTCTCTCGTCTGCTCTTCCACGGCCTCCGGCACCGTCCAACCGTTCTTTTCCTTCTCCTCCTGCTGCAACCTCAGACCTTGCCTCTTGCGCCTCTCCATCTCCTCCCGCAGCGTTTCCACGCGCTTCTCAAACTCGCGGCAGCTTGACTCCGCCCACCCGGCGCCTTCCCCCCAGAACACATCGTTCCGCAGCAAATCCTCCGCCGTCGAGCAGTTCCGCTTGTATCTCCAAAAGAACTCGCTCCACTCAGCCCGCATCTCCCTAAAGTCCCGATCAAATACCCTCTGATCGCCACACGCAAACCTCAGAAACGTCAGATAGCTCCGCACCGCGCGCTCGGTATCCCCCTGCCGGTAGTCTTTGTGTCCCGTGTGCATATCCGGCGCATGCGAGTGATATCCGTGCTCGTGCTCCCGCACGTTCCCCAGATCACCCAGCAGAAACTCGCCATTCTCGGCCACAAAGATGTTATCCGTCTTGACGTCGTCGTGCGTGTACCCCCTGGTGTGCATCTCCTTCAGCGCCATCAACACGCCCCTGAACCTCCGCCTATATATCCCATCCACGTCCTCCGGCGAGAGGCCACACATATGCACCAATCCCGCCAGCGTCTCGAGCGTGCCCGACTTGAGGAACGGCGTGACGAGCCTCCACCCGCTACCGCGCCACGCGGGGCTGTCCACCCAGAAGTAATCAACCACGCGCATGAACCTGCCCATGCCATTCTCGCCATGACCCGGCGAGAAATACAGGGACGCTGGGATCTCCGCGGGCCAGTCCTTGTACGCACCAAACAGTGGTCGGAGGTGCGCGGGCAGCGGGTTCGTGCGCACGCCGCGGAAGAACTCCTTTATGACGACTTTCTGGCCGCCGCGCTCGTGGTCGACGTAGATGCTCGCGCAGCCCTCGCGGCCGAGCCCGAGGCGCTTCAGGAACTCGTAGCGGCCGTTGTCGATGTTCTTTGAGTGGTCGAGGATGCGGCGCGGGGCGGCGGGCGGTGGGAACACTGCGTGCTCGGCTACGCCGCTGGGGAGGTGGAATTTCGTCGGTGCCATCCGGGGGTGGCGGATCAGCACGGCGAGGTATGGGTAGATCCCGAGGCGGAGCAGCATGGTCAGGACGAGGAACGGGAGCAGGACGAGGACGTTGCTGGTGGTGATTGCGAGGTCCATTGATACTACCTACATCGTGGTTGTGGGGGAATGTGGTCATGGAGGGGGAGGGGGGGGGGGGGGGCGGTGAAAAAAATGTGGCTTGGAGAGATACCTACATCATATAGGCGGGGTGGTGGGCTGGTGGGTGAGTGTGGGCGGGGGGTGATGCGTTGACGTCAAAGGTCACGCACTGACACGGCGGAGTATGGTGTACGGCTACCGACGGACGTGACGGACTAGTGTTTGGCCATGAGGTTACTTTACGAGCAGAATGACAGGAGTGAGCAGTGAGAAAACACGATTACGGAACACTGTCGGCTAGCGGGATATGGGTGTACACTGTACTTAGGCTGGTATTTTGCTTCAATCGATTCCAAACGTTTGCCACCTCTCGACACCATGAGGCCATAGGACAGTGACATGCAGGACGGGCGGGCGGGCAGGACTAGGACTGAGTAAACTGCTCTCAGCTAAGTACCCAAGTACTCATATACTTGTTTACACCGAATTCGGAGTGCACGACATCGCCGCTTGAAAATCAGGTGCGAGTGATCGTTTATGAGTATCACCACTGTTCCCGCTCAGTGAACTTCAGAAACCAATATATCCCCATACGGTAGATGGTTGTGTGAGAGAACTTGAGAGGTTGATACATCCCCCATAGATTAATGCGTTCTCGGAGCAGAGTGGCTGAACTTGAAAGACCGAGTTGGAGTTATCGAAAAAAGCCTGCATGTCTTCGCACCAATCACCTCAAGCAACCACCGGTATGGCGTTAAGACCCACCCACCGTTTCCGAAGAGGCACTGCATGCACGCATAAATATAGACTCACTTACGTACTTATTTAGCTGCTGCGTGGTCCACGTGGGGGGAACAAAAAATGTGGTCGTGACATAGGTATCAACATGGTCAAAATGCTCTGTTCACGATACATACGGTACCAGCATATCCGTCCAGCGGAAAATAACGACTCTCTTTACGCTTGGAATACGCAGTTAACGAGAGTCAAAACACGGTAGTAGCAGCCTCATTCCATAATCGGGAAATACGCATCCGTCTGCAAGATGGCAGTGGGTACTCTACAGACATAGCTGCAGCTTCAACAGTTTGCCACACACGGCCACGTGCGCATAACTACATCTTAGTTCAAGAACATGGCGGTGCGCCGGTGCTTTCCTCATCCGCCCGGAATATGCCATCGCAACCACCTCCTCTTCTCCTCACCCTGACTGTATGTACAGTATATATAGCACCCAGGTGCTTTTGCATGTACTGAGAAGACATCCTCGAAAATCCGGCGTGGTTGAGAACAGCGGGGGTCTTGATCCCTCAAAACGTGGCAACGCTGGTGATTTTCTTCTTATTTTGAACTCGCACATTTTGTCCCTCGCCTTTTGAAAGCTATGTGGCGGAGAGTAGAGCAACCAAGAGCAATCCCGTCCGGTCATGATAACTATGTGATGATGGTTTGCCCTTTGAGTGCGCCGTTCAGATTACAGAAACCCCCCTCGATGCACGCCTCAAGGTAAGCACTACTGTATTGCTTCTCTGCAGACAGGTATGTAGGCTCGTATATATGTGGGTAGTGTACATAAGTCCTTGATGCACGGACGGGCTTTCCGTCCATTATTATTATTTTACCCGCAACTCTTGAAGATCGATCATCGGAGCGCAACGACGACATGGAAGGTGGGGAATTCTCCGACCAATCAGGACGCTCAGGGGCTAACCGATTCCACCTAGCTCGACGTACAGCTCAACGTTGTGGATCCTTCGTGTGGTTATGATTCCTCTGTATTGATGGAATACGGTACCGGTCTTTATGACTGCGCCTTGCTTCATCTTGTCATTCTCCTTCTCCTTTTTCCTCTTCTTTTTCTTCTTCTTGCCAACCCGCACCCAACCCACAAAGAATGACCCAGTCCGTGCCCGACCCATCTCCATGGACCGTTCCCGCTCCGAGCAGTCCAGCCGTGATACGGGGCATTCAACTTCCTGGGACGCGCATAATCGCAAGGGCTGGCGCGGCCAACTATGACGCCTATCCTCACCGCAAGCGATGTCTAACGGGATTCTCCATGGTGGCATGATTACATGGCGGCATTCGTGCATGGCTGGTGCACCGCTACGGTCCGAGCCTTTCCCTGTTCGCTCGTGGCCGATGTGGAATCATCAAACCCGCTAACCTGGCTCGCAGGTTTTCGGCGTGGGTGCATATTTACGAACTACTGTCGATGCATTATTGGCTTCATGCTATACACGTATGCAAAAGACTATAGCGAACACAGATGCTAGCTGTGCTCGAGATATCCAGCCGTAGCCGGCCAGGGAGCGAGCGACTGACTGACCGACCCCGCACGCTCACTATCCGTCCGCTGGACGTCGGATGGATGATGGGAGAGAATAAAAGGTCCACCTCACACTCTGCATGCAGAGAGATGCCCCCCCATCACATACAAAAATGATCATAACCACCTACCTCCTCTCCCTGCTGGATTGGCGGTTTGCCATCTCATCGCTCTTCTTCTACATCTCCTTCATTGTCGTCAGACGGATATGGTTCCACCCTCTGTCGTCCGTTCCGGGACCCAAGCTCGCTGCTGTATCGAATCTTTACGTCGCATATTGGGATGTTTATAGGAATGGCACTTTCCTGCGCGATAAGATGCCGCAGCTGCACGCACAATACGGACCGGTGGTGAGGATCAGTCCGACGGAAGTGCAGATTCATGGCGATCCCGAGTTGTTCCATCGGTGGGTACCATCCACTCTTCCCTCTCCAGTGGCTCCCAAACGAACAGTGTTTTGACGTTCGTCTCCAGTGTGCACTCCATGCAAACACAATACATCAAAGACCCTTCCTTCTACGATTGCATCGGCGTGCCCACCGCAGCCTTCGGAACCATCAACCCACACGTCCACCGTGCCCGCCGCAGCATCCTCAACCCCATGTTCTCCAAGCGCCGCATCACCGAGGCCAGTGCCATCATGGAAGGTGTAGTCCAAAAGTTCTGTGGACTCCTCGACACATTCTGCGAAGATAGCCGGCCCGTGCCCCTGTCCAACGCCTTCTACTGCGTGACCGTCGACATCATCAGCACATTCACGTTCGGTACCCCTTGGGGAATGCTCGATGAGAAGGACTTTACTGGCGAGTGGGTTGAGGGTGTGCTCTCTTTTACGGGAATGCTCCAGGCTAGAATTCATTTCCCCAAGGTCCTTGGAATTATGGAAACACTGGGGAATATTTTCCCTTCACTCACGCCGTTGGTGTTCGTCAAGCTCCTTCAGGTAATTACATGGCTCTTCCCTCCCCATAACTCCTCGTCACTAACGATACCCAAGGAATGCAACCGCTGCGTCAAACTCGCGATCGACCAGGACGCCAAATCCAAAGCCGCCGGCATTCCACCCAAGGAGCGACCCGAGACCATCTACGACGCGCTGCTGAACCCCGTTTCGTCCAAGGCGCAGCGCCCATCCGTCGAAGAGCTCGTCAGCGAGTCGATATCCATGGTCACTGCCGGCACGGATACCAGTGCTACCGTGCTACAATGCTGCGTATGGAACATCCTCACTCGCACCGAAGTCCGCGAAACGCTTCTCGACGAGCTGTCAACTGTCCGCAGGGACACGAACGGACTGCTGCCGCTGAAACAGCTCGAAGAACTCCCGTACCTCGTACGTGTCCCCCTGTTTTCACCCCGAAACATTTTTTTCGCTAACACGCCCCTCCCCATAGACCGCCTTCATCAAGGAAACCCTCCGCTTCAACACGCCGACGCCAGCGCGTTGGCCGCGCGTGGTCCCCTCGGGCGGACTGACTATCTCGGCCTCGAAACCCGGAAGAGCCACGTTCCTGCCAGAGGGCACCTCGATCGCCTTCCACATCGACCTGCTCCACCGCGACCCGCGCATCTTTACCCAGCCTGATGAGTTCCTGCCCGAGCGGTGGATGGGACAGAGCGGGCGCGAGCTCGACAGGTGGTTGCTCTCGTTCAATAAGGGTGACAGAGGGTGTATTGGAATTAAGTAAGTCTTCCTTCTTTTCCTCCTACTCCCACATCAAAGGAAAGCTACTAACGCGGGAAAAAACAATAGTCTCGCATACGCCGAGATCCAGCTCGTGATCGGCAACCTTTTCGGGCGCTTCGAGCTCGAGCTATTCGAGACCACGGAGAAGGACATGGAGATGGTCGACCACTTTGTTGGGCACCTGGTGGGCCGCGTCAAGGTGCTGGCCAAAAAGCGCGTGGTCGACGAGCACATGGTGTAAGCTGGCAGTTGTCTGCTGCATGTAAATATGGATGGATGGATGGGTTGATGAATTATGAACTTTGAACTTTGATGCACCGTTAATACATGGTGAATAAATAAATATTGAAATAACGATTACGATCATAATCATAGGCTATCACTCGAGATACGAGTGATTTTGTGAGGGGAAGAGGGGGCGGCAGTGCACGATTACGGTAGGTATCCGCCCCTAAGCTCTTACGTCAACACCTCAGCTCTCGCAGAATCCTACGTAACTCCTTCGTTCCCCGAAGCGCAAACGCAGATAGAGCACCAAATACGCTATTTACATACAACCCTCAAGGAGTCGAGGAGTCGACGTCCGTTCGCGGATACCAGCGTCGGGTGTGGTTACTCGGTTTTTTCTTTTCATATTCCCCCTCCGTTCGCCCCTCCATTCCCTCCCCTAGGTCCCCTCCCCTCACCTCACCTCACCTCACCTCCAGTATCCACCTCCAAGATCCAAAATTCGAATTCCCAGCTCCCCGTAACCGTCGATGGGGCCTGGGCCTGGGAAGTGGGCACACAAGTGACAAGTCCCAAAGCCGCCAGGCGCCCGCCCAGTCCAAGGGGTCGGTACCGGCACATAGCGGTACCGGTATTCCAGGCTTCTACGTAGTTCCAGGCTCACAGGCTTCCAGGCTTTCAGCGGGTTTGGTGTAGTACGGTTCGGCTGTAACAACTACCCCTTTCCTTTTACTCTGTGTACTCTACCTGGAATCTGAATATGACAGTTACGACGCGATACGATACGATACGATACGATACGATACGATACGATACAAGGCGATACGATACAAGACGACACGACACCTTTCGACACAGGTTACAGGTTACAGGTAGTTACTCCGTTGCACTCTATCCCACGGTCGATCCCCCGTAGAGTACGTACCGCAAGCGCCGCGGGCCGTGGTACCTGGTATGATACTATACAGTGGTCGTTGCAGTGGTACCTGCTTCTCCCCTCTCCATGACTAAACATGTAGGTAGAGTACTATGTGGTATTACTCCACATGCCGCTGCGCAGTCTGCGGCCCTGCGCTACACACATTGTAGCGGTAATACCGGTACATATCCTGCAAATCATGTAAATCATGTAAATCATGTGGTGTGAGATACCGTATAGTACCTGTATGTAGAGTAGTATCTGGAGTCTCGCCTCGGCCAGTTTGCCAGGCACCGCCCTATACCTGTCACTCTACTCTACATCATATCTACTCTGCGGCTGACTGCACTCCACTGCACTTTGCACTTCCCCCTTCCCCCTTCCCCCATCCCACTCCACTCTTGAAGAGTAGAGAACTATCGACCACTCCGGACCTGCAGCACTCCCCGTCCCTCCCTCCCCCCCTCCCCACCGTCTCCTCGAATCCCTTGAATCCGTTGAATCCGTTGAATCCCTCCCTCTTATCGCCACGCGTACCCGAAAGATCGGCGCACATCCGCTCGCACGCTCGCAGAGAAGTGTCAGACGACATCCCTCCCCCGGAGGAGCAGGTTAGGGGTGCGTTTGCATGACCTTTTCAGGTGGCCAGTATTCACTGTTGACTGTTAATTCGGGTGTGGGGAAGAGCTTGGTCCCGTCCAGACTCCAGAATATGGTATGAAGTATGTAAGGTGGGAAGATATGCAACGACGTCTCTCGACTACATGCCGTATTCCACCACCCACCAGTCAGTTCAGTTCAGCTCCAGCGATCTCAGCTCTAGTCAGCGCTGGAATGCGAAGTGCAGGAAGAATGTGAAACTTCTGTGTATCCGTATCCGTAGCGACCTGGGTCCCGTCCTGGGGGTGGATGGGGGCGGGGGGAAGGGACAAGACAAGACGAGAGAAGGGGTGCGGTGGGTAGAGTGCGTCTCGATTTCTCAAACACCAACATCCGGGCAGATCCACCAATCATGGCGGTCCTTGGGAACAAATTTCGTCCAATCCTGAGTTTGCGTGGTCGCTTCGGATAGAGTGGGGTGTTAATTATTGCCGGTATGGACGAATCAGCGCGAGGCTTGAGCAGGCTAGCTATGCGGACAGAAAAGAAAGAAAAAGAAGGAAAAGAAAAGGAAAAGGAAGAGAATTAATTCTCTTGTACGTCACCGGACGAAAGCAGACGGAACAACAAAAGGAACGAAAAGGGGAAATCGCGAGATGGAAGGAAATCCTGATTGGCCCGCTATTTTCGGGGGTGTCGTCGGGGGGAGAGCACCCGAGCTGGAAGAGACCAAGTTCAGCATTTCGAGTCTCGACGACAACGACAGCGACGAGGACAACGACGCGAGGGCGCCTGGGGTGATCAGAGGTCGAGATCAGAGGTCGAGGTTTCCGGATCGCCGTGTAGCGTGCCGGTACCTACTTACTCTAGAGTACGTCAATTGTGTGGAGGTGGCGACCTGAGCGTTTGAGACAGACGAGTGGACGATAAGCCTGACGGCCGGGCCAGGATCAGGATCGCGAGGTTTTTTTGGTTTTGCATGACGGTGGTGAAACTCCTGACGTGATACCCCAGCAGGTAGTTACCCTAGGCACTTTACGGTGAATTTGGCAGACGTTTGAAGTTGTTGTGGGGGAGGCTAATTGCCGTTTCCGGAACAGAGGGAGGGATAGGGCCCGAGTATCTTTAGAAATGCGTGTGGGTGACCATTTGGTGATTTGAGAAGGGCAGCGAATCGAAGGGCAGAGAAATAGCACAAAACGAGTGGGTGTGACCCCCCGGGACTGCATGGTGGGATATTTGCGTGTGTGTATGTACATGCCACTATACGTACGGATAGCAAAGTGGGTGTTTGCATTTGCGGGATCGATCACGGCCGCCAGCTTAGCTTGTGAAAGCGAAGGGACGGGGATACTCACATCCATACAACAACAACGGACAGAACATAACGGCCATCCGCAGTCCTCCTCCTACTCTTCTCCTTCCTCTCGCAACCATTCATCCCCCGGCCGGCACAGGTAGCGAATCGTCAGGCAGCATACGCCCGTGCAGAGATCGAGAGAAAGAACGAAAGAAGAAAGGCCATACATAGCAGCTGCATCTGAGACCGGCACACATTGTTTGTCCACGACATCAACAAACCAGCAGCTTTCCGCCCGTTCGTGCAGGAGAGGATATATCCCCTCGCATACGTACCTACCTCTGCCTACATACATTAGGTACATACCTCATAGACATATACACACATACCTGAGGAAAAGAAAACCATGGTGACCACCAACCCGCATCCCGAGTAGAAACCCGACCAGCAGACCAACTGACCGTTTGCATCGGCAACAAACAGGCCGACCGCTCCCGCGAGTCCCTATACCAGTACGCGTCGCAGGCGACAACGACCGCAGCCGCCCGGTACCAGCACCTGAGCGGCCACCACCACCACAGCCACAGCAAGTCCGTTCCCGCCAACTCGATACCGCCCGCCTCGCCCCACGACACTCTGCGCGGCGAGAACGGCTCCGACGACGACGACTCGGACACCACTGGCGTCGGTGGCAGATTTCGCAGCGGCAGCGGCAGCAAGCAGATCAAGAGAAGGTCGACGACGACGGCGGGCAGCAGGGAGCATAGCATCGCCCGCGAGGCCGTCGGCGCAAACATTAGACGGCTTAGTGCTGGCACGGCTAGGTCGAGTGATCGTGACCTGTTCATCTGGGAGAACGGCGGTACTTCCGAGGAGATTTCGGCGGCGACATTGAGGAAGGAGCGGCGGCATCGAGAAAGAGCCGAGAGGGAGCGGGAGCGAGAACGCGAGAGGATGGAGAGAGAACGTGAGGCCAAGAACAGGGAGGAGCGCGAGAAGGAGAGGGCTCGCGAGGAGCGGCGAGAGGAGAAGCGGCAGAAGAAGCAGCTGAGCAAGATGGAGAAGGAACGGGCCAAGAACGGTATGTCTTCACCATCCGAGATGAATGAATGAATGCTGACGGGCTCTGCAGAGCGCAAGAGAGAAAGCTCGGGAATTTCCATCATGGCCGCGGATGATAGCCCACATGGCGGTATCCGACTCCGCGAGTCACCGCCCAGCAGCTACCGTGCCAGTCGTCCCGCATCCATGGAGATACCTGCCGCCCCGTCTCCGTCCGCCTATACCGAGCCCAAACGACGAGAGACATCGGTATCGCCGCAGCAGCGCACCGTGCCCGCGGCACCTCCTTCGCCTCCTCGGTCCGCAAGGAGTGGGCGCCAGCAGGCAACCCCGCCTCCGGAATATGCCCGACGAGATACCGATACTTCGGACACTCCGCCCCAGTCGCCGCCAGACATCGTGAAGCCTTCCATCACGAACAAGACTCCGACGTCTGTAGCCGTGCCCAAGGCGTCAACTCCAATCTCCGGCCCGACCATCACCAACGGCAACGGCATTCTCGCTCCCAAACCAGGGCGAAAATCCATGCCCGCATCCCCCATCGAGGAGAGGAAGCAAAAGCCCGAGCCAGTGGAGCTAGCAGTTGTGACACCACACGCGATGCCAATCCTCCATGCAGTCCAGCAACTTCACCAAGCCCAGCAATCGCAAGCCCCGATCCTCTACCGCAGCCAAACCACCAGTCCCTCCATTGCCGGCAGCAGCATCGTGACGGTTCGCCGCTCACCCAGTGCTGCGACAGCGCCCACACTCACCTCACTCAACACCGAGCCCAAGCGCCAATCCACACCACCCCGGATCTCGGATCCAACCCCCAGAATCTCCGACTCGGCGCCAGCAGCATCACCACCACCACCATCGCGGCCATCACGACCACCATCTCGCTCAGCCCCCACACCGCCACCCACACGCCTCTCCTCGACACCACCACAGCTCCCCAGAATATCCGACCCGCCCCCACGCCCGCCGTCGCCCAGCATCTCCGAGATAACCACGGCACCACCCAACCCCCCGGACCTCTCCAAGCGCTCACACGCCTCGACCCCAGCCCTAATCCTCGCCACCAACCTAACCGAATCCCCCTTGATCCAAGCGCAACCCAACAAGTCGCAGCGCAACGCCTCCCCGCGGCGCAGCTACATTGCGCCTCACTCGGCGGCGGCCGACTACGCGGCCGGAATAGGCCCCTACTTCCCGCTGCAGTCATCATTCCAGAGCAACGCGCGCCCGCGCTCGAAGCGCCCACTATCATTCTCGCAGACCCCCACGCCCTACATCGAAGACGACGCGCCCACGCCGCGCGGAAAACACCACAGTCGCAGCGCAAGCGCGAACCCGTACCCGCCGCCGCCCGTCCCCTCGTATTTCCCCGAGCAGAGCTACGGCTATGCTCCTACCCCCCCACTGCCTCCCCCGCCTCTCCAGGGTGCTCATGCGTATCCCCCCTACGATCCGTACGACTTGTATAATGCATACCCCGCCTACTCCCTCCCCGGCCCGAGCCATGACCTCGACCACCCGGATCCGTTCATGTACATGACGCCGCCGTCGGAGCTGGTGCCGGCGCCGGAGCGCTCCGGCAGGCGCAGGAAGAGGAAGCCCGCGGGTGGGCTGAATAGGGAGTACTATGGCGAAGGCGACGCGATGGTTAAGGTCCGTGGAGAGGAGACGGCGACCGAAGAGAGTGAGGAGTTCGCTACGGATGGGAGCGCGAGTGGGTGGACTACTAGGAGTGGGAGTCCCGCTGAGGAGAGGGCGGTCGTGGATGGGTTAGGGATTGAACTCGCGAGGGAAAAGGAGAGGGAGAGGGAGGAGGAGGAGGAACGGGAGAAGGCGGGGATGCTAAGGGTTAGGCAGCAAGAGGAACAGAGGCAGATTCAGTTGCAGATCGAGCGGATGGAAAAGAAGGCGCCAGAGATAGAGCTTGAGGTGAAGGGGCCTGAGATCAAGCAGCCCGAACCGATTAGGCTGGAACCCGAGGTTAACCTCCCAAAGGATGGGGAGCCCGAGATCCAGCAGCCAGAGGATAAGCCACCTGAGACTGAGATGTCAGAGGATGATGAACCCGAGTTCAGCCAGCCCGAGAAGGAACCCGAGACCAAGCAGCCTGGGGAGAACGAGCCAGAGAATGAATGGGTCGATGAGGACGAACCGGATGAAGCCGAGTCCGACGTCACATCTTCGCCAGCGAAAGTAGCCTTACCGGAACACATCTCTGATCCTGGCCCGGCAGTATCGGAGTCAGATGGCGTAGCTATCTGCTCGGAATCGGAAGAAGAGGAATTACTGGCAGCAGAAGTTTGTTCAGTAGTTGCCGAGCAACCAGCAGCGGAACAGATGCCGCCGGTTGAAGTCTGGCCATTACCACCGCCACTTCCACCAGCTCTACCAGCTCTTCCGGCTCCATCAGCTCTTCCGGCTCCATCAGCTCCATCAGTTCTTCCAGCTCCATCAGTTCTTCCAGCTCCATCATTTCTTCCAGCTCCATCAACTCCATCAGCTCCTTCAGCACCAACTCAAGCCACTGTCTTCATCCCCGAGAACCCATCACCGCTCGACACAGGCTACCCGCTTCTCGCCAAGACCATGGCCACCTGCCCGGGGCGACAAGTATACCGGCGCTTCACGGCACTCAACCACCGCATTCTCCTGCACATGCAGGACGAAATCAGCGAGATGTCGGCAATGTTGGACAAGCTCGAAGCCGAGCCGGAAGCCAACCTGCGTAATCGCCGAAGACTGATGACAACGCCACGGGAAGAGCAGCGATTGCAGATGCTGGGTGCTATTGCCTGGAAGTTGGGGCAGTATAGTAAGTCGATTTAGATTCTACACCCCGATGCGTTGTGTGTGTGATGATTGCTGACGGATGAATTAGATGAGGCGGTAAAAGCATACCAGAATACTCTCACCATCCCCGCTGCCGAGGAAGACGACGTGGCCGAGTTTCGGGGCTGGCTAAGGGAGTGCCATCCCGTAGCTGCGAAGGAGGCGCACTTCCTCGACGACGGAAACGATCTGATGGCGCTCGGGCGCCTGCCCAAGCCGCCTTCCCCGCCCGATTCCGTGACAGTTCACGTTCCTGCACCTGCACCCACTCCTGCCACTCTGGCCATTGCTCCTCCCCCTCCTCCTCTCTCCCCAGCCAAAACCTCCCACCTCCCCCCACCCGAACCCTCACCCCTCCCCACAACCCCTGCAACCCCCGCCCCCGCTGCAGCCCAACCGCTCACAACCCGCCTCCCCCAAAGCCCCACACTACTCCAGCTCACCACGATCCTCGCAATCCTAATCGCGCCACTCCTGTACCCCTCCGCACCACCAACGATAATCACTGCGCCAGCCGTCGCTGCGGCCTCAGCCGCCGCCGCTGCCGCCGCAGTCGAGGCGACAAGTATGAGCTGGCTCGGCTTTTTCCTGCGCGCGTTCGTGTGGATACTTGCCCTTGCCGCGCCCGCGGTGGTGGTGTTGGGGGTGTTTGATTCTGGTGGTGGTGGTGGGGGTGGTGGGAGGGATGGGATTGGTGGTGATGGAAGAGAGAGGAAAGGGAGGAGGAAGGTGGCGGGGGCGTGTTTGCTCGTTGGACTGGTGGCGGGGTTGGGGGTGATTTCGTTATAGTCTTTATACTTATTACATGATACGAATGGTGTATTTGTTGTATTTTTGGTGTACTTTTGTATTTTTTTGATGAGTTTTGGTGCTGAGTGGGTTATGATGATCATGAATGAAGACATATTCTGTTTTACTCGAGTATAATGTAGCAATGCTCTACAATGATGGCTTTGATTCGTGGTGTGTGGAGAGTGGTTGTTACGCTGGAGATGACACAGGCTACCCCAGGCTACTCTACCTACACATCACAGTCAAGCATCAGTACTACAGTCAGCACATATCACGCTTCAACTCTCAACTCTCAACTTTGCTCATTCCCTTGTTATTCCCTTATTATTCTAACCAGCCAGTACTATGCTAGGTAATTTCATGGAATCCTATCCGTCCGCAGCAAATCCTCATCCAGATACCTTATATCCCAGCAATGTACACAGTAGTCCGGTACCTAAGTAGTTACTCAAACAGCTCCCCACCCCTCTCCTCAAACCAAGCAGTCATGCAAACATCGACGACCTCTGGCGACCACCCCGCCTTGGCCATGAGCGAGACGATCCAGTACTTCGGTTTCCTGTAGCGCATGCGGACGCCAACGTCAGGGAGTGGCATGACGCGCTCCTTCCACTCGCCCTTGCACTGGAGGAGGAGGCGCCGCGCCTCGGTCGTCATCGGGCACGTGGGCGGCGGCTCGAAGTCCTCGATGGCGGGCACGTCGAGCTCCTCCCATAGAAGGCCGAGGTCCCGCGCTAGAAGCTCGATGTGGTGGTCCATTCGCAGGCGGTGGATCAGTGACGAGTGAAGGTTCGCCGCGTCGGTGATGGTTGCGGAGTTGCTGTCCACTAACGAGATCAGGCTCGAGATGCCGACGTTCTGAGGGTGCGTGTGTGGGCCTGAGATGGTTAGTGGAGTAAGACGGAGGGAAGCGGGAGAGGGAAGGTACCTGGGTAGGTGCACGTCCAGCGGGTGATCAGGGTCTCGAGCTCCTGTGGGGTCCACTCGGGGAAGGGGGACGGGGACGCTGGGGCCGGTTGGCGGGGTCCAATGGTGTAGTCGGGTTCGATAGCGGGAACTGTGGGTGTGAAGAGGTTGCAGAACCAGCTGGTGAGTGGGGTGAAGCAGCCGGCTTCATTAGTGGGAAAGCCCTTCTGCAGGTCGGAGACTGTGTAGAACTTGGAGGTGTCGGGAGGCGCAGGCTTGTCGGCTACCATCTTCATGGTGAGGGGAGTGGGTTGGGAATACATGACTGTGAGGGGAGATTGATTGTGCTAGGTGATTGCAGAATGAGCGTTGGGGACAGTAGTCGTGGTTGGATGGCGAGTGGAGAGGTGGTGGTTGAAAGGAAGGTGGGGAGATGGAGGTTGGAAGGAGAGTGGAGAAGTGAGGAAGGCGAGGAAGGATTGGCGGTGGTTGAGAGGGGAGTAGAAGCGGCGATATTTTTGTTTTGGCTAGTGTTATTGTTTTGTCCCGGTACAGCTTGCAGCAAGCTTGCTGCAGCCTTGGTCGGATGAAGCTGTCGTGTGAACCTCAGCTCTCGGACGTCAAGCATCACGTCCACAATGAAATGTATGTACACCCCGCACTCTTCGCACATTACAGGTAGCACAGCACAGAGAGAACATCAATCTATTGTCGTCCGAGGCCACTGTACCGCATAACACTGACTTCTTCTAGCTGCTTCCCGCGAGTGAGAATCCATGTCCAGCTGTGCAGGGACGTGCTGATGTTGGTTCCACCGTTTTGCTCAGAGCTGTGCGTATCCGCGTCTCATGCTTACGATACCCCGCTACATACCATTCGTCTTGCAGGTACTGGTACCGGTGCTGTATTCTCACTCCCCATGCACACGAGTCGGAATTATGCGAGCGGGATCCGCAGCAAGGATCACTCTAGTGGTGCCGATCCCGGTCCACGTGCCGTGTGGCGTTTGCTCCGACGCCCGGTTCCTGCCGTTGTAGCGCTGGATTACTACTCACTTGTTCCGATCTTTAACGGTGCCGTGGGTCCGATTGATATGACGTCGGAGCTTTGTCAGAGACGTGGCCGTGACTATTACCACGGACTCTTCCTCTCAACTCGACGAGACAGCACCGCCAATTGACCATAACACCATGTCATCCCGTCAGCTTTCGCGATTACCACGGCTGCACGCACGGCCCTGCTTCTCGATACCAGCACTCTCCACGGTACAGCGCCGCCATCTGTCGCTACAAGAACTCGATGCCGCCAGAAAAGGTAGATGCCTTCCCTCCTCCTCGTCGTTCTCCGGTTCATAGCTGACACTCCATGGACCGAGAACGCATCCTCATCCTCGGCAGTGGCTGGGGCGGCTTCGGCCTTGCCCGCAGCCTGGACACCAAGTACTACCAGCCCGTCATAGTCACACCTCGCACCTACTTCGTCTTTACGCCCTTGCTCGCCGGTACTGCCGTGGGCACGCTCGAGTTCCGCACGGCGATGGAGAGCTCACATTCGCTGAAGGGGGTGGAGGTGATACGCGGGTGGGCCAGCGGGGTGGACGTAGCCAACAAATCCCTGCACGTCTCGGGCACCGTCGAGGACTCCGGGTCCGGGATCGAGACGTTCTCCGTTCCATACGACAAGCTCGTGGTGGCAGTGGGGTGCTACGCGCAGACGTTCAACATTCCGGGGGTTAAGGAGCACGCCTTCTTCCTGAAGGACGTGGGGGACGCGCGGCGGATCCGGCGGCGGATCCTGCAGCGCTTCGAGGACGCGAACCTGCCCACGTGCTCGCCGGAGCGTGCGCGCGAGCTGCTGCACTTCGCCATCGTCGGCGGCGGGCCCACCGGCATTGAGTTCGCGGCGGAACTGCACGATCTGCTGCAGGAGGACCTGGCCAAGATCTACCCGCGGCTGGTTAAGGAGGCTGCGAAGATCACGGTCTTCGACGTCGCTCCCGCTATCCTCGGCATGTTCGATAAGAAGCTGCAGCGGTACGCGCAGGGCGTGTTCGCGCGCCAGGGCATCTGCATCCAGACGTCGCACCACGTGCTGGAGGTGCTCGCCGACGCCGTGGTGACGGAGGAGGAGGGCCGCGTGCCCGTCGGCGCTGTGGTGTGGAGCACCGGGCTCGCGACGAATCCGTTTGTCAAGGAGGCGCTCGGACGGCCGTTTAAACTGTACCCCGACGACCCGAAGGCGAGCGAGTGGGAGATCCTCAAGACGCCCAAGAGCGGGCAGATCGGCGTGGATACCCACCTGCGGGTGCTTACCACACCGTTCGACAGCGAACGTCCCGCGCCGCTCGACGATGTCTTCGCAATAGGAGACTGCGCTGCCATCCGACATCAGGTCCTGCCTGCTACCGCCCAGGTCGCTAATCAGCAGGCGAACTGGCTCGCGAAAACTTTGAACAAGGCCGCGAGAGCAACCACCACCCCCACTACCACCCACACCACCACCGCCGCAACACACCACAAATCCCTTGCAGACGTCGAAACGCAGCCAGAGTTTAAGTTCCGCAGTCTCGGGATCATGGCGTATCTCGGTGGCTGGAGGGCGATCACGCAGAGCGGTGGCACCGACGTTAAGGGACGCATGGCGTGGCTGCTGTGGAGGACGGCGTACCTTACCAAGAGTGTTAGCTGGCGGAATAAGTTGCTGATTCCTACTTATTGGTGGGTCTCCCAGATTGGCTGTGGGGTGAGGCGGAAATTGGGTGAGGGTGGGGTTGCGTGCTAACGGGAATGGAATGCGCAGGTTCTTGAATTGGGTTTTGGGGAGGGATATCAATCGCTTCTGAGCTGTGAGGAGTGGGAGTGGGAGGGGGAGGATGTTTGTACCATGTGGGAGCGATTGATACCTGGGGCTGGGCGATGGGTGATGGGCTGCGACACTCTACTAACTATACTGTCTATACACGGTGTCTATACATTTCGGAGAAACATAGAATTGAAGGGCTGCGTTTACAGAAGCACGATGCACTTGGTGATGCTTTCTTACAGCTGCTAGAACATATAACTGCCGGTCCACCGCCGTTATTCCAGTATGGAGTACCGCGCGAGCTGCATGTCGCGCTTCTCCATTTTATTTTTCCAGTTCAATCATCTCTGCAAAAAACTGCGCTTCTCAACATCACAAAAAATACCGGTACGAAGAAGCAAACTGAGTGATATTCCATGACTCCCTCCAGCCCCTCGTTCGCCGAGCCCCGCCCCACCCAGTGCATTTACGCGGCCTCTCACAAGCCACGCCACAGTCCACATGCATTCCTCCAAAGTTCAGGGTCTCGACTGCGATTGCAATCAATCCCACCAGTCCCCGTCCCCGTCTCCCTTCCGAGTCCTGACGAAAGATAAATAATTATTTTTCGCTTCACCCACATGTTGTACATGTTGTACTCTAGTCAGGAACAGCACAGCGGTGCGGGGTGGGGTGTGAAGAGTGAGCTGTCTACTCCGCTTTAGTTAGCTGTACAGTACTAGTACAGTACAGTATGCAGGGGTTGTTGGTGACCGGTGGGACGCGTAACTAAGGGTAGAATATTAATGCGGGTGGTTGGACAGCAAAGAGGGAGGAGAGAAATCTTGCCCTGCCTGCTCTGCCTGCCTGCGTCCTGCCCGTCCTTGCTATACTCTACACGCACCCCCTCGACGTACATCACTGCACTACACTACACGACATAGACGACAAGAAACGACTGTTTTACGATCCTTCAATTCTACATACCCACGACGTTGTCGGAGAAAACCCTCACCTCGATCCTGCAACCATCCGCGCCTGCACAGCCTCCACGACATCCACCGTCGCCGTCGCCGCACCCCTCGCTCGCCCTCCCAACACCCACCCCGCCTCCCCCCTCACCACTCGCCCACCATAGCTGCCTCAACGCTCCTCACGTCGACGACGGGCACCCATACGACGACGACGGGTATGGGCTCGTCTGGCGAGCGGATCCTGCACGTGCGGACTGTGCGGGCCTTCCGGTGGCCGACGCTGGCGCTCGCGCTGCTGCTGAGCATCCTGTTCATCTGCGCGTCCGTCACTGTCGGCACCTACGCGTACTTCTCGTATGTCCAGGGACGGCTGATGGTGGTTGTGCCTTGGTCTGTATCCCCGAGCACACGAGGGGGGGGAGGGGTGGCAGCTAACGCTGCAATAGGTACTACTACTTTCTGATCGCCGTCGCGAGCGTCACGCTCATCTTCGTTTTGACCGTGATCGCGCTATACCACATCCACCTACTCCTGCCCCTGCCAATCCTCCTGGTATCATTCATCCTCTTCGTCCTCTGGCTCACAGGACTGATCAAGTCCTCGATCGAGCTGTGGGGGCCCATGGGCAGCGTCAACGACAACTGTGTGCGCTACGTGTACCAGGCGGGCTTCTGGGGCGGGCGGACACTCGACACGCTTGCACGCATCCAGCAGGAGGGGATGTGCAACCTTTGGAAAACGGCTTTTGCGGTGGAGATGATCGCGTGCTTTTGTCTCGTCTGGTTGGGCATGGTTAGTTGGCAGGTTAGGGCCGCGGCTGGGTACTAGGCGCAAACACGCGCACGGGAGGTGTACCATAGGCTCGGCTAGAGGGGAGAGGGGGAGGGCGGGCTCATGTGCAGGTGGTGGGTGGTTTCTTACGTCTAACGTCTGTCTTACGTCTTACGGAGTTGTGGCTTTCTATGTTTTTTGCTTTTCGCTTTTCGCGCGCGCGGCTGGGAAGGTGGGGGGAGGGGGTGGCATTGCTGTAACGAAATTTTGGATGTGACGATGACGATAATGATACCCGGTGGGACTCGGAGGAAAAGGGGGGGGGGAACGGGGAGGGGAATTGATACGGTGGTTACGATTCTGCGTGGCATTTCTACGTGACAGCTCAATCGCATGTTTCTACAGGAGTTCAACTATAGTACTATCCACACATCGGCATCGGTAATCGGTTGGAATCCAAAAACAGCTATCTACCTAGTAAATCGCACACAATTATCAAGATTCAAATGGTATCTCCGCACCCGCGCGCGCACCATCCGACTACTACTACATAGTAGACTACGCACTACACCCCCACAACCCCCTCATCAGATCCCACACGAGCATTTTCTCCATCTCCCTCTCCTCCTTAAGGTCCCTGCCCTCCTCGCCGCTGATGCCGAGACACTGCTGTACGACGCCCTCATAGACGGCGCCGCACTGACTCCTCAGGTCGGGGACGACCCTCTTCCTGAGCACATTCCTAAACTCCTCCGTGGAGAAATCCGTAATCTCTGCCGCGAAACTATCCGCGCTCTGCCACAGCCCAATCTCCAGGAGCACAACCCCGAGCGCGAAGATGTCAAAGGCGGGGATATACGGTCTCGCGGGGTACCTCAGACGAGTCGGGTGGGAGTATAGATCCTTCTCGCGTTCATGCGCCTTATCGGGCTCTTCGACATTAACGCCCCAGCCCATAAGGAACGGCTTGTTCAGCGCGACCCGCCGCGACTTCGACGGCCCCTTGCGGTCTGACGACTCCGCCGCTAGAAATAGGATCGAGCTCGGCCGTATGTTCTTGTGCGTGAACCCGCACGCGTGGATGATGTGCAGCGTGGCGAGGAGCTGCTTGGCCAGTGTGAAGCGCGCGCCGAGATCGATCGGGTCCCGGAGCGCGTGCAGGAGGGAGTGAAGGGTGGTCGGGCGGCGGAGAGAGAGGGAGGAGGACGGCGTGGACGGGCGAAGGTAGGAGGGGAGGTCGTACACGAAGCCGTACCGTCCGTGCGTGGCGTCGTGGAAGTACCCGCTGCATGGGAGCAGGCGGAATTCCGCCGGCTTGCTGGACGCCGCGAGGAGCTCCGCCAGGCTGTGGATGCTGTCTTCGAGGCGGCGCTGGGGGCGCTTCGCGACTAGGTAGGACGAGAACTCAATCAGTACCAGGCGCTCGGGGAGGTGGGCAGTTGTGGCGAGGCACGCTGAGTTGCTGGCGTTCCAGGTGGTCGTCGGGTGCAGGACGAAGTCCTCCCGGACGAGGACTGTGGGCGGGCGGATGAGACGCCGGCGCAGGAAGGGGTCGATGTGGGCGCGCGCACGGAGTTTGGCGGCTTGCGAGAGCGTCATGTACGAGTCGGAGAAGAAGCCTTTGGTCGGAGGGGAGCGGTCGGCCGCGTCGTCGGCGGCGGCGTTGTGTATGTGCAGCAGGGTTTGCACGTGGCTGTGGCCCGCCAGGAGCTCCGCGACCAGAGCGCGGTCCATCATCTCGCGGGATTGCGGCGGCGAGAGGTTGTAGAGATCATCCGTGTGGTGACGGAGCCGTTCGAGGAGTATCTCGAAGCGTGAGGGGTCGTGGATGATCCAGCGACAGTGGCCAAGATAATCGATAGCTAAGGAGGTAGATATCATCAGCAAATGTATTCTTCTGAACCCATACATACTGCCCCAGAACCACGCACCGAGACGATTCTTATCCAGCCGGAGCTTCGACATGGGGAGGCGACTGATGCCATTCAGCGCGATATCCGCCACATCGGGATCCCTCAGCTCGCGTCTCTCCTGCGCCTCCGCGATCTTTGCCAGGCCATAGGCGTCATGGAGCACACGGCCATTGACAAACAGATCCGCGATGGCATTCAGCGTATCGAGGATCTCATTCCCGGTGCGGATGCCGCTCTCGAGGTGAGACTGCAGTTTCCCGGTGCTCGAGTACCGCGGGTGGTGTCGCGATGCGGCCGCCGTGTGCGGATCGATCCCCCAATTCTCGCCCCACACGGTGAGACGGGCGCGCTGCGTGCGCATCCGCTGGTACAGCAGCTGCTGGTCATCGGATTCTGTTAGTGCCGCTGTCACGATGGTGTACCCGCGGAGGCAGGTCGTGTAGATCTCTATCGCGCCCAGGGCGAGGTTCGATGATGCCATGGCGCTGGATCGGATGGATGGGCTGGCGGGGAGATGTCAGTCAGCACTGGCTGGCTGCAAGTACGGTCAAGGGATCTGGACACGGACTTGTTGCTCGCTGAGGAGTACTATACTGGTAGGCGCAGTGAGAGTGCGGAGATGCGGGGTAACTATCTAGATGGCGTCGCTCTCTCTTCGGAATGGGCCGGTGGCTGCGGGGTTATCTGGAGGAAAGGGAGCCAACTCTCATCGTAGATCTTATTTTGCTGTCCGAGTACATAAATGTATGGCTGGTATCAGCGCGAGGGGGGTTGTCTCCTGCGGATACCTAGGCGGGCAGCGTTTCGGACCGGTGTAACGCGAGTAGGCATCAGCCTGCGATTCTTTCGCCGTGTGATCCCTCACGATTCGAGCCTGTACGTACGCAGCCCTACGTAGGATGCAGACCTCCCTGCAATTGGTAGACCACGGTAGCTAGGGTACAAAGCCGTCCGTCTCATTTCCTATCCGAACGTGCAGGAGACCCTCGACTTGGGAGCCGATGAATCATGATCGACTAGGTAGATAGTAACTACACGACCACACGAATAGGGAGGTTTTCCGAGTGGGTCGGTATGGAGCAGAAGCTCACGATTACCGTCCATACGAATCGCACTCCACACGAATAATCAAAACGTACTGGCGCCGGCAGTCTGCGCGAAGAGTCAAGTACTGGCGATATCTACTCCGCGCGAGTCATTAAGCGTTGGCGATATCTAGTACTTTGTACGAATAATCAGATACTGGCGATACTCAGATGCTGGCGATGTTCGGCCCGAATAAGTAATTAAATATTAGCGATATTCCGCGCGAATGATGAAACATTGACAATATTCCGCGCGGATAATTAAGCGTTGGCGACATTCGGCCCGAATAGGTAATAAAATACTGGCGATATTCCGCACGTATATAAATCAAATTCTGGCGATATCGACCTTGGTGTTCAGTCGATTACTGCGTGTCTCTCACGCCACGATTAGTAGCCGCTGCGACGGGCGGAGGAGGAGGGCTGTGTGAGTCCGCACGCAACGGTATCTGTGTTGGACTCCACTCGAGCAATATGGCGATGGCTCGTGGGAAAGATGTTATCCGTTAAGGAATGGTGCAAAGTTACCTGGAATAGGGCTGAAGAAGGGACCCCATGGGGTTCGCCTGGGGGAGGGATTGGGTATTTAGCGAGAGATAAGCGGAGCTCCTACCATCAGAGCTAGAAAAACAACCTTCTTTCACCCCACTTCCCACGTGTACGGTTTTCGGGTATAGATATCACTCTGTCCGACTAACTTTGAACTGAAACTCGATACGTCATAGAACTTCTACATATCCGAAAACCGCTCCAAATAACAGCACAAAGCCTTGGTGGGTTGTGACCCTTTGTGTCGATGTCAAGTTGGTGATTTTGTTGTCTCCCGCGCCCCACCACGCAGCTAATGGTGAACGGCAGTAGAATAAAGTGTGAGTAGTAGCCTGGTAGGAAAAAATCCTGTACTTTGGCATGTAATTATTCGGGTATTCAATTTTGCCCACCATGCGGGTACCTCTTCAAAGTCGTTGCTGGTTCTGTGGTCTTCCAGATTCCTAGCCACCATCCACTTTTAGGTTTCCTAAGACCCCACGAAACCCACAATCCCGCGTGCCAAGCCTAATCGTGTATGAAACAACGCGTCTCCCGTCTCTTCCACACCTCCCCACCTCAATCCCGGACTCGTTACCAACGATTGCACACTCCCGCTCCACCACAAATTCTCGCCCCGCCTCCCCAACTAAGCGAAAACTTCAATCATCCCACCTAGAATCCCGACCGTAGTCGCTCCACCTTTCCTGAACGAATAAAAAGATCTCCTCAGAGCTTTACCTTTCTTGTATTTCCACCTCCAATCCCCCCACACTACCATCGTTCCCACCACAATATTGACCGCAGTCACAATTATAGCACGAGCGTAGCTCACGGCGATTTACACATCGAATCCCTTTCTCCAGACCAACCCCACGAACCGAACAACAATGGTGCCGAAAAAGAAGAGGGCAGCTGCCAATACTAGCAACACAAAGTCGACGGTCGGAAGCGAGTCCACGGCTCCAACAGCTGTCGATAAGGCACCGGCGCAGGTTTTCAAGCTCGGTGACCTCACCACGTACGTACCAATAGTTGACGAACATGGCCTCGAGTACCCCGTACTTCAGATGGGAACATGTCAACGAATCCCGATGACCGAAGAGCACGACCGGTGCGTCTCTTGCATCGAAAAATCTGCCGCCGTTGGTAGCTGTCGGTACATCGGAATGCGTGTCTTCAAGGCGACGACTACGAACGAAGTGACGAAAACACATTATGACGACTACGCCTTCCGATCGAATCAGGACGCCGCGCCTGTTCCCACCCGCAAGAGGAAGCCCGCCCCCGAGAAGCGCGGAGCCAGGCGAGCTAGTGCCAAAGATGATGACGAGGAGGAGCAAGGTGATGATGAGAGGACTTCATCTCCCAAGAGGAGCTCCAGAATATACGCGACGCCAGTCCCGGCGCCGGACATGCAGATTTCGGTCGAGCAGGCTACGTATCTTAAGCCTTGGGTTACTCGCTTTTTCCACATCCAGATCGAGAGGGAGATCCGTCATGAGAATACCCATACCGGAAAGATCACGGAGAACGCCGTTCCTGGTGGCGTTCGCCCGATTGTTCGCACGCAAAACCTCCCTTCGACCAGGTCCTACTGCGACGTTTGCGCCACGGGTATCTTCATGGGTTCCTACATGTGTGGTTGCTGCGGACGTGAGATGTGCCTCGGATGCATGGAGACATGGACTCCGTCGGGTGAAGTCACAGCCGGTAGACTGAACCGAATAGACACGTGCACAAAGAAGCGTCGCCATCAACACGACCAAATGATGTTCCTGACACGTGCGAGGCCCGGAGCGCTCGTAGAGCTCATGAAACAGCTCATCTTTCACGAACAGGCGGTTCCGGGGCTATCACAGGACGACGATGCCACCCTCAAACTGCCTGAGATAACCGCACCTTCGCCGAGCACGCAAAATTATCTTCCGGTACCCACCACCAAGCACGAAGACCTTCCGCTCGAGGCATTTCAGAAATTCTGGCGTCTAGGCAAGCCTCTAGTTCTCACTGGATTGAAGGATAAGTTCGAGTTACCCTGGGATGCCCAGTATTTTGTTGACAAGTACGGAACCGAGCGGTGCCAGCTTCACGACTGTGCTGTCGATTCGAATGAACCTTACGAGGGACGAGTTGACGACTTCTTCGCCGAATTCGGTGGCACAACGCCGGAGTCGCTGAAACTGAAGGACTGGCCTCCGACAACGGAATTCAAGAAAGCCTTTCCGGAACTCTTTGCGGACTTTGAGAATGCAGTGCCATATCCCACCTACACACGTCGCAGTGGTCCACTCAATCTCGCGTCGCACTTTCCGGAAACTTGGGTAGCTCCTGATCTTGGCCCAAAGATGTACAACGCATATCCGGCCCCAGACTTTCTTCCGTTGGTTGAGAAGCCCGAGGCGAAGCTTACTCGGGGGGAGAAGCACGTACTCGTTCAGGACATAAAGGGTACGACTAATCTGCACCTCGACCTTACTGATGCCGTCAACGTCATGCTGTATGCCGACGGCGGTAGAAAGGCCCCCAAGTGCACGACAGTCGACAAGAAAATTCCTCTCTGCGGCGCTATCTGGGACATCTTTCCGCGTTTTGCAAATGTGCCCCTTCGAGAGTACCTGAAGAAAAAGGACAAGACTGTGGACGACCCTATCCACCGTCACAAGTACTACCTCTCCGAATTCGACCTCGAGCAGCTTGCGAAGATGGGTGTTCACTCGTACAGGATCTTCCAGAACCCCGGTGACGCAGTTTTCATCCCAGCAGGATGCGCGCATCAGGTAAGGAATCGTCGCGCCTGCATCAAGGTCGCCGTCGACTTCTTGTCTCCCGAGAACTTGTTTGTCTGCAAGGACATCCTGGAAGAGTTCCGTGCCATGGCTCCCAAGGTGGCAAGGGCTGGAACGAAAGGAATGCAAAAGGAGGATGTGCTTCAGTTGTGGTCGTGTGTTGGTTTCGCGTGGGACGCTGTGGCGAGAGTTCTCGATTTGGGCGATGAGGCAGAAGATGCTAAGGTGAATCGGTCCGGAAGAAAACGTGCGGTGGATGCTGATGTGTTACTGCCGCAGGAGTCACTGATTGCCGGGAATGCTGGAAAGGGTAAGAAGTCTGTCAAATCCAAAGCAAAGGGGAAACAGGTGGCGGTCGAGCCTGAGACTGAGCCCGAGGAGTCCGAACACGAGGACGTGATGGATTCCCCCCCCCAGGATGTTGACCATACTCCTGCTACTCCTTCAGAGGAAGTGGACGAGCCACCGGTTGTCAAGCCTGAGGAATCGGAACACGAGGACGTGATGGATCCCCCCTCCCAGGATGTTTATCACACTCCTGCTACACCTTCTGAGGACGTGGAAATGGACGAGCCACCGGTAGTCGAGCCACCGGTTGTCGAGACTGCCGGAAAGCTCAAGAGGTCTGTCAAGAGCACGAAGCCTATTAAGTCCAAAGGAAAGGGGAAACAGGTTGCGATCGAGCATAAAGAATCCGAACACGAGGACGTGATGGATACCCCCTCCCAGGATGTTGACCACACCCCTGCTACACCGTCCGAGGACGTGGACATGGACGAGGCACCAGTTATTGAGCCACCAGTTGTCGAGAATTCTGGAAAGAGCAAGAAGCCTATCAAGAGGTGGAAGCCTGACGAGAGCAGGAAGCCCGTCAAGGGCAAGAAGCCTGTTAAGCCTAAAGCAAAGGGGAAAAAGGTTGCTGACAAGCCTGAAGAACCTGTACACGAGGGCGTGATGGATCCCTCCCAGGATGTTGACCACACTCCTGCTACACCTTCCGAGGAAGCCGATGAGGCACCAGTTGTCGAGCCACCAGCTGTCGAGCCGCCAATTGTCGAGCCACCAGCTGTCGAGCCACCAGCTGTCGAGAATACTGGAAGGAGTAAGAAGCCTGTCAGGAGGTGGAAGCCGGACGAGATCAGGAAGCCTGTCAAGGGCAAGAAGCCGGTCAAGAGCAAAGGAAAGGGGAAACAGGTTGCTGTCGAACCTAAGCAATCCGAACACGAGGACGTGATGGATCCCCCCTCCCAGGATGTTGACCACAATCCTGCTACTCCTTCCGAGGACGTGGACGACCCTCCGATTGTCGCTGACGAAGACAGAGCCTTATCTCCAGTGGCTGCCATCCAGGGGGCCGTCAAGTCTCGTCCGACCGCCAGCGAGAGTGAAGTCGGGGCTAAGCGTAAGCAGCGCGGCGAGGACACTGATGACATCCCTGATGTCATCACAGAGTCCAGCAGCATTGCTGCTGCTAAGAGACGTAAGGTGGCAAAGTCGTCTTCTGCGAAAGACAGCCACCAGTCTCGTCCGGCCGCCAGCGGCGACAAAGTCGGGGCTAAGCGCAAGCAACCCGACGAGGACGCCGATGACATTCCAAATGTCATCCCCGAGGTCAGCAGTACTACTGCTAAGAGACGCAAGGTGGTCAAGGAGCCCCTTCCCGAGGACAATCGCGGGTCCCCGATCACCCCTGGCCAGGACACCCAGCTCTCCTCGGTTACTCCGGCAACCCCCTCTGCGACCCCTAGCAGGATTAACCTCGTGTTTAAGGGCAAGCAGAACGATAGCGAGGCCAGTGGCGCTACGTCTGCGGAGGGAGGGCAAGAGGTTGTCAAGGAGTCCCTTCCGAGGGGTACTGACAAGTCCCCGATCGCTTCAGACCAGGGCACCCACCAATCGTCGGCCACTCCGGCAATATCCCCTGCGACTGTCAGCAGGATCAACCTGGTGTTTAAGGGCAAGCAAACCAAGGAAGACGGTGCTACTTCCAGTGCCGTCTCCGAGTATGTCCACGGACCCCCGGTTGCTTCCGGCCAGAATTTCCGGTTATCCCCCGTGACCCAGATCAGGAGGACCCTCAAGACGTATTCCCGTAAAAAGGATATGACCATGGCTGTGCCCGCGGAACCGGATAGGGCCGTATCCCAAGAGGAGGCCGCAGTCATTGCTGCGCTCGGAAAGTTGGCTGAGCCCGAGGGGACAGCTTCCGACGAGGTCCCGCCCATGTCCGAGGCCGCTGGGAAGTCCGCTGAACAGGATATGACTATTTCCCCCGACGAGCCTCTCGTGGACATGGCTCCGGCCGCTCCACAGCCTCCTACCTTGCGTAGGTCGTCTCGGAAGCGTGCCGCCCCTGCGTCTTCGTCGGTCCCGGAAACTTCGGAGGCCCCAGTCCCGGCCAAGAAGGCTCGCCGCCGCGGGTAGTGGCTGCCGCTACGGCAGTTACTCCCATTGCTTTTCGAATGTTTTCCTACGTGCTTTTCCTTATGTTCTTTGTTCGCCTGGTTTTACCAGCGGGGGGAGTTTGGGTGGTAACGTAGGGGGCGTTTGTTTTCGGTGGGGGAGTTTGGGGGCGATTTGTGGTGTTTTGATTTTCGCATCATTTTTCTTTTAGATTTTTTAGCTTTTCGTATGATACCGGGAAGCACTTTGTGTACTTTATGTTTCTTTTTTTACTTTGCTTAGGGGTAACTCAGCTGTGTTTCTGTGATGTTTGCTGGCGATCTGGGGGTTTGATTGTGGGTTTGATTTCGGCAGCATTTGTTTTTTTTTCTTTCTAGCTTTTCGTATCATACTTGGAAGCACTTGTGTACTTGATAGGTTTCTTTTTACGTACTGGGGGGGGGGGGGGGGGGGGGGGGGGGGGTAATGCAGCTCGTTCTGGGGAGTTGCCTTGAGGATCCAGTGATATTGACTATTTCGTGTTGTGGTGCGTATCTCCCAAGTCTATGCCCTCGCCGATACGAGATGATAACAGTAACCACTCACCCCCTCCAGGAGCGACTGTTCTACTGTAAAACTGCCACTAACCATTCAGCCTATCCGGACTGTAGAGCGAGAGAGTGTGTTTGAGAACATCGATTGATGGTAGCATGCAGACTATCTGTAGTAGGAAGACTACGGCGACCTGAAAGAGTCACCATCGACTTTTGTACCAGCCCCACAGGGGATACCATAGATCATGGAGAGAAATTACCATTGCCGTCCGTCCGGCGTCGGCCCGTTGCTACTACACCACTACCTAGGTAGGTATGTAGTATGTACGAGATCAGAAAGTAACAAAAACAGAAACCAAGGAAATGATATTAAGAAAATGTAGTTTCCGCTCCTTACCTCTTCTAAGTGAATGCTATGAAAGAAGGTGTGAGGAGGAACAGCGGGAGTGACACCGGCCCCTCAACTTCAGTCTTCAGCACTCTCCTCCTGAGTCCTCCTCGCGCCTCAGCTCCGCTTCTTTCTTTGCCCGCTCCCTGAGGTCCCATTCGGACACCTCATTTGCTGCATCTTCCCCAGCGGCCGTTAGGATTCATCTGCTCACAGATCGTGATAGCCACTGATCACGCTAGTGATTAACGGTGACTGAGTGACCGGCGGTGACTAACTGTGAGTGACTGCGCGTGATGCAGTTTCGCTGGCAGTTAGTAGCCTTGCGGATCTGCACGAGTACGGAGTATAAACGATGGACAGATAGTCGAATATCCAAGTCTCAGACATATATCCCCCGGCTCCCCTCCCGGCTTGGGGGCGGGTATGCGGCCTTGTCTTCGGCCCTGTCTTCGAAGTTCGGCCTACCTGGGTAGAGTACATAGGGAAGGCCTGGTCGCAGTGGAGGGTTTGTGTCGTTGTATCGTGGCCCGTCGACCGGCACATGCATACTCCCTCACGGCGAATTTCGTACTTTTATGGACGTGCAAAGCGATGCGATTTGACTTCGCCTAGTCCTTCAAAGTTCAGCTCTTCAACTTGGCCCGCGTATGTACTTTACCGAGGGCTTCGACCGTGGAGCTCGCTTCAATCGGGACACTCGAGTCTCAAGTGAGTAGCGCAGCCCCCTACTACGATTCCTCCTTCCACAGTTCCACTTCATATATTAAGTACTCCGATTCCATTCGATTCGTGATTTGTACATACATAGATACAAGAAAGAAGAAAGAAGAAAGAAGAAAAAAAGGTTCCGCACATCTTAATCCTCGATTCCCGCACCTTTGTTCTCGCACCTTTCCCATGCAAACAGGCCCGTGCAAACTGCAGCTAGACTCCCCCCCAAAACCCTGCACAAGTGACAAAACAGCATATCTCGCCGACACATTATCCCCCCCCCCCCAAAAAAAAAATCAATCAAGTCCTCTGCTCATAAGTCCCCAACTCCGCCGGGGGCGGCTGTGGAGGGGGCTGCTGATACATCAGCGGCTGCTGCATCGCCTGTATGGGCGGCGAGTACTGCGGCTGCTGCTGGGGGTAACCACCGCCGCCATACAGCTGCTGCGGCGGCGGGGAGCCGGGAATCGGCATTGGCATGTGCTGCTGCTGCTGGTTAACGCCCGCCTTATCGTTGGTGGGGTAGTATCCGACGCCCGGCTGCGGCTGGGGGCCGGGTCCGACGGGCGGGTAGCCAGCGGCCGCGGAGGCGGAGGCGGAGGCGCTCTTCTTGCTGCGCCGCCGGATCAGGAAGAACCCCAGCAGGCCGATGGCGATGACGGCGACGCCGCCGACCACGCCGCCGGCAATCGCGCCGGTGTTGGTTGAGGTGCTGTTGTTGCTGCTGCCGGCGGGAGCGGTGGGGACGCTGGCGGCGGAGGTGGTGGACTCGAGGGAGAGACCGCTGCCCGGTAGCGTGGTCGCGTCGGCGGGCGTGGATGCGGGCGTGCTGGAGCTCGGCTTCGAAGTGAAGGATTTTACCTCGAATGGTTGCAGCCCGCTGGTGGACGCTGTGGCGCAGATCAGGATCAGGAGGGAGTTGGTGCCGGCGTAGCTGGCGCAGTAGGGGAGCGCGGAGTCGGAGCTGGTGGACGTGAGAAAAGGCCATCGCGAGGGATGGAGGAGAGGTAGGTATAATTTATGTACATACCAGACGAGTGTCAGCGACCCGGCGGTCGAGATACACGCCGTTCCGCACGCGGTCGAGTCATAACACGTAGTGTCGAAATTGCAGTAGTCGTTTTGGTAGCAGCAGCCGAGGACGGGAAGAGAGCTGTGGCTTGTGCAGGTGAACGATACGCCGCAGGAGACTCTTTTTTATCTTGGTCAGAACGAACGAACGAACGGTACACGGGGGAGAGGTGGAATCCTACTCGAACTCGGGGACTGCCAAGGGACGCCAGTCAGTAACACAGCCATCACTCGGTGTCAATCCGGAGGGGGAGCTTACGATGAACACTGCTGATATATCCACACACTTGATCGCTCGCGGCTCGTTTCCTAAGGCCGTGCGGATTTCGGAACGCAGGCGCGGTCGTCGGCCTCGGGATATCCATGTAACCGAATGGGCCGGCGTCGGGCTTGGTACTGGTCGGAGCATCCCATTTGACCTTGGCGGCGGCCAGCGAGACCGAGTACAACAGACATATCCAACTCGCGAGTGCCATCGTGTGTATGTTGAGTTCCTTGAAGGGTGTCTATCGAGGACCGGGATCTGTCGGAATCGAAGTATCTGGTGGGCAGACCCTTTTTTCAGCACCCGCGCGAGGAGGAGGAGCTGGGGCGCTCTTTATTGTTGGGGGTGCTTGGTCATTTGTTTTTTCGTGGAGGCCTCCGAATGCAGCTGTGCCAAGCGTCTGACGGCGTGCAGGCGAATAGCGCGCAGAAGAGGCACTACCCATGGTGTAACCTGGCTCTCGGTTGTTGTCTGCAGGGAGTCCCACCCGAGTTGCGAGTTGCGAGTGGGGATTGGGACTTGAAGAGCGTGGAGTTGGTGGTGAGCGTACCAACCATCTAATAATACCGGTACTACTATAGAGTACAGTAGAGCGTGAGTATTGTTGCCTGCTCAGTGCTCACGCAGCGCTACTACTAATAGCGAAGGTGCAACTGGATACGTGGGCGGCTGGCAGCTGGCTCACAAGTTCAACGAGACATTCTTCAGACGGTCCGCTGGTTCTTCGTTTCTCGTGATCCGTTCCACGGCGGCGAACTCGCTACCGAGACCGTCCAATGGATCTTTAATTCTTCGGATGTTTCATTCTTCGGATCTTCGATTCTTCGGATCTTTCGTTCTCCGCGATCCTTTCCACAGCCACGAACTCGCTACCGAGACCTGGCGTCGCCTGTTCACTGGATCTTCCATTCTTCAGATCTTCGGATCTTCCATTCTTCGAGATCACCGCGAACTGTCAACCGAAACCCGGCGGCGGACGTCGTCTGTGCACGGGTTTTTTGGATCCCCATTCCGTCCCTCACTCCGTCCCTGCATAGGTAGAGTAGATACGACGATGCCGATTACCGGTATCACGGGCACAGGTCCGAGGTCTGAGGCACCGTATTCCCGCCTGCTGATGAGGCTGGTGCTGGTATGATACACGCAATATCCGAACGGGAGGCCGCAGAGTCAGGGGTACCGTACTCCAGGCATCCAGCCTCCAGCGGGCTCCGTGGACCGTGGGCGACGGCGGCTCGACTCACCAGGATTCAGGGAGTCAGGGAGGATCTATTCTCCGTCTCGACTCTTGAGATCTGCCTACTCTCCTACACATAGATACGTAAGCGGGGATTCGCTATGGGCATTGGACATTTGGGGGGCGGCGACGAACAAATGAATACGATCCACCGTATGTACATACTGGACGGGGGGTACTACCGTATCGTATTGTGTAGATGTGTGGGAGTGACAAAACATGACCTCGCAGGCGGTCGGTCGAAAGATCGGATTGGAGGGTTGGAGGGGGTGGCAAGTGCGGGGGGTTGGTTACCCGTTCCCCTTCCCCTCCCTTCCCTTCCCTTCCCCTCCCTTCCCTTCCCTTCCCCTCCCTTCCCTTCCCCTCCCTTCCCTTCCCCTCCCTTCCCTTTCGCCTGCCCTTCCCGCCAGCCCCTCCCCTTCTCCCTGTGCAGTTAGTCAACTAAAGTCTCAACCCTTCGCCGCCCACTTCCCTTCCCGGGCGCGAGAGTCATACAAGCACGTCATACCACAACATCTACCAATAAGTCGATACTAGGTAGTATATCGGTACGAGGTACTCTAACTGCCACGGTCCACCAGTGACTGGAGTATGTGCCCATGAGCTGGACCGTCGGATCGCCCTCCCTCGAACAAGTATCGACAAGCATCCGACCTCTGGAAGGAGAGGAAATCGGGTGGGCTCTGGACTCTGGAGTAGGAGTCTCTGCGGAGCTTCTGAAGCCGATGGGTAACACCCTCCCCATCGTGTGTATGCGGCGTATGAGGTAGATACACTGGACTCTGGACTCGGGAGCCGAACGCATATCAGGTCCGGGCCGAAAACAGTCGAGTTACCACAGTAGGTAGTCGAGTTACGTGCAGCACACAAACCGGAATCCGGCTCGGCGCCCTGCACTGGCCGTTTGAAGACTCCATTTCCGTGTCTCCACGATTCGAGTCCTCAGACTTGGCGATGTCGCGCGCACCGAGTGCTGCTAGCTGGTTCCAAAAATATCCACGAATGGAGTGCGAGCTGCAAACTGCGAAATGCGAAATGCGAAATACTCTACATACGCGTGCGGTACTCTACTCTACCCTACTTTGCCTACCGGCATTTCTCCTAGGAGTCTGGGACTGGGAGGAGTCCAGGACATCTCATAGGTACCGTACCCGCCCCACTCCCCGGCTGCGTCCCGGCAGCGTCTCCGTGTAGAGTACAGCCACAATGATCGACAGTATCGGATAGGTGTGTATCTGGCTTCCACACTGCACAGAACATAGGTAGCGGGGCACGCCTTGCACCTCACACCGTGCTCTACATACTTACTTGCTTACGTAGGTATTCGCCTGAGTCCGGTCAACTGGAGTCTGTTAGCGATAAGCGCTCTCCGAGTCCGACGGGTTCCCGTGAAGAACTTGCCAGTTGCCACGATTGTGGGCTCGAGCTGGGTGACTTGGGATTCTACGTTTTCGTCGAGCACCGGACACTCACGACTCGCGAGCTCGTTACGCGGTACATAGTTGTCGTCGAGTTCCTCTGCCGGTACTCCGCTACCACTACATATCGGCAATGATGCGAGGTAAGCTCCGCCCCACTAGCAAACGATACGGCTGGTGCGAGACAAAGTGTAACCAAGTAATTCTGTAACGATGGGGGTTGGTGATGAATTCACAGCCTCTCAGCGCGTCACTGCTGTAACATCACTGCAACCTCAAGATGCGCCCATCGTCAGTGCCATCGCGCCACAGTAAATTTCCACCCTCCTTGTTCTATACAGTACTTACTTGCTTGAGTGGTTCGGTATCTAAGTACATTATGTGAATACAGACTTGCATCACGCTGTGAAAGGAATCAAAGGAATCAGAGAAAAAGAAACAAGAAAAAGAAAAATGCTGCAGAAATGCAAGCAAAAGAAAAACAGAAAGAAACAAGAAGAAAAAAGAGATAGAAAATACAGATGTCACAAGTCCAGACCAGCCCCTAACTCCGACCCTCCCTTGCGGCGCACAAAATGGAAAATAAAAACACACATCTCCAGCTCCCGCATCGTACCTAGTATCGTTCCGGCAGCTCCGTCGGCGGCGGGCCATTATACTGCTGCTGAGGCTGACCATTATACTGCTGCTGCGGCGGCCCGTAGTATCCGTGCTGCTGTTCGGGCTGGTGGTACGGCGCGGGCGATTGCGAGTCGTAGTGCGTCTGCGCGGAGACGGGTGTGGGCAGCTCCGAGGGCTGGTACTTGTAGCCGAAGGACTCCTGCTGCTGTTGTTGCGGGTGCATCATCTGCGGCGGCGGCGCGGCGTACACCTGGTTGTTCCACGGCTGGTCGCTGTAGCTGCCGCCGGAGTACATTGGCTGCTGCATCGGGGGTTGCTGGTGCTGGAGCATGGGCTGTTGCGCGGCGGGCATGTCGGGTTGGTAGGGCACGTGGTGGTTGGGGGCTACGGCGGCGGCGGCGGCGATGGCAGCCCGCTTCTTGCGGCGCGAGAGGACGAGAAAGATGCCGAGCGCGCCGACGACGATCACGGCGAGACCGCCGACGACTCCTCCCGCGATCGCGCCAACGTTGGATTTCCCGCCGCCTCCTCCCGATGTGGGCTCCGTAACGGCGCCGCCCAGTGAGGCCGAGGCGGAACCCGAGGCCGGCGACACCCCGATGTCGGACGAGGCGAAGACGATCGCCGTGCGCGAGACTACCTCGACCGATGTCGCCTTGGGGATCGTGATGGCGGCATTCATGGCGACGGGCTGGGTCAGGCCTGCGGTTGACGTGCAACCCCACACGCTCACGGTGTCGCTGGGCACCGTGTAGAGGATGCAGAACGGCGCGGTCGAATCGGTACTGTTCGCGGAACATGGCTTTAGCTCCCGGGCTTGCGACGGCGGGATGGAAACAACTCACCACTTCCTCATGAGAGTGTTCGACAGACAGCTGACACCGCAGGACGCTTGGGCAGCCGAGCCCTGATCACTCCGTTAGCCCCCTCGTCCACCGTTGGGGAGGATGGGTACTCACGATACATGCTGTCCGGAATCCGCAGACGGTAGTGTCACTCTCAGGATAGCAGCACCCGAGAACACCGCTTCCGGTGGTGCAAGTCGCCAGACTGTACTCGCAAGTCCACGGACGCCCTACGAATCCCACAATCAGTCACTGTCGGTCGGCCAGCAACAAGGAAGCATGCTCTCTCACCTGAGTCGTTGCTGATGTAACCGCACAGCTGGTCGGAGAAGGCTCTGGCGAAGATGTGCTTTCCGGGCATGGGCACCATCTCTCCGCCGTACAGCGGGAACGGCGCCTCGGTTGGGAGCGGCGTCCAGCCCAGCGGGTCGTTGACGGGCTTCGTCGGGTTCGCACCGTCCCACGGCATTGCGGTCGCCATCGTCGCGGCCAATCCAACAAACGTCCAGAGAGTCGCCATAGCTGCCGTGTCGCGGGGTTGTGATTCTTTTGCGAAGCGAGTGAGCGGAGTCGAGTGTAGGTAGGTACATATGATAGAGGCGATAAATGCTTCGGAGCCTAAAGGCCAAGGATGGGGGGGGGGGGGGGGGGGGTTGGCAGCCACCGGTATTTTAGGCAGTGAACACGAGAACGAACATCTCAGCCGTGGCTGGGCATGCACTTGAGGACTTTCGGTTGCTGCATCCAGTGATGGACCAATCACCGTCGTGGGCGCCTACAGTACTGCAGCGTCTGGCGGGGATTGGCTCGGTTTCGCATCGGGTGTTGCACGGACTGTCGGTGAGCACGCCGGCTGCGACCCCACTCTCTCTCTCTCTCTCGACGCTGGGAGGGTTGGCAAGGCGATAGATGAGGCGGAACAAGTGCACTACTAATAGGATCTACGATATACTCGCTGGGGATCACGAGCAGCGTCCTGACCTTCGAAGCGTGCGCAGTAACTACCCCATTCGTCGTCACTCGACGGCGGCGAATGCCCGGCCGATGGTCGAGGACTCGCCTCATCTCCCTCTCTCTCTTGCCTCTCAAATAACCATAGTTTGGTCAGGCCGGATGCGACTGTGACTGAAATGCTCGCAATCCAAGTGCATCCCACAAACAACGTCCATCCCATGATCCGCATCCGCCTTGAGGCTGCTAGGTCCAGGAATAGATGGCCCTTCTCCTTCTCTGACTTCTGAGTCCTGAGTCCTGACTCGCGAGTCTCGAGTCCTTCCCAGTCCCAATCCCAGGTTCTTACCCGCAGGCCCCAGCCATCGCGAACGCCACCAGATATGCTCGATCTTCATGGTTGACAGAAACATCCACCATTCCAGCACCGAGGTTTAGATGGATATAAAGCACTCGTCTCGCACCCTCATGTCGATCCCGCCGGTGCTACGCCATGCCATGCTACTCACCAGTACCCCACCTACAGAGCCGCCGTCGATGTTCCTACGTACAATACATATCCTATCCTACACATGACAGCCGGCCGGAGTGTTTCCTCGTCGTCACGCACGGTGCAGTGGGCATTGGGGGTCTCACACGCCGCACGCGGCCTTCGAGGGTAATTGGAGGAGCGGGTATGTGTGATTTGCGGCTGGAGGCTGGAAAGTGCTGTTCGGAATTTCCCAGGCTGAGGGTCTGGTTATTCGCCTGCTGTCCAATCCAGTATCCGCCGTTCCACTCTCGAGACATCCAACGATGGAATTGCGGTCTCGTCTTCAAAGCAAGGCGGCTACCAATGGCTCCTCGAATCGACCGAGACCGGTCGTTCTGAAGTCCGAACGCTGTTTTCAAATTTCGACATCACGGCCGCAGCCTCGCTATACCCAAAGTTTCCACTCACTCACGAAATCGGGACTCTACCACGGCTCCGGAAGACACACCTGGTTGAGTACATCTAGAGTACCTACCGTACTGATTTCCGCACATCCAACCACAGTACAGACAAAGCGCCAAACCACTCCTCAGCCCGAGCCCGAGCTGTCACCCGTGTGACACTGCAACTGTGTGCCTGTGTCCCCCCGACTCCCCGAATCCCCGATCTCGTTCACACTTCAGAGACACTTGGCACGTAAGATCGAAATAGAGCAGGTAGCGATATGAATCCGCTCGGCACTCACCTACATATCACCATTCACCTATCACAACCCTCCTGTCGCGAATCCAAACTTCAGGGTTTGGGTTGCAACATCGGTAACACAGTTCCGCCACGCCGAGCGCACCAAGAGAATATCGACAATCAAGAAAAAATCAAAGAAGTGCGCAGCTCGGGCTTCCCCGCCTGCGCATTTGTTCGATTACTTGTTTCCTCTCCACCCACCCACCCACCAACACCACCCAAGTCCACCACACCTGGCACACCACACCATCGTGTTCATCTGTTCGTCTGTCTGTGTGTCGGTGTCCGCCTAACTCTGGTACGGTACTCGAGAGTAGTGGGGTGTTGTCCGTGACCTTTTACAGGTTAGCAGACCGCTCTAGATATGCACCCGAAGCGAGCGAACCTGCGAAGGACCGGATAAGTCGGCCCCGGCTCCGCTCCGGTGAAGAAGGTACGCTAGATACCTACTGGTACGAGGCGCATCTATATATGTATGTATATACGGAAAACTAGAGTAGAGTCGCGAAGTGATGAAGTGGCAAGCGTAAATAGGTACAAACCGGATCCTATCGATGGGGGATGGGGGATGGGGGCGGGGGGCGATGAGTAGCAGCGGTGGGGAAAAAGCGAGCGGGCGAGAGAGAGAGCACAGCAGAGTACGTTACGGGCGCGCAGCACGTGTCTATTAGAAATTCAGTGATTCGCACCGCTTCCCCCGTTCATCGTAAAGAGAGAGTTGGTGTTCCCATCGTGAAGAGTCAAGACGGCGAGCAGAGCTTACGGGCGGCAAAATTCATTGATTCGATCGATGGTAGAGTTAACATCGAGTCTCCAGGCTCTAGCTGGACCCCGTATTCGGAGATTAAGTCGTATCGCTCTATCGCCTCTGCATGCGCTCTATAGGCTAGGTAACTAGAGTATCCTGTGCCCATGTCGTTTCCTCCCTGGCTATCTCGAGTAGAACAGTAGAGTGCTTACTAACAGTAGCCGACAGTGACACGACCCTGGCCCTGGCCCTGGGGCCTGAACCTTCAACCGCTACGCCACGAGTGCACTACCCACCACGACCATCACCAGCACCACGACCATCACCAGCACCACGACCATCACCACCACCACTGCGCGGTGTAACCTAGAACACTGAGTACATACAGCACATATAGTCGCGGCGACACACGTCCGGCAAAATCGCCACGACGAAAGCTGTCATGTGTAGTGTGTGGGAGGAGAGTACCGGTATGTACTACATGCTATAAATTAGCCGAGTACCCTCCGCTCCATCTGCCATCACTCGACGCCAATTCACGACAGCGAGAATACGTCTCAGTTCGGCCCACTCAGCCTCGACCAAGGGCCTGCGGTGAGGTAGGGACAAGTCTCGGGAGTGGAATTTGGTCTTTCCTAGTGTCATTTCTTTGGAGCACTCATTTCCTTGGAGCGCTCATACATTGCTGGGAAAGCCCCATCGGGCCACTCGATGAAAATCGGGTCGGACAGTGAGTGGCGAGGAAACGGGGCGGTGACTGGATAGATATTGCCATGAATTAGATTGGTAGGTCGCATGCGATCAATGAATGGACAGAAAAAAAAGAACCAGCGGAGGAGGCAAGGAAGAGGTTGAGGAGCCGGGGCCACTCCCGCTGCTATGTACTACCCACTGCGTGTTCCTTCATGGCAGATTCTGATGGAGAGGAAGGTGGCGAGGTGGAGTAGGCTGCGGATCCTGTCTTTTCGTATGTAGTGTCATTTCTTTGGTGGCTCAACTTGTATGTATCCCTGGCCACAGGCCAGGGCGGAGGGCAGCCTGCGGGGGAAGCCACACGGGGCAGCCCGTTGAAGGTCTGGTTGGATTTTCTTTCTTTGTATCGTTATTTTTCTTCTCTTTGTTGCCGGTATTGAGCAACAAGGGTTGAGCGGGACGATGTACCTTTGCAGCGCAAGGGACGAAGAAGAGGGTGGGTTGAGCATATAGGGAGGGCTGGGCGGAGAGTAATAGGGAACCGGTATAGAGCTCTTGGCCAGCGGTCAGTGACAACTGGGTGGGGCGGACATCAAGGCGGGCGGCACTCCGTCATTGTTCTTGTCCATCGCGGGGGGGGCACCCACCACTTCATATTTTTCAAGTTCTTGTTTCCAGCACGGAAAAAACCCCGCGTGCTCCAGTGGTTTAGGGCCACGCAATACAATCGGCGAGGGGAGCTGAGGAAAAGTTCTCGGTTCAAAACTGGGTGAATGCCCTATGTATTCGGCTCTTGATGTTTCCAAGCCACCCGCCGGCGGGGGTGGTGATGGTTTTTGGTTTTTTGCATCACGGGTGGAGTATGTGATATCACTCGGTAGTTGTTATCACGTGACACACACCTTGTGATGCCGGTTCCTTTTTGTAATTCAATCATCATTGCATTCGACCTTGGTTGATCATGGCTGCACTGATTAGACAAAAAAAAAGCCCATCAGCCTCGGGAAACTCACTTGAAATCCCTAGCGCGACAACCAAGTCCGATCCGCCTCATGCGAGCGGCGGAACCAAGCCGGCCATCAACAGCAACAGCAACATTGGCGGAACCGCACCGGTGAAACCCGCTTGCACCGCAGTACCGCAGTGCCGCACGAACGAGTCCTCTCATGATTCATCCACGGCACCCGCGCATGCATGCTCTTGCTGTGCTGTACTGTACTGTATTGTACTGTATAGACGACGCCTCCACCGCACCGGCGTATCGTACCGCCACGTGCTCTACATGTGATACATGCACCCTCCCCGGTAGCCGGGTGAAAGCATGCACTTCACAGTATTCGCGACTCGCGAGGGCGAGGGCTATCCTGTGACCAAACTATGGAGTAGGTATGTAGCTACTCGCTCTGTCTGGGCTACCGACTGACTGTCCGTAGCGTCGCTTCAACACGAGTGATACCTATCGTAGGTATCTTGAATATCCGCAACAACATGGCGTCTCGCCGTTCTCATTACATTCACTGCCTTGCCTGGACGGGTGTTGCTTCACAACCACTCGTATTAGAAGCAAACCTAACCAGTCCCAGTAGTGATTCCATGTAGCTGAGGAACGATTCTCCTGCCACGATTCTCCAGCCTGCCTGCGCAAAATTCTCCGACTTCACCGCCTTATTTCTTCACTGTGACATTCCCACGAAGCAGGTACACAGTACACTTCAATTCAATTCAATCCACGCCCCCTCCAGAAACAGCTCAAGATTCAAGAGTAACTACCCCCCACCTCCTCCATTCTCAAGCCCCAATATCCACAATAAGTCAAACCTCAAATTTCAATACACAGAAGATAAAAGTTAAAGAAAGTACAGATTACGCTCCCAATGCCATCCAATGCCACCACAAACTCCCGCACCCGCCTCCCCGCAAGCCATGCCCAGTAACTATGCCTGGTAACTATGCCCATATGATCGAAAACTAAACAAAACTCAAAACCAACGAAACGAAACGAAACGCAAAAAGTATATACAAGAACAGAGATGAATCGTATCACCACACAAAAACCTCCCCCCTCTCCTCCTCCCTGCCAGGCGTCATCGGTCCACCAGGACTCTTGGGCGGTGGCGGGGGCGGCGGGGGCAGTGGCGGCAGCTCATCCCCATCCGCGTCCACCCCCAACCCCACCCCCACGCCCAATCCCACCCTCCCCTTCCCCCCCAGCGCCCCATTCCCATTCCCATTCCCCGCATCTCCATTCGCATTCACCTCAGCCACCTCCATAGCCCTCCTCTCCAGGACGACAAAGCTATTCTGCATCCTCCTAAACTGCTGCAGCGTCTCAATCTCAAACAGTTCCTTTTCCCTTCTAAGTCTCTTAACCTTCTCCTCCATATCGTTTAGCAGCAGGGTCTGCTGCCTCGCGAGCCCGTCGCGCTCTGCCAGCTGCGCTTTGAGCGCGCCGTTCTCGTCTTTCAGCTGCTGCTGCTGCTGCTGCTGCACGGTGCCAGTGTTGTCCGAGAGCCGCGGTAAGGGGGGGACTGGGAACTCCGAGAGTAGTGTTAAGTTTGGGGTAGCGCAAAGCTGGGCTTGCAGTTGGAGTATGGTGGCGTCGCGCCGCTTGACGTCGCGCTTGTATGCGCGAATGTCGTTGCGGTAGAGCTTCGTGTCGCGCTTGAGCTGCGCGACGACGTCAGACAGGTTCGTGGCTGGGGAGTCAGAGGCGGCGGGTGGGGAGATGGAGCGTGACGACGACGACGAGGAGGAGGAGCTGGTGGCGAGCTTGATGGGGATTTCGAAGGTTTGTTGTTGCTGCTGCTGCTGCTGCAGCGAGGCGAGTTGCGCGCGCGTGTGCTCGAGGGTATCGCGGAGGGCGCCGCTCTCCTCCTCGAGGTCCTTGATGCGCTCGGAACGGTCCTCCGTGGCCTGCTGGAGCGCCGCGTTCTCCTTGCACAGGGTCTTCCAAGCCTCCTCGAACTCATTGCGCTCGCGCTTGACGATTGCGAACTCGCGGTTGAGGCCAGCGATGTGGGCATCGCGGTCTTCCGCCGCGTTCTTGAGCTTCTGGATGTCGTGCTTGCTGTCGGAGACGGTGAACCAGGCGTCCTCGGTGATCTGCGCCATGGTCGCCTCGAGGTACTGGTTCTTCTTCTTCTCCTCTGTCAGCCGCGCGTTGAGCGTCTTGACCATCGCCACGAGGTCGTCGTTGCCCGACCGGTGGAGGTGCGTGAGCGGCACCACCACCCGGCGCTTCTCGAGCTCCTCGTTCGCGTCCCGCAGCTTCGCTTCCAGCGTCTCCCGCTCCCGCCGCATGGTCTCCAGGTGCGACTCGTACTCGAGCCTTTCAATATTCCTTCTCGCCTCCACGGTGCTCAACTTCCCGGCCAGCTCGCACCGGCGCCTCTTCTCCACCTCCCCCTCGCCGCCCTCCTCTTCCACCCCCTGCATCCCGAGCCCAATCTCCTCTTTCGAGCGCTTCTGCAGCTGCAGCCGCTGCCGCTGCTCCTCGGCAAGGACCTTATCCACCTCGACGCACTCGGCGCCATCGCGCAGCTTATCCTTCAACCACTCGAGCTGTCGATCGCGCTCCTGGAGGAGCTCCTCCATATCCTCCAGTCGCAGATTGAGCATATCATTATTCGACCTCAGCAGCTCGAGCTCCTTCTCCTTCCCCTCGATAGCGAGCAGCGACCACCCAGGGGCCGTCGCCTTCCTCAGCGCGTCTCTATCAGCGGCATGGCCTTCCTTCAGCGCGGCGACAACGTCGACGTGCGACTGCCGCAGCGCGGCGATGCGCGTGCTGTGGTGCGAAGTCTCGGTCTCGAGCTCGCGCTCGAGCTCGCGGATCCGGTTGAGCAGCAGCAGCAGCGAATCGCTCTGCCATTGGTCAGCGCCCCCTCCTGCTCCTACTCCTCCTCCGACGGCTGCCGCCGCGCCGTGTCGCGAACGATAAGGTGTGGGCCCCACCTGTGATTCGGTCGAGTCCATGCTCGGCGTGTTGGCGTGATTGCGCATGGGGAAGATGGGGCTCATGCCCTAAGAGGTACGTCAGCATTTTGTCATGTATCCCGAGATTAGAGATCAGCACGTACCAGACTGTTGTTTCCCGCCTCCATGGGGCTGTAGCCGAACACCAGTGGGCTCTCTGGGCTCAGCGGCGGGCTGATGGGCAGTGCATTATTCGAGGGCGGGAAGCGGAAGGCTCGCTTCCTTGCGTTCTCCCCCGGGCGGGCTGACGTCGGGGTTGCCACCGCGGGGGTGACGGGCGTCTCGACGGGCGTGGGCAGCATGGAGACGGACGCATTGTCGCTGGTGTGGCTGTAGTGCTGGAAGCGCTGGGTGCGCTGGGGCGCGGGCTGGTAGATCTGGCGGCCGGGGTGCGGCGACGGCGGGAAGGCGACGTAGTTGCTGCTGCTGGAGACGCTGCGCTGGTGGCCGTGGTGGCTCGAGGTCGAGACGCTGGATGGTGTGCGGCGCAGCGAGGAGGAGGGCTCCTGCGGTGTCGGCGAGGTCTGCAGCCGTGGCAGGTGCTTCGGTGAGGCTGGGCCCGGCGAGTCGTTTGATCGGCTGCGGAACCGGGTGGTAGTCACGGTTGGGATGGAATATGAAGGAGCGGGAGACCGCGGTGTCGAGCGCTCGGGGGATTTGGGGGTCGCCGTCCGGTCGCCATCCGAGTTCTTGCGGCGGGAGAAGATGGACAGTGAAGGAGCCATGTCGGTCTCACAGCGGGGTCACTCGTCGGACCGGGAGTAGAGGCAACTTTGACTGCTTCTTCTTGTTGTCCTTCTTGTCCTTCTTGTCCTTCTTGTCTTCTTCTTGTCTTTCAGTCCGTCTTCAGAATGTAAAAAGGTGAAAAAGTGACAACCAGCGTCAACAGTCCACTCTTCAAGTTTCAGTATCAGAATCAGTAACAGTATCTGTCTTCCCGTTGGCCAGTCAGTCAGTCAGTCCGTCGATTTGTTGGCACAATTCGGTCCACGGAAAAAACATCCAGCGCACATGGCGGCGCGGGGCGTGGGCGGGGATTATGTACCGGGTATATATGATCTCCCAAGCTCCAAGTTTCCAAGGTCCAGCAGCACATGCACAGCAGTGCGGGGGGAGGAGGGGGGGAGGGGGGGCGGAAGCCAAAACCGCCAGCCTCCGTCCAGCTCGCAGTCTGAAGTATCGATTTAGATTGAAACACTACGTACCTGTAATATGTACGATGACTACGGATGCTGAGTGCTGATGATGTGTTTTTTTCTGTTTTGTTTCGGGTTGTGACACGCAGTACACGCAGCCCGCTTGTGAATGTGCTTGTGCCTGTGCTTCTGGTGCTACTGCTGATGAGCTGGCCGCGGCAAGTCGGTCGGGAGTCGGGACGATATGATATGGCGACAACAACAACGAGAGAGTGGATGTGGATGTTTCGTTTGGCGGGCGCTCCGGCAGGTAAGCAAGAAGATAAATAAAGAACGAAATTAAATATCTCGAAGGAAAAAAAAGAACCGGACAGAAACGGAGTCGATCTCGTTTTTTTCCAGCGGCAGAAGGGAGAAACAGAACAGAAGTAAGAACAGCCAGCGTTTCTCGCGCGTCCAAACAATTATCAAGAAAAGAACACCGCTAGATACTTGGTATGCAGACTTTTGGGGGCGGCGGTGGGGGGGGGAGGGGGAGGGGAGGGGCAGGAAAGAAAGAAGTGTATTGTATTGTATTGTATTGTATTGTAATATTGTCACAGACAGCCCACGCAAAACAGTCCCCCTCGTCCTCCTCCGCCTCCCCCGGGCCCCTCCCCCCCTCTTGTATCGTGGGAGTTTCGCACTAGCCAGGTCGCTATCACGGTATCTAGAGGAGAGTAGAAACTAGAGGAGAGTCGACACATGTCCCAAGAGTAGACTACGATACCAGCCCAGCCTGCCGGATGCGCTTGAGACATCCAATGTGCGAGTGCGGCCAACCACACGTCGCCACTGAGCAAGTGCAAGTACGCAGTTACAACCACCGTGGAAGCGCAGTGCCCTATCAGGCACGGGGCGTGGGTATGAATATGAAGGACCGAATCTCGTGAATCTCCCAAGAATCCATCATCTCTCCACCGGGCCCCGTGAGCGAATCGTGCGCGAAGGATGTCGAAACTAAAATACCCCCCAAAAAAAACTCGTCGTCGTCGTGTCGTGCGTGGGGTGCGGTGCGGTGGGGTGCGGTGGAAATGATGCATGGCTCTCCTTTGGGACCGAGGGCGGGCGCTTAGCGATCTCGATTCTCGACGTGCTGAGTGGTCTGTGAGCTGTGGTCGCTGTGGTGGTGATGCCGGAAATAGCCTGTGGCCTACGCTGCGGCCTGCGGGATTGCATAGCTCGGAGCTTGGTGATGAGTGAGGTGGTGGGTATTAGTTGCCTAGTTAGCTGATGCACTGCATATTCCCACTACACACATATTCCCACTACATACATATTCCCACTACATACATATCCCCACAATCCACACCCTCCAGCTCGGTACTTTCGGTAAGTACTTGGGAATTATGTGGCTGCTCTAGCAGCTCCACTACTCCACAGCTCGGTACCCAAGTACCCAAGTACCCAAGTACCCACGTGTGCACCGTGTATGCACGTCCGCCTCCCTCCCCCTCAAGTCTCAAGTCTCAACGAGTCTCGGATCCACTACGGCCGGAGCCCCGCGGCGTGGTACTGCAGATACATAACCTCGTACGCACATGGGGTTGTCAAAATGTGAATCATCGCCAAACCCCAGCCCAGACGTCATGTTCCACCAATATGTGTCCACCAGCCCCGCGGCCCCGCCCCTCCACGAGCGATCCCCAGTAGGCAGTAGCGCCCCCAAAGGCTTGGGAGCATGAGGGCGCCACGGATAGTATGCATATGCACGCCATCCGCGTGCCTCTTTTTCCGACGAGGACTCAGACTCTCGCTCGTGGTGGGGTGGGGTGTAGGCCTTGAATGTGTATGTGGAGGTGGAGGTGGAGGTGGAGGTGGAGGTGGAGGTGTGCAGCCTGAACATGGACTGGGCGGACTCAGGACTGGAGACTGGGGAGAGCAAACGATGGGTCTCAGACTTTTGAAGCTGCGCACTCGAGCTCGAGCTTGAGATCGTGTGTGTGAGCTCGTGTGTATGTGTGTGTGAGTGTGTGTGTATGGCCACATCCACTTCCCCGCGGTCAAGGAGCTCAGAACCGAGTCAGCATTCCTGCATGGCAGATGTACGAGTACAGTTGTCGTTATCGCGCCGTAGCGCCGTGTAGGAGTTCGTGCGCAGGTGTGTTCTGTATTCCGTGTGACAGTGCTCGTGGGATTTGTGTAAGGCGTCGCGGATCGGAAGGATGGTGAGATGGGGAACGGGGGGTGGATGGGTCTGGTAGACTGGTACTTGGCTCTGGAAGTCTTGGAAAGGTCTCTGGCTGCGGTGGACGAGAGATGAATCCACCGTGGTTGAATGAGTATACCGGTAGTGCGAGTAGTGAGTGCGGGTATGGTACGTGCTTCTCTCATGAAGAGGTCCTATTAGCTGCGAAGGACGACTCACGAGACATGAATCCACCATGGCCGAACGAGGATAGTACGAGTAGTGAGTGTGCGGTCTCGGTCTCGGTCTCAGGCACGGACTCTCAGGCTCAAGCTCACGAAGTCTCGCGCCGGGAGTCGGGAGAGGCTGGTGTGGCGAAGTGAAGGGGGAGGCTGGGTTGTCAGCGGGAGGAGGTAGTGAAGGAGGACTCCTGTCGGCGACTCGGCGGGAGAAAACGAAGGTAGCCATTGGTGGGCATCAACTCGATAGGCATGGCGGAGTCTTCTTCTTCTTCTTTCTCGACCATCATCTATCGAACAAACGATCAACATCCTATCTCCGCTCTCTTGTCTGTGTGTGCTCCCTTCCTCGTCCGAACGCTTGCCGGCCTGTCGGTCTGGAGAGAAATTAGCGAAGAGCTCTCGCAAAACTGGTATCGACTAGATGTCAACATCTTTGAGGCCCGCGAGATTGTATGGGAGAGGCATGGGGTGCTGGAGTGCCGAATCAGGTGTGTCACTCGCCTCTTCGCCGCGATCGTCGGAGCATCTTGTGTGCATCCTACTCGAGCTGGTTATATGTATCCTCTACTACAGCAGACAGGATATATCATACACGAGTAGTGCGTGCGAATAGCGAAGAAGAAATATAAAACAAAGATTTCATGTGCAAACTTGGGCTGGATGACCAACACTTTCTTCCACATTCGCACCGACGTGATCTACGGTAGCAGCAGTAGAGTACGGTATGCGAAGTCAACCCGGCTGTCGGATTTGGGTTCCTTCGCCTTTCGCTATGCAGTCCGCGTCCTATATACTATATAATAGGCACAATGCGCTCCTCCGATTCTCTGAATCTCCGAAGCTGTCTGTCTGTCTGTCCGGTGGGATCAGGCTCTCAATCTCACGAGTCACCGCCGTTGCCCTGCCGAATTCTGGAGTCTGGAGCTGTGGATCCTACGCTGTCGGCCAACTTTTCTTTACAGTTTCAGCGCAGTAGCTGTGTTGTTTCCCGAACGTCCTCGGCAGCCTCTCCAACTGGTAACAGCTGTATGTAAGCACATACCATCCGGTTCTACATATGACTCCCCTTCGCGAAACTTCCCTGGAGAAGAACCGGATGCACAGTGGAAGCAGCCACACGTTTTCTTGCGGAAATCCAGACTCCAGAGAGACCAAGACTTGTGGGCTGCGATGTCTGCCGTATGGAGGAGCCTGCAGCGAGTTGTAACCTGTAACTAGCGCCTACCGTATTTTCCGAATGTGTGCGGTATGGGCTAATGCTTCGTATGCTAAGCATGGATTCTGCAGCGGGGCCTCGGAGGGAGGGGGGGAGACGTGAATCCTCGGAACACGCGAACCCCTGCGTAACTGCGTTTGCCGGGAGTTTCGGCTCGGCCCGGCGGGTTGCAAGTTTGAGGGGGGGCGAGCTGTAGCGGTTATAGGTATTGGACGTCTCGGTGGGAAGTCTCAGTACTTTAAAGTGGCACGCCGCGGTGATCCGAGACCACGGGACTCGGACTCTGGAAGATCGCGCAGTACCATTCTATCCATGGTCTCCAAGAACATCAGCGACCCATGGGAACTAGCACCTTCCGCCCACTCATGGGTTACAACTTATTCAGATCCCGCCGCACTCCCAAGTTCGCCAGTTCGCCCCACGCCGGCTGAACAGTGAAAACCCGGCTGAAAAACCTCCCGTCGTGATGGCTAATCCTTGACCTCCGTATGTATGTAAAAGTGCACTCTCTGCTATCCCGCTTCCCCGCTCAGTCGGATCGCGATTCACATCACGCGGGTGTTTACGCATGCATGCATGTCTGTATGGAGGGATGTGTGTACGCATAGGTCCCTCCGGAAGTAGAACTTTGCAGATGCTGGCTGGCGAGGGCTGGCGATGGCTGGCGAACGGAGCGCTGCCTTGGACGTTTGGACTCTTGGAGGTGAACGGGCTTGGTCGTGCAGCTCCTGTAAATGTCGTCGAATGCTGAGGTGGTGTGTTGAGTTTCGAGCGGGAGTGAGAGTGGGGACTGTGAGGACGACGTCGGAGTACACATCGTACCCGTATCACGGCGGCTGCGAACGGTGTCATACCGTGTGTAGTGATAGCGGGTGAGTTCACCAAACAAAACACCAACTCATCAGTCTACCGCCAATTACCCTTCTCCAATCTTCCTTGTTTCCCCCTCCCACCCCGTCAATCCCTGATCCTGTACGCTACCGGTATCCTACAAATCCCGGATTCCGGAGGCAAATTTTCCCGTGACGGTCACAGAAATCACTCGCTTGGCCGCGGCCGACCTTACCCGCTGGGGTCCCCGGTCCCCGCATCCCAACCGCAACGGCTGGCATCAGCTACACGGAGCGTTTCGGGATCGCAATTTCGCGATCCAGATCGCGGAGTGACGGTTCAGATTGGCAGGGAATATACTCGAGACGGGGGTTACGTCGGTGCGGACGTGTACTCTATCCAGTAGCTATCATACGTACGCAAGGCACTCTGTACCTCGGCGACCCGTGAGCCCGTGGGCTGTGGTAATCCGCGGTACAGGCGCCGATACCGACACTGACGCCGACAACACCATGATCTAGGTTCTAGGTTCTACCGTTCCAGCGAGGCTTGCAAAGTTGCGATTATCGTGGCATTCGCAATACTCCCAGTTGCCGCCGCCGTTGGCACGATAGCTACCTCCTCTACGTACCAAGTAGGTACTCCATCACTCTCACTATAGCTGGTGCTGTATACACCACCACTACCACCGTTCGTGTTGTGGATGGTATTGGCACGACGGATCTTGATATCTTGTACTGTTGTGAGAATCGGATGGACTCGAATGACAGGGTCTAACATCGTTGCGTGCACACTGCACGCTGCACACTGCAGTCTACGAGGTATCTATAGTAAATACGGCTCTACACGTCTGCAGCCTCCTCGCTCACTCGCTCCGCCGGTCACGGTGGGTATCGCACTGTCGCACTGTCGCTTTGTGGGTGTGGCATGAGACTATGATACTATGATCGGACCCACTCACTCAGCACGAGTGACTGCAAGCCTGCAATGTCCTATTCACTCTCAACTTCACTCAATCGCCAATGGTCTGCAATGGTCTGCAATGTCCTGTTCACTCCCACTCCCACTCCCACTCCCACTCCCACTCTTACGTCCACCCACCCAGCACAACCGTCCAAGTTCCAAGTTCCAAGTTTCAACAGCTACATTCCATACCCCTCAATCACTCGCCCGTCACCCCCGTCGCGACCATCATAGCCTGAAACCTGTAAGTCATTCCTGGAATCTCCCAAGTCCCGAGTCCCAAATCCCGAGTCCCGAGCTTGTCACTTCAGAAACGGTCGGGCGGGACTCGGCAGTCGGGTATGTATGTGCTCGCCGTGCTCTAGGTAGTAAGGCTGTGTGCGCGACAATACATTGATTCCCGCGCTCTCGCCCGCTCGCTTGTCACAGTTGTAGACAGAGGTTCAGAAGGAGACAGAGGGTCGGGGACAGAGGAATCCAGTGGCCATGTCGGGCCCGCTTAACGAAAGTCCGGTTGCACTATTGCACAGTGGAAGCTGGATGGGCAACCGAGTATATTCCTTTGACCCATGACCCATGACCCATCATCCGAATAGGTCACAACTTACAACCACCTTACAGGCACCCAATGATTAACCAAAGTTCAAACAGATCATTTATCACATACGTCTCTCCGGGTCAGGACTGTCTCGGCATCTCGTTTGTAATCCAACACGATATAAAAACCCAAGAATCGATTGCTCGTATCCCCAAGCCATCAGTGACCAATGGCTGGGGCAAGTACATACTTTGACAATCTAATGGCCTCGCAAGACTCAAGTAGAGATTTACAACTAGACATCACCGTAATCCAAAAACCCATGTGCCTCCCGAGTCCCGATCCAAGAACCAGTCCCTCCCATTCCTCGGTCCTCCGCCCAAGTTCCAACCAGCCCAGCCCAAAACTACGCCCCCCCAAACCACGCCCGACTCCTAAGCGGCTTCGTATCGCCGAGCCACAGGCCCGTTCCCCAGCCATAGGCCAGCACCGGGGTCTCCGCGAGTTCCAGCCTCTCCAACCTCTCCACCCTCTCCACCCTCTCTCCACCAACCATACCCCCCGCACCCCCCGCACCCCCCTGCTCCCCTTGCGCCCTCTGCTCAACCCTTACCAAAAACTCATTAATATCAAGATTATTCGCCTCGATCTGCAAAATAAAGAAGCAGCGAATAGACCTGAGCTCTTTCAACCCGCCGTTCGTTCTCGCAGCCCTCCTCAGTTGTTTCAACAGATGGCTGACGACATTCCTCGGCTGGGCAGCTAGCACATCCAGGTCTTCTATCGTCTGCTGCTGGATCCCGTTCTCGAGCGTTTCTATGCGCGACGACGGCAGCGGCTCGTGCATGTCGATCTCGGCCGCGAGGGACTTGTAGTGCGGGTGCGCAGCGAAGTTCCGTGACCCAGGGTGCCGAGACCGGTACTCGTCCCAGATGTCGGATACGACTACGTCGCTCATGTCTAGACCTGTGTGGAACGGGATCGTGAGCTTCTGTAGGTGCTTTAAAGTGCCGATGGGCTGCAGGAATTGTTGCTGTTTGCAGTGTCAGAGTCAGAGATAGAACAAGAGTGAGGGGGGCGCAGGATGCAGCGGTGGATATATACGTACCAGTGTGATGTTGTTGCGCATCGAGCCGTCGGTCTCCTGGACGCCCTGGACGGCAATGTCGTAGAAGCTAACCAGCCCGGGGGTGGAGTATGCGCACAGCTTCAGCTCTCTCAGGCCCGGCATGGCGGTCACGATCTCATCGAGCCACTCGACCTGCGGGCGTATGAGCGAGTACTTCTTCATCTTCGCCGCCGATGCCGAGCTTCCGATGGCCGCGTGGATCGCCGTCATCTCCTTACGCTGGAAGTCGCCCTGCAGCTTGATCGTCTCGAGCATCTCCATGCGCTTGAGGAACGTCGCCAAGAACAGGCGCGAGGGATTGAGTCTGCCCGACCAGTGCTCGCCCACGCGCAGAAGGCTACAGTCGGAGCGGAACCAGACGAGGCGGCGCGAGACATGCTCCATCAGCGGCACGAGCAGGTGTTCATGGCCCTGGTGCAGCACAAATTTCTCGGCGGGCCACGCAAACGCTTTCAGTTTTGGATGGCGCAGCAGGAAAGCGATGATGCTTTCGTGCGTGAGGTGGAAGTTCGGCACGCACGACACATCGCCGGTCTGCGCGCGCAGCTGGAACGCCGTGAGCGCCGGAAACGTCAGCGGTTCCAGGATCTCGGGCAGCGTGGATATATTCTGCACCAGCTCGATGGTCAGCGACGTCAGGTTAGGCGAGTGCGAGATGATCGTCTGGATGAACCGCGGGCAGCAGTCGTCGTCCGGTACGTGGCGGCCCATGGGCAGCATCGTCCTCGCTCCCGTCGTGATGAGTTTTCGCAGACGCAGATGCGTGAGCCCGGTCGTGAAGCCGCGCTGGACCTCGGGCGTGGTCGAGAGGAAGCGCGTCAAGGCACGCAGCGGCACATCCTCGACCCAGAGCTTCCGCACGCAATCGCGCCGGACTACATACTCCAGGAGAGCTTGGATCACGAGGGCGGAGCCCGCAACGATACGGATGGTCCGAACGGGCGCCTGGTAAAGGTTGACCATTCCAGCATCCAACGTTTCCTGCAGGCGCTCGAACGTGAATCCGGGCGGCGGCAGTGGTAGCGGCGGTGGTAGCGGCGGAGGTGCGGGAGCAAACTCCTGGCCGTTGCCCGCGAGCGCCAGCGTGAGTATCGCCAGTTGCGGCAGCATGGGCATGTCGTGGCGCGTCCGTATACGCATCCGTTCGACGCTCGCCCGCGTGAATGTCGGCAGCGGAGAATCTACATGGTCGATGAAGACTACAAGCAGGAGGATGGGATCAGCATCGTAGCACAAACGAGTGTTATCCTGCCATCCTGCTATCCGACGGCGACTCACCAGCGTGTCTCACGAGATTGGGCTCTCGCATCAACTCCAAAATCCTGACCGCCCTCCTCGGAGATTTGCCATTCTCGCCGACACCGTAGTAGCCCAGGAACACGCGGGCGTAGATCTTGGGAGTGGCGGCATGATGGAATTGGCGGCAGGTCCTGGCAACGCTGAACAGGTCGCTGTTGTCGTCGGATTTGAGGAGCGACACGATCTCGTCGATGATCTCGGGAGGAAGGGAGAGCAATGGGCAGGGCAGGTTCATGGAAGACGAGGAGGAGGAGGCGTCACGTGGGCTCGTAGGTTCATTCATGGTGGGCGAGATGCCGGACAATCCGCCTGCTAGCTACGGGTGTATCGATCGTATTCGGGTTGTCTCTCTCTTTCCCTCCCTCTCTCTTGCTCGCGTCTTCCAAGTGACGCCGACGATACGGAGCGAGGCGGTCGAACCCGAGCAGTTCTGTCGGTGCAGACGCAGGCGTCGTGTTTTTTTTTTGGAGGGGGGGAGGGTGTGGAAGCTAGAGCACGGTAGAGTAGAGTATCTCGAGTCTGCAGGGAGGGGAGGGGGGATGATGCGGGGTGGTGAGCGAATTGGGGGAGTGGGTGGGTGTGGATGGAAGGCTGGCGTGTGCAGTGGTACAGCTTCCAATCGTGCTGCGATGTACCGGTACCGGTAGTAGCTTGTATGGGCTCTCGCAGTTATGTACTTCGAGTGCTGGGCAGGTGGGGGAGCTGTGAGAGAAAGTTAGAGGCGACAAGCCGCTGGCTAATGCTGCCGTCGCTCGCCGGTGCGGGTCCGCCAAGCGTTGGAGTTCCGTCGGACATTCGGGACGATCGTAAGCCCTAAGGCGGGGTCGTGGTGGGAGCGGGGCGGCGGTTCTCGCTATGGATGCAGAGTGCTACGGGACGGTACTAGCGGTAGCACTAAGAGGAGCAGGATAAGTCACTCTAGCTGCTCGCTACCGAGCTAGAATAGGAATGGGAAGCGTCAGCCACCAGTCACTGACTGATGCCACAGCCGCTGACCTACGCCACAGCCACTGACCTACGCCACAGCCACCGACCTACGCCACAGCAACTGACTGACGCCACAGCCACTGACCTACGCCACAGCCACTGACCTACGCCACAGTCACCAACCATCATCAATCGGCCATGACACCCCGGCAGCGACACCACGACGCGAAGCCACACGCACCGGCCCGCGCCGCTCAACGGCGAGTCGGACTGCCTCCACATCGCCACGCCGCGACAGAAGTTCACCGGCCAGACACGGTACCTACTCCAAGTCCAGTAAGCCCGGAACTTTTCGCCTCACCCTAGTCCAAGTAGCGTAGCGGCCGACGCCCGAGCCGGTTCGGGAGTAGCGGTTCGCCTAGCGACCAGGCCCAGCCGTGCATGATGACTAGGCTCCAGACCAGCACCGCGAGATACGATAGGGCCGTCGCGACCAGCTGGCCGTCGACAGCGGCGCCGACCAATCGTGACACCGAAGCATTCGCGCAATTACATAAGAGTACTGGAGGCGTACAGTGCACTACGCAGCGCCGCACAGGGAGGCGTGCAGACCTCCATAGCAACACGAAGCCGCTCTGTCCAGACCGTATGAAGCATGAACGGTATCACCGTCTCCGAGCACATAGCGGGATAGCCAATACTTGCCAACCCTTCCCATGTACCGCCCAGGGCCCGCCGGTGCATGTGCCATGAGACGCTGCAGCATTGCTGGGCCCGGTCTGGACGCTTCGGGATTCCCGTTGCTGCTGTGGATGTGTGTGCTGGGTGGTAGGTATGTACTCTACTCTACCATACAGTACTCTACATCCGTGCAATGCATGCTCAGTTGCCGGTCTGTTCTCTACTTCCTCGGTACTACATACCATCATGCTAACCAGTGCTGTGCAGTCGAGTGGAGTACACATACTTCTTCATACGGCCCACACGTATCTATGTCGGATCCCTCTGCTGGCTCGTGGTGATGCCGGTAGTTGCAGGATCTGCGACTGAATGTCTGTAGGTGAGTACGCTACCCACTCACTCTCATACGCAGGGAAAACCCCCCATGCGATATCGCATCCTGCAGCCGCTGACTATCTCTAGACTCTATCGGGAGTCTCTGGGTGTGCACATACTTGGAGTCCCGTTGCCCCTCCCTCTCCGGAAGCCACGAAGCCACAGAGTCCTCTGATAGGCCTCCCCGCGACCGCTGTCTGTCCTACCCCGCCTGCCTTCTCCAGAAACAACCGGGTCCGTCTCGCCAACGAAGACGCTCCCATGCGCTTGGCCATCCATCCCAGGCATCCGATCCCGTGTTCTTCCACCTACCAGCGGCCAGACACCCGCCCCGCGACCCCGCGACCCCGCCAGTGCCACCACCACTGCCTAGTTATCCCACCACCACCACCCTTCCGGCCTCAGCCCTGCAGAAAAGATCCTCAATGCTCATGTACGGGTGGGCCCACTTTCGCTCGGACACTCTCCCCGCTGCCGCCGGGCCCATGGCAGTGGATGGGCGTGGTTGGGGACGGTTGGGTACCTAGAGTAGGTACATGCTCGCTGTACGCTGCTGCTGTCGGCCAGCCACCAGCTGCTGGTGGGATAGATGACTTCGATCCGATGCATACTCCAACCTACCTACGCTTCGAATCTCCCCTCCCCAATCCCCAATCATACATCGTCCACCATCCACCTCCTCCCCCCTCCACCCAATTCCTCCCCCCTCCACCCAATTCCTCACCCCCCGCACCGCACACTCCCCCAAATGCAGCATGCCGCGCAGACATCTCAGCCAGCGCGGCCTCCACCGATGCGGCAGCTCCAGCGGCTCCAACTCGATCCATTCTAAGTCTACCTACCACCCCCCTCCCCTCCAAAAGCCTCGTTTTCCTCTCACCGCTTCTACCTGTGTTTCGAAGGGAAAAAAAAAAACTTCCCCCCCCGTGCATCTATCCTCTCTCACCGCTTCACCGCCCCGCACAACCCCCGACCCCCCAGAGGACCCTGAAGGACCCTGACACCATCCCATATCCATGGCTCCGTCCCTTGCGTCGCCAATCACAGCCGACGAGGGGTGCACCCCTACAATTGCTGCAGGATGTCACCAGCGTCGAACCGGTTACATATCCGGCCGTGTGATCGTCGAAGGACGGGCGGCGCCCACGTTGTCGCTGGCGAACCAAGAGGACCTCTCGGGCACCAATTGCTCGCCGCGCTGTCACCCGCCGCCCACCGACGAAGAGAATTTCCCCGATCCCGCCAAAACGTGGAATCCCGATCCCCGAGTCTACTACTCGCGTCGGCTCCAGCAGCAGCGCGCGCTGCACGCAAGACCTGCAATCCCGCCGGTACTGCCGCCGCGGTTCCCTGCACGGATTGACCCCGCTTCCCCGCTCGTCTGGAGTGGCCAGGATCTCGTCGAGCACGAGTATCTGCGCTCCCTCAGCGCCGACGACATCGCCGAGATCGAACACGCCCTCGAGCACTTCAAAGGTATGTTGCAAGGCTTGCTTGCAATGCCTCCGCCAGGCTGCAAACACGAGCTCCGTCGGTTGAGAAAGAAAAAGAAAAAACGGTTGCCCTAACCCTGCACGCAGGTCTCAGTCTGCCCATCGCCGCCGTAGGACGAAAGACCTTTCCACTCCCCGAGCTTGGCCCGAGGATCATCTCGCTCTCGAACAAGCTCTACGGCCAGAACAACGGTCGTGGCTTCTTTATCCTGCGCGGACTCGACCCGAAAAAATACAGTGCCAGGGACAATGTCATCCTCTACGCTGGGATTGCTAGTTATGTGGCCGAGAGACGGGGACGGCAGGATGAAAAGAACAACTATCTACGTGGGTTCCAATGTTCCGGTACACTCTCCCCGTCAGCTAATTGAGGGACAGTCCACCTCACGGACCTTGGAGCGTCCGTGGCTCCAGACAACGTACGACAAGCACCGTACTCCAATGTTCCGCAAGTGAGTGACTCCCTTTCTCCTACTTCGCAAGATATACTCATGCCGTCAGCCCTTCCACACCGACACCGCCGACATCCTCGCGCTATACACACTCCGCCCCGCCTTCCGCGGCGGGCGCAGCCTCCTCGCGTCCTCCTCCAAAATCTACAACTCCCTAGCACCGGCGCACATCGCCACACTAGCAGCCCCGAACTGGGCCTTCGACAGTTTCGGGCGCACGCCCTCTTACACCCTGCGGCCACTGCTGTACTCCGTTCCCTCCGGCACCACGCGGCGGATCCAGCTCTCCTTCTCGCGGCGGCCATTGACGGGCTCACCCGTCTCCCCGCGCACGCCCACAATCCCGTCGCTGACACCTGCGCAGTCCGCCGCGCTGGACACGGTGCACTTCTGTGGCGTCGCGCACGCGCTCTCTGTCGCCCAACAGCCCGGCGACCTGCTGTTCTGGAATAATTTCGCGCTGCTGCATGCCCGCGAGGGGTTTCAGGATCGTGAGGAGCCCGAGGAGAGGAGGCATCTCCTCAGGCTGTGGCTGAGAGATGATAAAAGGGCGAGGGAGTGGGGGAATGTGCCCGAAGAGTTGATGGCGCCGTGGAGGGACGCGTTTGAGGGCGAGGGCGAGATGGGCGTGGAGAACTGGCCGGTTGAGCCGGTTAGGGAGTTTGCGTTTGTTACGGAGCAGAGGAGGAGTAGTGGGCATGCGTAAGGGGCTGCGTTGGTGGGTTGGTTGGGGTTGTGGGGTTGCAGAGTTGTTGGGTTGTTCACTTTTGGCGTTTGTCTGCTGTGTCATGGCTTGCGTTCTTTTCGTTTCTCACTTTCTACTTACTTGGAATCTTGCATCTGGCATCTTGAGGATATCACAATTTCACAAAAGCTATGGTGGGTATCATGTATGGCGGCATCACGCATAACTATCAGTCGAATGTATGAAAACTGTCTACTCTCCGTTTTTCTTTTTTGGTTCATGGTGGATGGAGCAGAGGTCGGAGCTGGAAAAGATTTGGAGGAGCTGGGATGACTGGGAGACCAGGACGTGCTCGCGGTTGGAGGTAGTTGAAGGTGGTCGTTTATGTACCTAATTGTGAACCTAATTGACTCTATCACTACACTACTAGTCTACTACCAGTATCGTACAATGCGGGGAGTACATGCTGAATTCAGTCATTATCATTCAGGACGGTGAATCACAGCTCAGAGCTGAGCTGTCGTAGCACTTAGCTGTGACATATGCTAAGAACAGTGAACTAGCATCAAAGGCAGGATGGCCGAGTTGGTTATGGCGCCAGGTTAAGGTCACCTTAATTCGATCGTATCGTCTCCTGGTTCGGGAAACTGAGCGTGGGTTCAAGTCCCACTCCTGTCAGTACTTTCTTTTTTTTTCTTGTTTTTTTGCTTGGGGAGGCGGGGTGGGGGGTGGAGGGGTGGAGGGGTGTTTCTGAGTGGCCGCGAGGGAGGGGTGTGGAGGAGGGGGGGGGGGGGGCGTTGCTGAGGGGGAAGGGGGGTGGAGGGGTGGGTCGTAGACTCGTAGATTCATACTGTCTGTCTGCGGATCCATCAAGTCAAGTGGTGAGTAGTGCCGAGTCGAGTCGTCTGCAGAGTATGGTACATAGAAGTGGAACTGATTTTGTTGAAAGATGTAGCTAGCTCGATGTAGATACGGTACTCCGGTGTAAGGGTAACTGGTGCCTCATCTTGCGCTGATAATTCGTAATGATGGTGAGGCACGACTTATTGGCTATTCCTGGTACAGCAGCAATGTCATCAGCAGCAAGGTCTCTCTTTATACACGGACTTCAGACTTCAGGGTTCGGAGTTCAGAGTTCAGAGTTCAGAGTTCAGACAGACTTCACACTGCTTAGTCCGAAGGTTACTGAGTATGCGACCTAGCTGCCGCCGAACTTCGAAGGTCTTAGGTTACTCGCCACGGCCCCCAGGCAGCACTCGGTCGACCCTCGAGACTCGACCCTGGCAGCGCGGAAGTTTATCCGCGCCAATACATATCACCGGTTTCCATCTTTCATGATTTTTTGGCTTGGACGGATTAGGATCAGAATCAAGTTACTGTTCTAACTTCCAATCCATTAGCTAGATGCATTCGCGGTGGGCACAACTTGATCGGTTTATGACCAGCGGCCAGCCATTGACCGCAGGAACAGTTTCTATCCACGATCCTACATACATACTATTATACTACATACGTCTCCCCGATTCCCGAATACCGGTATGTCTGCATACGCTCGTCTGAGTCGCCTCCACCACTGCAAAACCACAACCAAAGTAGGTATTGAAACCCTCAGCGTGGTGGAAGGGATGCATTTTTGATATACTTCCGAGTCCATTGATCTTGGTGGGTAACAGTTCGGGTGGAATCTACTATCTATCCGGATAGTTACTAGGTAGTCGAGTTGCTGCTGCTTGTTGATCCGTGCCGAGACCGCGGGTATGTGGTCCCATTTGTTGTTGCTCTTCCGTGCAGCCAGCGTTACGTCCGCACTCCCTCCCCGTGAAACTCCCTGACTGCTGCTACTACTGTGCTGGACCATTGATTATTGGTATCGGCCGCGTTTGTTGATATGGATTCCGTGCTGAGGTCGGCGGTCGCGGGTACGTGATCCCGTTTGTTGTTGTTGTTGCTGTTTTTATCGATATTCTGTGCAGCCTCACGAGTCACATTCCGCACCATCCGGGCGCGATGCCTATCCCCCAATCTTCTCTCTTCAAGCACACACAGGCATTCGCAAGGCAAAGCACAACAGCAGTAGCAGTAGCAGTGGCGAGAGCAAAGATCGAGCACTTAGAACATAGGTAGCGTAGCAAGAGCATAGCGGAGTCCGGACTAATATAACGCCCCATACTTGGTTGAGGGGAGAAGTGTCGTGGGGTGGAGAGATAAGCAAGGCCTCACGAGGTACTAGCTCGCAACTGAATCGCCATTAAGAGTCGCTATTGACTCTTGAGGCTTGTCGCTGTCGTTGCCGGCGAGGCATATGATGTCACTCGACTCACGCAGCGAGTGATGTTGCATGACCGGCCGCCCGAGAACCACGGTGCAGCAGCGGGTAGTTACGACAGCTGGACTCCGTACGTACCCTCTATACGGGAAAAATTAGAAGTTCAATCTAAGGGAACGCTGGTTGCGTATAATATCGCTGCCTCGAGCCGCAGCCGCAGCCGGTAAGTCTACGGTTAGGTAGTAGAGTTAGTTACGATTGTGACGGAGCCAGTCGGTACGTCTGGTTTCCCGTGAGGATATTGGACGATTCCCTGGCCACCAGGAGTAAGAGCACGGTTGAGTTCGTGGTTGAGTTCGTAAGTAGCCCTCAGTGCTCACTCGGCCTTCATCCCGATTCCCAGCACAGTGCACGGTGTCTCCGGAAGAAATAGCGATAATGTCCCAGTGAGTCGTCACATGATACATCCCGACGACGGTCACAGTCGGCCGGAGCAATCCAGGTTCCATGGTTCTACTTTTCGGTGACGTCTGGTATATAGCCAATAGCACATATCTCTCTATTCTTTTCTCTACTTGTACATATAGGCATCTCTAGAATGGCGGAATCCGAGTGAATTCCTATATGCCGGCATGGTGATCTTCTGTGCATCGCTCTCGTTTCACGCTTCACGCGGGCGGCGAAACGGCGGTAGCTAGGTAGGTAGGGTCCGTAGGGATAACAGGATGGATGGTGTACGGTCGATTAGCACGTGCTTGCTTGCAGTCGTGATGGATGGAGCTACCATCTATGAACGAAGGAAATGAGAGATGAGGGCCAGCCTCCAGACGTGCTGCGTATCTATTGGAAAATCACTCGCTTTCCCCGTACCGGACCGGTTGCGTAAAAGCTACAGTTTCGCATTCTCCTCTACTGTCCACATAACCCGTGAATGCACGGTACAAAGTAACAAAACACGCTTACAAAGCCATGAATGTATTAATAAGAACCCGTGGGTCGACGGTACAAAACAACCTTACAAAGACAATACTGTATGAACAAGAAGCCGCAATCATCAAAAAACTGTACAAAGACAATGTTGTATGAATAAGAAGCCATAACCGTCAACAAACTGTAAAAAGACACTCAACAGAGGCCGTATGCGTATGCCATCGTGCCGCACAGAGAAGAATACCAATAATACAAACGCTCGTGGTCCGACTGTCGACTACTAGACACCACGACTACCGACATTGATAGCCTGGGGATGCCAGAACCTCTCTTCCGGATCGAAGCGCCTCTTGATCTCCCTCAACTTCTCTAGCCGATCACCGTAATACAGCTTGTACGCCTTCTCGGGCGGAATGGTGGGATCGATATAGTTCAGATACGCGCCGAAGGCGGTCTCGTTCTGGGCGGAGGTCAGACTGCGGAGCATGACGTCCATGAAGGGGTAGGCGGCGTCCGGGAACGGCGGGAGGTGGTTGTCGGTGTAGGCGTACAGCTGGATGGTCCACAGGGCGTCGCGGTGCGCGTAGCTGGACCACGAGCTGGGGAAGGCCGAGATGGCGGAGCCCGCGCCGCCGTACAGGTCTAACATCACCCACCATTTCGTGGGGGCGTTGCGGGCAACGGGCGAGGATAGGTACCCGAAAAAGGAGTGCAGGGCGGGTGCCGTCAGTTTGTGAGGCGATACGAGGGATTTGGCAAGGAATGTCTCGCGTAGTGTGTACTCCTCCGGCTGCGGGAGGGCAGAGCCGTCGTAGGAGTTGCGGAGAGACGTGAGCCAGTCAGCTTCATCGAAAGAGAGCTTGGAGTCCTGTGGTAGCTTCATCAGAAGCGGATCGATCGCGCGGAAGAAATCCGACTGCGTACCCCAATATGCACCAAAGAGTCCAAACACATCGGTATAAGTCCAAACTCGCATCGAGAGCTCCGGTGGTGCCCGTGTGACCGCAAAGTCCTGTATGGCGAGAAAAAGATCCACTTTCTTCCAAGTGCTCGTATCGTTGACCTCAGGGAAGATGATGGAGAACGAAACGCCGTTGGCTGGGGCCGGATGTGTTTTCAAGTGAAAATTGGTGACGATTCCGAACGAGGAGCCGGTACCGCGGATTGCCTAAAAAAATATATCAGTATATAATAGACGGCGAGGGGGGATGCAAATCACTGACCCAAAACAGGTCCGGATGTTCAGTCTCGGAAGCATTGACGATGCGGCCGTCGGCCAGTACCACTTCCACCGAGATGATGTTGTCCAGCGTCGTTCCCCACATACGAGAGGCGTGGCCGTATCCACCGTGCAGGGCGTGCCCGGCGAATCCAACACTGCCTACGTATCAGTCACGATTCGCAACACAAGGTTCGGAGAGATGGTCTTACCCTGGACATGTCCCGTGAGGAAGACCCCTCTCTCCATGTTCGTAGAGGGCTGTGGCGACATTTCCCAGCCTGTTGCCTGCACCAATGATGGCCTCATGGGTATCGGGATCAACCCGAAGCGTCTTGAACTTCTTCATGTCGATGACCAAGCTTCCATCTGCACCACCCATTCCATTGCCAGCGTACGAGTGGCCTCCGCCTCGAGCTGCAACCTTGACATTGTGGGTGTTGGCACACTGGACTGCGGACGAAACCTCTTCGGCAGTGCTGGGGGTGACAAGGACCAGTGGCTTCCATTTCACCCGGAGGTTGAAGTCCTGCGTGGCGGAGAGGTAATTGGGGGATGATTCAACTATCGTCGGGAGCGAGTGAGACTCGAGACATTGTATGAGGCTGGCCTGGCCGTTGACGACGTTTGAAAGCAGCATCTTGACACAGAGGAAAAGGAACAACATGGTGATGTTGGCCAGGGAACAGCTTAAGAGGGCATCGAGAATTACGGGAAGCATTCTGACAGAGGAAGATGGGGTCTGGATGTGAGGATGATTGGGGTTTGGATGTGAGCGAGAAGGTTCAATGGGCACGAGCCTTGGGAGTATCAACGGCCAGGTGTAATCCGACACTCGTTCTTCCGTTGGATCCTTGATCTTATCTCGGACCTGACCTGAAGTGGAAGAGGATGCATTATCTCCCATACTTTGTAAGCATCTACATGTCCGAAGTCCTCGGGGGAATGCCGAGTGAAGACATGGTATCCTTCCATAACTGGTAGCGTGCAACAATCTTTGTCATCTTTGGCTTCAATATTCTGGTAAAGCCCATCCTATCTGCTCGAACAATCGAGAAGGCCCTTAGGCATCGTACTCGCTCAAAGGCTCGAGCCCTCCTTCCGAACCGAGTATCACTCCGGTGCTCGAAACACGAATGGTGGCGGTTCATTCCACCACCAATTGCCCGACAGCCATCATCGTTTTCGGTCCGCAGTCACTCACTCTCGCCTTTTTAGCCGCCACGGAAGTCGAAAGAACCTTTGCCACAAATTCACCGATTCCGCCGCTACCAATCACCCAGGGGCGAGTGGAGGTTGTCAAGTATCAAAGAAAGTAGGCACACAATACAGCGCTATCACCACATTCGACCTTAGTAGACGGTAGCAGTTATATATCCGTCCGCTGGGCCGCAGCGCACAGCAGTTTCCACATCTCGGCCCGCGACAATCCGGGTTTACGCCGAGTGACTCTGCATGACTAAGCACCGTGCCGGGAGTTTCACGATTACGTAACTGGCGCAGCAGACGCTGGAGTCGATCACGTGCAGCCAGCCTCCATCCACCTCGCCCTCCCATCGCACGTAAGCCAGCACGAGACCGCAGTGGCGCGTTCGCGATCCGCTCATCCTCTTCCTCTCGGCGCCCATCTACAGCAGAGTAGAGTATGATCTCACGGGCGGGCAAGTTCGCGATCTCGCCTCCCTGGCCCCCCGGTCCCCCGGTCCTCCCGATCTCAGCTCGCTCCTTGAGCCAAGGAGGGTGCCAAGGAGTGCCAGACCTGTATGCCTTGCTGCACTGGTGCGCGCCGATCCGCCGGGAGGAAGCGGCTGAAGCTTGAACTGGCGCAATCGAGGGGCGTTGTTGGGGGGGGGGGGGGGGGGGGCGGACGGATATCACACCCGGCCGGGCGCGGCGGCGGCGGGGGGGGTATATACGGTTGTATATAGCACTTATGATATCAGGCTTTCAGCGGGGGTCGCCCCAAGTTCCAACCGGCGTTCGTCCGGAGCAGCCGAGTATGTTTCGAGAAAAGCAACGGGGCCGATCCGGCGGGCTCGGTGTCTGCGCGCAAGATCTCGCGCGGTGGCGATTGGCTCGTGACGGCGTCTCGCGCGGGCGCTCGTGCGCGGGGAGGCGAGTTTGTACTGTAGCTATTACCATGTAAACTATGTAAAGCTTCCCCCGCGAAGAGTATCTAGACTCTAGACTCTAGAGCAGAGTTCGATATTTATTCACGCTCAAAGATCTGAGATCGAGGTGTTGCCGTCACTGGGCAGTGGGCACAGAGTGAACGCGCGGTCCCAGTTTGCCGGGGCTCTTGTTCGGAAGGTTCAAGCGAGGGTGTGACGGATGGAAAGCGGTTACGTAGTGCTACAGTGCTACGGTTCTACATATCATATTTGAGATTCTGGGTAGATGCCTGGTGGCGCTGCGAGGCCGAGAGTGCGGGAGTGCGGGAAAAAAGCAAGGCAAAGGCAATAATCCTCAGATTCTCAACTGAGAAAACAAACTACAGTTGCGATGGCGATGGCAGCGTGTATGTAAAGTGCGGGAACGTGGATCGCGAAAATTGAAATTTGGGACGCTATGTATAGCACTCTAATTGTTTTTTTTTTCGGGCGCTCTTCTGGGGGTGTATAATGTTATACTCTATCAGAGTACTTGGTAGTACTTGCCTCGATGGCGGGAGTTGGGATCGGACGGCCAGATGGCAGACTCAGGACTCTAGATTGCGACACATAGTGCACATACCCCACAGCGAACAAACCGAAGTCTCCAATCGATGATGCCCAGTTGAGCGGAGGAGACGGTGGGTTGCTGCATCGAGCCAGTGGCCTGGGACTGCGGAAACGGAGGAAGGACTGAATACGAGTTCCAGTACGTAGCATCAACCAGAGCCTCAATTCGAAAGAAAAAGACAATCGAATTCCCATGATCGTAGCTTTCGTGGTTGTTATTGTTATGTTACAAGATTCATACCATCCCCAATGAAAAAAAAATGTACAGAAAATCAAACCCCCCAGAAAAAAAACGTGAACAGAAGTCAATCAAGTAAACCGAGCGCCTTCACAAAGCCATGCCATTTTCCGTCTACAAAGAGCCCTTAACCTTGCCCTCGACCTCCTGGGCGGTACCACGAGCCTTGCCGAGCGCCTCCTCCTTCATTCCCTTAGCAGTACCCTTCAGCTCCTCCTTCTTTCCCGTAGCCTTTCCCTCGACCTCGGAGGCCTTGCCCTTAGTCTCGCCCATATACTGGCTAGCAACGTTCTTCGCCTCGCCGGAGTACTCCTTCGCAGTGCTCTTGGCCTCGCCCGCGACGTTCTCGGCCTTGCCGACAACGTTCTCGCCAACCTCGATGCCCTTCAGCGCCGCATCGGCCGTGGCCCGGTCAACAGCCTTGACCGTGTCCTTGATCGAGTCGGTCACCGCCTTGGAGAACGCGGGGGTCGTGCTCAAAGCCCGGGTCGTGGTGGTCGTGGTGGTAGTGGTCGACTGCAGGACCGGAGTCTTGAGCGTGCGGATGAGGGTGGTGCGGATGGCGGCGGACATGGCGGGTTTGTTTGTTTGTGTTGTTGGGGGGTTTCTGGGTTGTTTTGGGAGGTGTGGTGGTTGTGGTGGTGGTTGTGGTGGTGGATTGTGGATGAGGATGAAGGAGGGTACCGAGAGAGAGGGAGGAAAAGTTTTATATGCCCAGCGCTGCTGGGAAAGCGGGTTTGTTGTCGATGTGCGAACGGGGAATTGTGGATGCTTGACGTCATCGATACGTGATACCAGTGTGTGGTTAGTAACCGGAGTACTGGGTACAAGATCTTGGCCAAGCCAGTGCAGCACTGCAGCAGATCCACCCCGGCCCGCCACCACCACCACCACTCCAAAGAAAACCACAAACCACTTAGAAGTTGGGACATGGGAAAGAAAGCTTCAGTCTTCGACAGACAAAAACAGAAACGGCTAGGGCTTCAAAGTTCAGACTTCAGTACGCATACCTGGGTCCTACATAGGACGCAGGTAACGTGATGCTGAGTATGACTAGATCTATTTCCGGCATGTGTCACAGTGCCACTGTGCCAGACTCCAGTGGCCATTGACCACTGCCCGCAAGCCCCCGCAGGCCCCAGATCCGTGTCGATCGAGATCACTCGACGTCAGCGTGAGTGAGATTTAGTGCACTGAACAGTGAACACGCGGAGAGCGAAGTCTGGTGCCCCTCGAAACCTATGGGCCTATAGCCATCACAAATGAAAGGAAAGGAAAGGAAAGAAAAAGGGGTCACTCAGAGTCTCCGATAGCGTAGGTATGCATGTGGTAAGTGCGGCATGGACATTGGAGAGTGTCATGGTCCTGATTCCTATATCCGTACCGCCAGTGCAGCCAATGTAGCCAACATCGAGGCCACTAGTCATGGGCCAGTGGCCGTTCGCATGCAGACCTGGGGTCTGTAGTGATTCATCCGCTGCCAAAGTTAACCACGGAGGAGTTGTGAAGCTGTTGCCTGAATCCTAATATTGACGAAATGACGGCCGCATGTACATAAGTAGGTAGGCCCGCGGAGTAAGCCTAGGAACTGGGTAACTATTGACCGAGCACACTGGCAATCACTGCGCAGTGCGCATATCCATCCTGCGTGAAACGGCATGTACCGAAATGGTTCGATTGTTTGCATCCACCCTCGTTTTGATGCCATCCACCTTGAAACCCGCTACGAGGGTCCAATAGAGTGTACATACTACATATCACACCTCCGAAGGTTTTGGTGCTCTGACCAGTGATGGCTAGACCCTGTGGCTATGGGACTTTAAAACCCCGACTCCCCGAGTGCTGTTGCCTAAGTCTGAGAATCGGGGATGGACGGTGAATGGCGGAACCAGCCTCTAGGTACAGAAGCAGACGAGCCTATCAATCCGTTCAATGAAGGACCTACGCAGGCAGACGAGTCTATCCATTCATCACATAACCGGCTTGTAGGGACCGGTATGTTCCACCGGCAGCTACCAGAACGTTCCAAGAAGCGAGTTGTACGCAAGGCTCATCGGAACTTCAACCATATAGGTAAATTCGGTATGTAAACGACTGTGACTGTGACTGGTCAGCTCCATGAGCGGAATGGATCCGCCCGGTTGGTTACATACGCACATACTAGGTAGTCTAGCTTGCCATGGCCGCGGGGCGAATCGGGATCCTCTACTCAGGTCCCGATCGGATCCGGAGACTGATGCAAGTCCGATTGGTATGCATTCGGGGGAGGAGGGGTTGCTGAATGGAGGATTGCCTGAATGGAGGATTGCCCCTTGAATGCTGATGGCGAACGGGCAGTTGACGACTTTGCAGCTTGATTGAAGGGCCAATTGGTACGGATGTGAGATGAAGCGTAGTGGAAAGCTAAAGATGCAGTGATACCGTGGTTGTGGTTGTGGTTATCAAAGGGCTCGCGTATGTAGGGGGGTGGCAGAGCTAGGTAGCCTTAAACTGGCGAAAAGCGGGCCGGCGCGGGAACTAAGCCACGGTAGGTATCGTACCTGGCCTGTGGCTCTTTCACGGTCACTGGATCGGCAAATAACTACCGATAGACACCTTGTCTCACGGATTGGCCACGGACAGCAGTTGATGCCACAGTTAGTCGGAGCTTTACGGGCAGTCCAAAGTGCTTCCGAGCACCAGTCTTGCCGCGTATCGATTGGCCGGAATAAGGCCCGTGGCAGTTGTTGCCGTAGTTAATCGGAGCTTTGCGGGCAATCCAGATTCCAGAGTGCGTCCGCGCACCTGTCTCGCCGCATATCGATTGGTCGGAACAAAGCCCGTGACCAGTCACGATATGATACCGGTATTCTGGATGGCCATCATCCAACTTTTCTTCTGGAGCGCGTAAGTACTTAGGCAACCAAACAAACCGATCGGGCTTGGTTCCCCCTATTCATCGTTCATCGGCGACATGACTCTCTTGGGCCAGGACGTCTGCGTGCATATCCAATACATAGCATTTCCATCCGGAACCGGCTCCGAAAGTCAAGAGTCACCGACAGCCATCACATCCAGTGGCGAGTGGAGCATGAGAATCAAGCTTTGCCACCCGCACTCTCCGCTAGGCAGACTGACAGTTGACTGTACTGTGCCCCTCTGCGATCAACCATCTCACGGCGAGGTTGTGGACGAATGATTCACATTTCCGTCGAGGTCAGCTATGAATTGCCCGGAGTCTCGTAGGTGTGTTTTATTTTCTTCTTTTCTTTTCGAGGCAGTGGCGGCGTCGTCTCCGCACGCATTATTGAAGCCTCCACGAGTAGAAATCGACGCCACAGCGAAGCCGTACTTGGGCAATTACGTCGAGTATCTGCAGAGTAAGTGATGGGGATTTTCTTTTTCTTCTTTCTTTGTTTGCTTCTTTCCTCTTGGGCCGTGCGTAGGTGCGTTGACGCTGTCGTTCGCTCGGATTCGGCTGCCGCAAATCTGAGGGGTGGCTGCTAGGCCGGTTGCGAGAAGCTCGGACGACGAGAAGTGGTCAAGGCGGTATCCAAGGCGGTAGCCACATCCGTCGTATCCCATCGTCCGCTTGGAATCCCGACAGCGTCCGAGACAGTTTCGGCCGCCTGGCCGTGTGAGCGACTCAGCACAAAGGGAGGTCTCCATCGCGGGGGGATTGACTTTCGTTTATCGAGCGACGGCCCCACCCCCACCACCCCCACCTTGACCGCTGCGATTTCGGAGAAGAGTCGACTGCGACAACGGAGCAGCGGCGGCAGCAACGACATTTCGGCCCGCCTCCGGGCGATGTCTTTCCCTTACGTATGCGTGTCTCATCCGTCAACGTTGGGATGCACGACTCACTCGCATCGATTATGACGCTCGCATAGAGATCATGAACGATGACCACATACCTCCTGCCTACACGCGCCCGTCGTTTCCGCCTGCCCTTCTCTGGCCGAATGAACGCAACAACGTCAGTGTACAATCAACAATCGCATCAAGTTTTTCTTTCTTTCTTTCCCCTCCCTACGTGCGCGCGCAATCAGACGTCCGTATGTACGATTCCTCCGCCCGGGGGTGTGGTGTGTGACGAGTACCGGTAGGCAGTAGAGTAGAAGTAAGTGAGTAAAAAGTGAGTAAGCAAGCAAGTAAGAAGAATTAGTCGATCTGCCTGAGAAAATGCTGGTGAGTACCGATATGTACGCAACAGTACGTCGTCCACATACGGTTCGTTGCCGCCGCAGTCCCAGACCTAGCCCCATGGCGGGGGAGCTGGAATCTGCATTGGGACCAGTCTTCGTCAACGATGTCACTGGTGTGGCGCGTGTGCCCGCGACTGCACCTCTCGCTTCCCTAGCAGCTCCCTCGCCTCCTCGCCCCGCGCCACAGCCGCGGCCCCCACCCTTGTTATGTCCGTTGCGCCCCTGCTCCTGGCGCTGCAGCTGTTGCTGCTCCTGCTCTTCCTTCCCCTGGGCCGGTCGACCCGTAGAGTAGTCGAGCATGTCAGATCCCTGGGTCCCAGCCAAACCAAATCAGTCCGTCCGACCGCACGCTCCCTCCCTGGCGCGCAACCCCCTGGTGCAACCTTCCCTTCCAACGTGATGGACTCACCCTTGCCTATTCTGCACAATGATGTAACTGACCTGTTGATGATGCAGTGACGAATGTACTTACTTGTTCCCTTCCCGGTTCTGTTAAAACCAGCTGCCCGTCCACTCACACAACCCCCCCACCCCACCCCCCAATGGAACTGCGAGGCGGTGAAGACCAACCTTTTTGTTTTGTACCTTTAGACTCTTAGAATCATCATCAGCATCATCATCGTTCACCAACATTCCACAACACACACCCACCCCCGCTTATCCCCACCCCCAGCCCGCCTATCTGATATCTCAAAATACTCTCCACATACCCGATTACTCCTATTCTTCTCGGGTCCCCCTACGTCTCGCCTTCTTTGTTTTGCCTCCTACGCGTATAGTTCTGGCGTGTGGCTTGATACCTATCCTTATATCTGTGTCACCCAGTCGCCTAGCCATTCCAGGAAGGCTATATTATAATTCACCCGCTGCCCCATCCACCTTTTGTTCAATAACCTCACTTCACCAACCCTCACCTACCCTCATCACGTCACATCCCCCCATCCCATCACACCTACCCCCATTCAGTCTCCATCTGTCCGAGCAATCGCCTTGTACAAAAGTGGTGGTTGACCATCCCGCATCTCTCCGGTCACCTGTCATCACCACCCTCGGTCGTCATCACACCACACACCATATACTATACACCACATACCACCACCCCCCATCGCTTCGTAGACAACGATATAGAAATCTACAGCATGGCGTATCAACAGTCTCAGTATTCAAGGGCGAGTTTCGACAGCGAGCAGATTCTATGGGCTGCGCCGTACGCATCCATGTTCGACGAGATCATGTCCTACGGCGACTCGATAAATTACTACGTGTCGTGGAACACGAACTTCCCCGTCGAGGACGAAAACGACAGCAGCAGCTACTCGATGCCGATGCCGCCTCCGATGCCGACCATCGAAACCGCCAACTGCTTCGGTGGCTTCGGTCAACCGTTGGCGTACCTGCAGCAGCAGCACAACGTGATGGAGTCGAGCATGGACGACCGGATGGACCGTGGCGGCAGTTTTAGCGGTAGCTCGGCGAGCGGCGACACGCCGTACAGCGGCGGCAGCAACACACAGATGGAGACCCGTAGCAATAGTGTCGAGTCCTTCGGAAGCTTCGGTAGCGGAGGCGATGGTCCTGCACTCCGCCCTACACGCGGGCCGATCCTCCAAGCCACGCCGTCGCCGGAAGTCGCCATCGCGGTCCACACGCACAGCCACGCCCACTCGTACTCGCACTCACACTCGCACTCGCATAAAAGGAGACTGCCGTCGTCCTCCGCTTCCTCTTCGGCGTCGTCTCGCGGCTCCATCTCCAGCACACGGGCGGCCACCATATCACCCGTCTCGAAGGCTACTAGAGGCGTCGAGGAACTCGCACCCCGCGACAAGACTCGGAGGATCCGTAAGAAGTTTTCGCATGACCAGAAGATTGAGACCCATATGACTCGGCTCGAGGGCGCTTGTCTGCGGTGCTGGAAGAACCGGAAGAGGGTATGCTTTTCTTTTCTTTTCTTTTCTTTTCTTTTTCTCTTCTTCTTTTTTTTCTTTTTCCATTCGTACTTCTTCTTCGTCTGCTGACTTGTTTTGGTCGACCAACAGTGCGTCAAGATTGAAGGAGCATGCTGTAAATACTGCAGCAACCTCAACCCGATGCCGGATATGCCGTGCTTCCGGGCTCGCCTAAGTTCTTCGGAGCTGTTCCGCCAGGGGCCGACCGACGAATTCCGCTGGACACAACGCAAGTGGCTTCAGACTCCCTTCAACGACACCAAAGTCTGGCGCTCGCCGCAGACGCGTCTGTTCGTGACGCAGGGCATGGGTCTCCGACTCGAACTGGTCGTCAAAAAGTACGAACCCCAGCCCGAGGACACGGACAAGTACTTCTGGACCGACTGCAGCAACGGCGCGAAGAAGTCCCTGGAGATGCCACGATACGCGGTTGCCGACATCTCCGGCGCGCAGGACGCCATCAACAGATACGTTGGCGACCATACCGAGTCGTACATCAAGAAGAAGATCGGGTCGGAGGAAACGATTCCTTGGAAGACGTTCCAAATGGCGCTAAAAATAAGCAATGAGGGGGTGAGTACTAAGCAGTCCCAGTAGTTTATTGCACTTAGTAGTAGTCGTACCCCTTGCAACCGGGCAACGCTCCGCTACTGGTTGTGGTCAATATGGATGAGACTGACCCCGAACACAGTCCTCCCTCCTTAGGAATGCGCTCCGTCTCTGGACCGCCAGCCGAATCATCGAAGATCCATGGGAGATTACTGGCAGCGAGAAGCTCGGGATGCAACCCGACAGCGACCCAAAGAGCCCATATTACCGCAAGGTTCCCGTGACTCCGGTTATGGACTTTCAGATCGACAACATCACCATCTGCAGGATCCTGCTGCCGCTCAAGAAGCAGATTCTCCAGGAGCTGCAGAAGAAGGTGCTCGAGAACAGACCGAAGGACTTTATGGAGATTTTCCTCACCATGTACATTCTGCTTCACAACATTGAGCTCACCATCGCGCACGACCGCTGGTTCGCCCAGCGATGGAACATTAAGGTACGTACCCTTTTATTTATTTTATTTTGTTTGGGCTCGGCTGGCTCGGTTCGGATCGCAGCCGATTGACCGACCGAACGATGCGACCGACTCGACTCTATTCTACTCTACCCTAGGATTCCCCGGCTGATTGGTTTGCGATAGACGCGATTTTCGCACTACCAACTGATCGACAACGTCTTCTTCGGAGCAAACATCATGTTGACACACTTCCACCACGTCACCCGTGGATACGGACGGTTCGCCCAGGACTGGAAGAAGAGCATACCCGACAAGCCGACCGAGACGCACAGGCGCTTCATGGACGAGATCAGCACGGCTGCAAAGCACCAGGCTGGCAGCCTGCAGATACTGAGGGACACGGCCCAGTACGAGAGCCCCATGTTTTGGTGCTCGCAGCTGTTTTACGATGGGTGGAAGCCCGTCGTTTCGCCTTGCGCGTAGGTGTGGTCATATACCTAGAAGGCTCTGGTCGGTTACAAGATTTGTTTTTTTTGCTTGTTTGGTAATCTGTTTTTGCAATTGCGGGAGGTTCTACACTACTTGATTTTTTTTCTTCTTTTCTCTTGTTTGATATTATTATTATTTGCTTTGGGCGTGTTGCCGGAAGGTTCGGGCTGGATATGGGGGGTTCTTTGCTTTTTTTTTCTTTTCCTTTTTTTCTTTTCCTTTTTTTCTTTCCTTTTCTTTCTTTTTCTTTTTTTCTTCTCTTCGTCTGCGTGGCCTTTGATACCTTTTACTTGATTGATCATCCATTCATCGGTGGGGCGGAGTTTTTTTCCCCGACTGGTTCCAATTTCCAACTTCCGTTGGGGCGGGTTCGGTTCGCATGGCTTTGGCATTGGCATCTCTGTCGGTCATATACCATATGTACACGGTATATCTCACACGTTCGGCGAGAGGAGAGGGAGGGAGGCAGGCGTATGCATTTGTCGGCGGTGTAAGAAGACTTTGTGAAGGCGACGAGCTGTATAGTATGATATGTAATTTAAGCAGAAGGGGAAGAGGCCTGGGGAAAGCCCTGGGAAATGGGAAGGAATCTTGATGATGGATGGACCGTGCACCGTCGTGGGCCTTTATACGTCTTTATACTCTATTTTACGTATCCACAATCTGGGATTCCGTGCCTTGCCCTTGCACCTGAAGACTAAATTAAAGCCGGCGGCGTGGGTGTGGGTGGGCAGTAGTTGTCAGTTGGCAAAGGTCGGCGCGCCATGTCATTGTTTTACACACTTGGGGGGTGCACACAACACTCTATTTAGCTTTTGTGGATGATGGTGGGCGGTCGTGATTGTGATTATGCATACAGTTGAGTTGAGTTGTACAGGTCGAGATCGAGTTGAGGCTGCGGCCTTGGGAACCCGTTGTGGTTGTGGTTGTGGTTGTGCTTCTTGCCGCGCGGGCGGCGGCAGGCGATCCAAGCTTCAAACTTTCATTCAAAGTGCAAAGTTCAGGCTTCCTTCAGGCTTCCAGAAGCTCAGCACAGCACAGCTCGGAAGGGAAGCCACGACCACGACCGCGATCACGACCACGACCACGACCACGGCGGCGGCGGCGGGGCACAAGGCAGTGATGCCATGCCGTACCAGTGGTAGTAGTGGTAGAAGGGAGGAGGGGCGTTTGCAATCTCCAGATTGTTTTTCATTTTTTCCGCCTCACAGCCAGCCAGCACAGACCAGCAGGCCAGGTAGACAGAATACAGCAGGCAGTTGACAGCAGACCGTGCTGGTTTTTCCGACAGACAGAAAGATTTGGGGAGGGGAGGGGAGCTCGTGTGATGCCATGCGAGGTGCGAAGTGGGGTCTGGACGGATTGGATGCGATGGGGTGGGTTGGAGTGTGCGCATCCAATAATTCAATCCGCCGATTCTCCAATGATCATGACAGTAGGCGTTCTCGTCCCTTGCACCAACAATCGGGTGCATACTCTACAGGCGATGGGAAGACGCTGGATGATGGATATGCTGGAGCTGTGTCGGTAGTCGTTCTATCCACTTATTCCTCCTCTACTCTCTCGAGTAAAGCACCCATGCTGCACTGCTGGAGTCGGGTAGAGTAGAGTATGTAGAGTACCGGGGTCAGGCCCCATCAGGGTCTCTCCCCTCTCTCGACGGGGGCGGAGTGGGGTTGCATTGAAGCTGGATTGGAACTTTCAATTCTCTCCGATAATTTGTTGCAGGAAAGCGACAGGGTAGGCTCGGATTCTCGGAACAAACAGAAGAAAGCAAAGCAAACTTCGGACGGATGAAAGAGGAAGGGCAATGGGGGAGGGGGGAAGTTGCTTGCTTCTTCCTGCCTCGTGATGATGATGAGGAATTCGAATTTGGTCCATGCCGGACAGAATACGGTAGGGTTCGTTCTTTCGTTCTTTCTTTCTTACCAGACCAGCACGACCGGAACGGCGGAAAAGACAGCGAGTCATCTTCATCTTTGGTCGAGCTCCGTTTCTGTTCCCTCCCCCACTCACCCCCTCCACCCCCCTGCGGCGGATGGATGGATGGGTGTGTGGATTCCTCGGGGAGTAGAACCATCCAGAACGTTGCCTGAAGAAGACGATCGTCGATGCCTGTCTGCGGGCCTGCAGGCAGGCATGCTGCCTCTGTAGAGTACATAAAGTACATGTAAAGTATGTACATACGGTACGTCAGTGGTGGGGGTGAGCCCTCCTGGGGTCCCTTCTGGGGGGCTCCGGACGAACGAGCTCACCCTCACCGCCCGCCCGCGCGGCTAAAGAGGGAAGCTCCGGCGACGATCGTCAATTCACCGTCATTGTCACCGTCACCGTCGTGGGCCCGGCGGGGGATGAGGGGGAGGATCGGCGTCGCTTGGGCGGTGAGAGAGACAGTCTGACAGTGAATAGTAAGGCTGGAAACTGACAAGTAGAGTACCGGCAAGTTAGCAGGTGGGTGTAGATAACAAGGAGAAAAAAAAGAAGGGAAAAATAAAAAGAAAAGAAAAAAACAGATGGTCTAGATCCACCTGGCCACTTGGACGCCCGGGCAGCGCAGATCAGAGCTGCTGGTCCCTTACCGCTCCACTGCCTCAGTGCCTCCGTCGCAGCACTCTACATAGTACATACCATCTCTTCAGACTTCATCCCACGCGGGATAAACAATTCGCAAAGCCTCCCAACGGGCCAATCCCAATCCCGCAATCGACCAGATGGCTGCGTGTAGCTAGCTGTCTGCCATCGGGCTTCGGTGCTTCTGTGCTTCTGTGTGTGTGTGCCACGTCTCTGGGTCGAGAGGAACAGGTACTGAGCAGCACTGCAACGGCCTGACCAGTAGGCTGTCCATGGGCTGTCCCATGGCGAAGCGACGCTCGTGATGGCCAAGGCAATGTAGTCTACCAGTACCGGCGAATACGAGCGCACTCCACCGCTCCCCACCGCTTCGCACCACTCCCACCGCCCACTGCGGTAAACAGAACGGAACACCCGCACCGTTCCATGACGTTGCTTCGAGGTCGCACTGCTGCCGCCGCTGGTGCTGGCAATCCAGCCTTTCCCGTCCTGTCCAGGCCAGGCCGCTCGGTATGCCTTGTGAAGTTGGGGAGAGAGAGAGGGAGAGCTGGCACCATAGTCGGCCGCCGGGGCGAGATGCGCCCTTGAGCCACTTCGACCACCCTCCAGCGGCGATGGTGGTGGTGCCGCATAGTTGTCTCCGTCGTTGACCTTCGATGTTGTTTTACGATCGCAATGGATAGAGTTTAAGACCCCTCCCCCCGCACTTCTCCAGCCAGCTTCCATCTCCATCTACATCTTGAACTCGATCGGTCCCGATCACCATTGCCAACATCCAATACCCAATATCCAACACTCAGTATCCTAAATCCAACACCCAATTCAAAGATGGCGATGACCAACGACAACGCTCCCCCCACCTCGCAGTCAAACACTCGCACCAGCTCGACCAGGTGAGTCCCCCGGGAATGTTTTATTTCCGGCCCTGCATTATGCATATGAATTATGAAACTGATCCAAGACCTACCCAGCAACGTCTTTGGCATAGATCTATCCGCATACACCATGTGCATGACACAACAACAATCCCAAGCCCAACCCCAGCCACAATCCCAGGAGGCCGACACGCAAATGACCCGCTGGCTCACGTCGAACGACCGACTGGAGCGTGCGCTTGCTGGGACACTGCCCTCGTCCATGCGCAAACACCACCACGACCAACGCCACCACAAGGGACCCAGCAGCTCGACAGCAGCGACGAACGGCAGTTCCGTAAGGAGCGCGGCGGCTAGACAAGGAATTGTTAAGAAGAAGACGGCGACGACAATGGGCAGGGATCGCTTCAGGATTCGCGATGAGCAGGAGCGGTGCGCGGATTTTGCACTGCTTGCTGTCACCACTACCGCCGCCGAGGCGGCCGAAGAGCGGCAAGAATGAGGGTGGGAATGAGAATGAGAACGACAGGACATGAACACGCCATGCTATGCTATCTTCCGAGCCCCGACGGAGAGGAGGCAGCGGAGCGAAAAAACCAACCGGAGCGACTTTCTTCTTCTTTCTTCTGTTATTTCTTCTTTTGCTGGTGTTATTCCTTCTACTTTTCATGGTGTTCTTCCTTTCCTGGCGTTATAATACCTATTTCCTTATTTCCTTTCATTTCCTTGGTGCGCTCCAGATACCAGTTACGTGTATTTTTTCTAGACAAAAGGCCAGGGCCAGGGCTAGTGAGGAGGGGATGGGAGATTGGACGGTGGACGGTGGAACCTGGATGGGGAAACGGGCAGAGTGTGCATTGCCATTGCTATGGTGTGGACAGACAATCGATTGGACGGGGAAAAACGAAAGCTGGCTGCATAGGGAGGGTGGGGGGATATACTTCCATGGCCATGGCCATGGGAGAGTACCTACCTCGTGGATACTGGATACTGGATCGGTTGACGGACGGACATCATGGTGGGGACCCGGGGAGCGGGTGAGCCTATGGGGGATGGGGGATGCGCGGGGTGGACTTACGGGGGTTTCACGCTGGAGGAGCTGCGATTGATTGGCATGGTTCCGGGAGGGTTTCTGAATACGAGCTGGGGGGGGCGTACCGGTAGAGCGGAGGAGCTCGGAGGAGTCGATTCTGGCAGGTGGCAGGTGGCAGGGTGAAGGGTGGAACTGATGGAAGGGGAACATGCACTTTGACGACGGATGGGCTGGACGAATGGGCTGGACGGCAGGTGGATACTCACGATACCTATGGGATGGGTGGCTTTACGATTACGATTACTCTAGATGTTTTTTTCTTGTATATACTATATCTCTAGACTCTACCTGTACTATATCTACTATACCTTTACTCTTCTACATACTTAGATACCCAACATACTCAACATACCAGTACTTACTACTTTATCGAGATTCGAACGCAAGTCGTCCGTCCACATGATATATCTACCACGGCAGTGGCAGCCAATAATTGCAAGTCTAAGCTCACGAGTGACGAGAGACAGTGTATTACTAGACGTCTGATGTACGGTAGATATACCTAGAGTACGCGAGGAATTGGCGTCGGGCGTCGGGCGTCACAGCAGGACCCAGGTGCCATGGCACCTAGAGCATGTATCTGTTCATCTGTCCCCGGGGGCCAGCTGTCAGGGCGCTAGGTACCGGCAGTTCACCTTGTTTTTGAGGGTATAAAAAGAAAGTACCGAGAAGTCAAAGTTGTAGGTGTGACAACTATTCTAGGTACTCTACGTGGGGTGCGGAGTGCGGAGTGATTCCTCTCCATCATCTACTCTACTGTCCTCTGCTACATATCACCGGTACATACCGGTAGTCTGTAGAGTAGTACCGTCGTCAAACCCGCAATCCAAGACAATCCCGAACCGCCTTCGCGCTAGAGTGGACTCTAGCGTAGAGCAGCATCTCCGAGTCCATCGCCCGTGCTTCGACATCTTACCATCTTACCGTCTTACTCCTTGCGTCCCAAGTCCCGCTGTCCTTCACTATCGGCATCAGCATCGGCATCACCTCACCGAGTCACCTTGTCACCGTATCTATAATACCTACGGTACTACGGTAGGTACATGCATAACTAACTCGAGGCAGGTTCTCAAAGTTCCGCCCCCTTCGTAATACTGCTACATACAGGTGTATGCACAAATGGCCAACCGACGAGGCTCCTGTTTCCCTAGCCTGCCTGCTATTTCCCATGACGATACGATCAACGTTCTCTCTCGCCAGCCTTTCCAAGTTGATCGACGCTCTCTCGAGTCTCGCCAGCGGCCAGCCTTGCCAGTTGCCACGACACACTGGGTAGCTGGGTGCTGGTTATGAATAGACTGTGAGGTATCTATTATGTTTGCAAGACGTCCCCGACGCCGTCCACTACCGCACAACTCTGCTGACTGGCGTCGCGGCCTGCCAAACGAACCGTCGTGAGCGAGCGTCTGAGGTCTCGCCCCCCCATGGATCGTGATCGTGATCGTACCAGGTGCCTGCCGCCCACACGGAATGAACACGAAGTCTCCGCCCGCCAACAAGGCGTCCAGTCGTCGAGAAGGAGAAGGAGGAAGAAGATAGGGAGTGCAATATAATAAGCTGCCGTGGCCAGTCCGTAGGAGTAGATCCGCGAGACGCCGAGACCTCAGACTGGGAGACCCTCGTAGGCGGGGAGGGTGAAAGGTACCTACCATCCACTGGGCCTGCCGGATTTTCCCTACATACGTCATGTTCCCTACGTCGGTGTTCTCGAGGACGAGTCTCTGGAATACACACATTTCATCGCGGAGGGCTCCGCAGGGCTTGCTTGCTACGGAGCAGTGGCCGTTTGGATCCAGTGGTGGCCGATTTACAGACTTGCAGTGCCATCACATCCGGAAACTCCTCGAGAACAATAGGAGGAGACCGGAGGTTGATGATTGACACAGTTACTTTATGTCTTCTGCTCTCCACCTCCGGGAGCTTGCCTTGCCCTGTCCCCGTACATACCCCCGAATCACGGGTAGCCACCTTTCGTGTTTGCTCCTACATAATTATCATGCGGATCATCGAAGCTGATTACTCCATGAAACCGATTGTATGTGTGTAGGTAGGCTTCCTGCGAATACTTGCTGCCTCCCAACTCATGGACAACCGAGGACGTGTGCAGTATGCAGTATAGTGTGCAGTGTGCACACCCAAATTCCAATCGTGGCAGAGAAATCGGGAAGCGCAACTTCAGTATTACACCAGCACCGATCCATCGATCGACGGCACTACTAGTAGATAGCGATTGCTTTTTGCCAATCGACTCTGGAGTCTGAACGAATAGCAATCGACTCGCCGATTCGCCGATTCGCAGACTCAACCAATGATTGCGACTGCGACTGCTCGAGGCTTAGACTTGGGGGGGCAGTCTGAGAGGTGTTAAGACTGGACGGATGGACGGACGGTGGTCGACTGCAGTCGACGGCCAAGTGTGGCGCCATATGGTCCGTGCGGTGGCTTGAACACGTGGCGGATTGGAGCTGCGAGGACCTTGCCTGCAGTGTCAACACCTGGTAATTTTGAGGCTCTTTACATATGAATATTCCTTTTATCCATTCGACTAGCAGGCCTCAGAAATCTCGGATTTGACGGATTATTTTCATGACGTAGTCCGTCAAAACCTCAGGACTGCAGTCCGGCTCCTCGGACCTCGACCAACACGCCGACAGTCAGTCCGAAAGGTCGTGGGCGGAATAACAGCGCGGAGGACGGAGCCGCTCGGTGAGGCAGTGAGGCTACGCCGAATGTCCGAAGGGGCTTTCAGGAGGAGCGAGATGGCATCAGTGTAACTAGGTATGGGAGCACTGGTTGAGGCGCCTCTGTGTTGCGGTGAGCGGCGGAATGAAAGATCCTAGTGTCGCTACGGGGGTGTGACCAGGATCAGACCCAATGCGGAGGGCCAACGTTGGATTGTTTTTCTATTGTTTCTATTCTTGTCTGTTCGTCCCGACTCTTGTGGGTTCGTCCCCTGTTCTTCACATCATACACAGAACATAAACCCACACGCGATTCATCACACCTCTTTTTTGTCTCATCACGTTTTTGCGTTCCTCAGCACCTAAGGCCCTGTTCGCGCACCCATTATCTCATCCTGCTACCACACAAATTGGAAAACCATTTTTCCACTCATAATTTGAGGTGGCAGGTGTTCGCTACAACCCATTATCTCACCCATTATGTCAAGTTGGCCTGCGCCACAATAAAAAAAGGGGGGGGAGTCTCCAACCTCAACCTCAACCACTATCATCACCACGATAATTCAACAACTGGAACAGCAAAAAAAAATATTGAAGAGATCGGACAAGTGTTTACTGCTTGCTCGGCAGGAAATTTCATTCCTCGGCAGAATTTGGAACTTCTGGAAGCTGAAGACTGTGGAAGCGATGGGTTTTATTACAAGTGTCATCCGGGAAGCATTGCAAGAGTCAATCAACTCACACAGTTACAGTCATTGAAAGAATGACTCTAGTAATTGGAGAAATGACTCTAGTCAAGGAGGAGGAATGACTCCAGTCACCAAGTAGGAATGACTGAGTAAATCCGCGAGACTCCCAGCCATTTTTCCATTGCATTTGAGGCTGAGGACACGTATTACATGATGGTTCACTTCCGCTCGCTACTCTTACTGGCTAGCTTCTATGTAGCACCTGCAGTGGATGTGGCGTCGCAATGTCTAGGTAGTTCAGAAGTCTGTGCGCCGAATCGACATAATGCTAAAGGCATTATGTCGCGCTATAGGCTTGGCACATCCACAAAATGAGATAATGGTGTGCGCGAACAGGGCCTAAGTACCTAACTTAGTACCCTGCTCTGGGGAATGTGCGCACTGCACAACGCAGGCCTCGGCACTCAAATGCAACCTCACATTCCATCGACGGCATGGAGGCTCACCATTCACGGGAAGCGAATCGATTATTTGGGGGATCTACGGTACCTACCCTTGCGCGGGCCGTCCTTATTGGATCGCCGTGTTTAGGCCTCAGCATTCCACATCCTCTGCTCCATGAATTGATTGCTACATAACATGTGCGCGACGGCCAGGATCTACTCCGTGGGGGGAGGGAAGGGGGAGGGAAACGTTACCCCCCGTGGGGCCTGTGGAACTTGGAAGCGCGGGCACAGTTGGTGGGATTCATTGAGGGGAATGCGGTAACATCAGCCCACAGTCTGAGGTCGGCCCTTGGACTGTGTTACTCATGATGTGCTGGTGTCGACCGGCGAGTCGTGACACCCAATGCGGAATGCCCACAGCAGTCCTTCAAAAGAGCGCGTTTCCCCGCAATCCCCATCGTGCCGAATGCAAGCACACCTGGAGAACGGATATTACAATCAACCAGCAGAAGAAAACAGCGGGGAAACAAGAAAAAAGTGAAAACATCCACGCTGAGGACTTTGCTGCGCTTTCTCTTACTCTTCCGATACCTATCTTTACCTTGCACCGAGCGCACATCGCGGACACGCATCGACAGGGCAAAACTTCATTGCTCGGATCATGGAGTTGGATGCCCATGGACGGCTGGTCTCCGGCTCTCGTGTAAGTGCATTGAGGGGATCACACGGACTTGCATGGGGTGGTAGAGGTAGTGGTAGAGGTGACAGCGACGCCGGAGCAGGAAATAGGTTCGTGATCCACGCTTTGTTTGATGGTAGGAGAATTGACACGCCTACTCTAGCGTCTGCAAATTCTTTGCCCGTTCCGGAGGCTGTGTAAACAGTGATTGCAAGTACAAACACGAGGCCGGCGGGGCGCAGACGATGGGCACATGCCACACCTTCGACCGTACGGGCAAATGTCGGAACGGTGCCAACTGCAAGTACAAACACGAGGCCGGCGGGCCGCGGAGGTCAGCCGGTTCGCTGGCGATGGGCACATGCCATATCTTTGCCCGTATGGGCGAATGTCGGAACGATGCCTGCAGGTATCGGCACGAAGGCGGTGGATCGGGAGAACCAACCCCTAACGTTCCTCACGGCGTCTGCAGATGGTTCGGCACCCCCCAAGGCTGCAAATACGGGTCTGACTGCACATTTTCGCATGGAAGCGTCAATTCAACCGCGGTTAGACCAGTCAGGCGGCCCCCAAGACGTCTCGATTGGTCGGTCTCGCTGTCGCTGCCACAAGCTATGATTCCTAGCGCCCTGCGGAAAACCATCACGGAAGGCCTTGCGATCGTCGAATCTGAGGATTCGGAATTGCGGCAGCTTATGATAAAGGAGCTGGGGAGTGCGCGTGGCCTGCAGTGGATCGTCAAGGTTCTCGAGGGACAGTACAGTATCAACCAGTACGAAGAGCGCAGCATGAGGAATTTTCCGAGACGCTACTCCCATGAGCGCAGCCTGGGGTTCCACGAGCATTGTGTTCCTTTTCTGAGACTCATCTCCCACGAGCACATCCTTGCCTCGCTCGTGCTGGAGAACGTCGTGGGTACCATATATAATGTTATCGGGAAGCGTGGTGTCGCTTTCTTCGGCATGGCCGCTGCTCTCCTGCAGACGGCCATGGACAGCGATTCTACCGACGAACCGCAACGCGAGGAAGCAATCTTTGCGATTTCGGCTACGATGTTCAGTACGATCAATCTTAATCAGGACGCATCCATCCAGGAGGGGTACATGGCGATTGCGAACTCACTCGGCGAGTGTCTGCAGCGGTTCCCTTCCGACCGCCAGCAGAGTTTTGCCCTGAGATCGAGCGCTCGGCATCTCCAGCGGATCGAACAGCGTCTCAACATGGGCACAGCCATCCCAGGCGCAACATATGCCACCACCACTACAGCCTCCCCAGAGTTTCAGTTCTACGTCGACCCGCCGGGTGATTTATCGGTCAACGGCCCCCGCCATGACAACGACCACGCTTCGATCGAGAGGATCTGCATCCTCCCCACCACGAGCGAGCTCAAAGCCGTCCGCCCCGAGTTTCTTCCCATGAAGTACAAAGAGAGTCCCCACCACGAGACCGGAATCCAACGGCTTCTGGATTCGCAGTTCCGCTTGCTGAGAGAGGACACTTCCGGTCAGCTTCGGGACGCTGTCTGCGGTCTCGTTACGCATTGGGACCAGCTGGTACGCGGCAGCGATAAGAATCTGAAGCGAAAGATTCACAGGCAGATCAATGCCAGACTCAGCCTGTTCACGCACGCCAAGGTGAAACGGCTGAACTGCGACCGTCGAGTCGGTCTCACAGCAAAAGTCACATTCGCGCAACCTGTTAATATGTCGAAGATGAGAGAACAACAGAGGATCGCCTGGTGGGAGGAGTCCAAAGACCTTCAGAAGGGGAGCATCGTGGCAATAGTCGATAACACCCTGGAGACTTTATTTCTCCTTGTTACCGAACGCACGGTGTACCAGAAGGTTGGCGTGGATTCCGCCCATGAGCCCGACGAAGATTTGGTTGGGACCGATCAAAACGCGACGATTACACTCGCCTTGATCGATCCCACGTCCAAGATCGATCAGGCACGATTGATGACTCTCGCTGCGCCATCGAAAGACAGCTCTGCAGTTCTTGTCGAGTTTCCGGGTCTGTTATTCGCATCGTTCGAACCCGTTCTGAAAGTCCTCCAGAGTCTGCATCGACAGCCGCATATGCCATTCGCCGACTGGCTTGCGCCGGGTCCCGAAACTCGGACCGAGATTCGCGACGGATTCGTCACAGTCCCGCCGCCCCTTTACCTATCCAGAAATAATGTCTTCCTGGACCTGACATGCATCACGCAGGACGGGTTCCGGTTGCGCCACTCCCTCAAACAACCCGTTACCATTGAAGAATTGGAAGCCCATACCACTCTGGACCGCGGACAGTGCCAAGGTCTTATCAATAGTCTTCGGCACGAACTGGCCTTGGTGCAAGGCCCTCCAGGGACCGGAAAATCATACGTGGGTGATAAGATCGTTCAGATCTTGCTGGCTAATAAACATCGATTAAGAATCGGTCCGATAATTTGTGTCTGTGTGAGTCCCTTCACCCCCCCTCTACGACTTAAACAAGCTGTTACTGAGTGAATGGATCAGTACACCAACCATGCGCTTGACCAGTTTCTCGAGCACGTTCTCAACCACAAAAGTGTTGTGAAGCCCAAAGTGATCCGAATGGGCTCCAGTTCGAAGTCAGTGGTGCTATCCGAACTCACGCTCGCCAAGGTTCGCTTCGGTACCAGAAATACCATGACAGAGAGTTGCAGCATTCGGAAGCATAATAAGGAGCTGGACGAGATCAGAATGCGCATGCAACCAGTCCTACAATGGAGTTCCACAGGATGCACTGTCTCTGCTGTCGCGGATCGCTTACTAGATTACGACCCGGCGTTTCATGACTGTCTTTTTGCGGGAGCTAAGGGGGTCTACAGCGTTGACGCTGAGGGATATCAACTGGTGGCCAACCATACAACGAAGCAGGATCTCTATGACCGTTGGATTCAAGGAATGGGTCGGCCTTGGGAGCGACAAAATCAGCCGACACAGGCAAGGAGCAATCGAAGTTGTGATGACCTTCTCAAATGTCCTCAGCAGGTGTGGAAGATGTCGGTTGTCGAGAGGCGGAAATTATGGGCGCACTGGGTGGAAACCATCGTCAACGCTAAACGTCACGAACTGCAATCCTGCATGGAGGATTTCACCGAAACTAGTCGGATGCTTCAAATACAGTACAAGGAGAGGGATAAAAGGTGTCTCGAGAAAGCTGATATTATCGGCGTGACGACCACAGGACTGGCGATGAATGCGGAACTTATTAGAAGGCTTCCGGTTAAGGTGCTCGTCTGTGAAGAGGCTGCCGGTATGTGAAACAATCGCCCTCCTCGTCTTTTTATTCTCTATATTTTTATGCTCATTAATTTCTTTCCACAGAGGTGCTGGAGGCGCATATACTGACGGCCCTGATACCGTCGGTCGAGCATGCAATTCTGATCGGGGACCACCTGCAGCTCCGAGCCACAATTTCCAACAACTCCCTATCGATGGAGAACCCTCATGGTCAGAAGTACGGCCTCGACGAGTCGTTATTCGAGCGGTTGGCCGAAGAGCGTTTTGATGGCGCAAAGTTTCCCATCGCACAACTCGGCGTGCAGCGCCGAATGCATCCCAGCATCGCCGAACTCGTCCGCGAAACCCTTTACCCCGACCTACAAGACCACGTTGTCACCCTTAACTACCCAGAGGTTTGGGGGATGCGCAGGAGGCTGTTCTGGCTCGATCATCGGAACCGGGAGGATTCCGGTGGCAAGGACGGCTCCATGCAGACGTCCAAGACCAACGAGTGGGAGGCAAAGATGGTGGTCTCCTTGGTGAAGCATCTGGCGAGGCAGTGTTCTTACCATCGGAAGGAGGATATTGCGGTGCTCACGCCGTATCTCGGCCAACTACGAATTCTGAGGAAGAAATTTTCGGAAACTTTTGATCTAGTGATCGGGGAGAAGGACATGCAAGAGATCGAGACCCAAGAGAGGGATGAGATGCGGACGGGAAAAATGGAGAACCCATGGCAGGGGAATGAGATCCGCAAGGGAAAGCTTGCCGAAGCCATCCGCATAGCTACCGTCGATAACTTTCAGGGTGAGCGCCAGTATCATTCCCCGCCAGTATCATTCCCCGCCAGTATCATTCCCCGCCGGTATCATTCCCCGCCATAGATATTTCGGCAGAGGCTAACGGTCCGATCGCGAGGGCAGGCGAGGAAGCCAAGATCATCGTCATTTCTTTAGTCCGCAGTAACGAAAAGCACGAATGCGGGTTCCTCAAAACCAGCAACCGGATCAACGTGCTTCTCAGCCGTGCACAACATGGCATGTACATCATCGGGGATTCGGAAACGGCACGCCCAGTGGAAATGTGGGGCAAGGTGATCAACATGCTTCAGGAAAAGGAGAACATCGGCCCTGCTCTTGCGCTGCAGTGTCCTCGACATCCCAAGACGGACATCCATGTCGAGAAGCCTGAGGACTTTACTCGCTTGGCACCGGAGGGAGGCTGCTCGGAGAGATGTGGGAAGCGCCTCAAGTGCGGTATATCTTCACAGACCCCCATCTTCGCCGTTTGTGCTGACAGCTTTTCTTTCTCTCAGGTCATTCTTGCAATGTGAAGTGTCACGCTCAAGCCCTTCACGAGGCGTATGCTCCTCCCTTTTAGTGGTATCGGTCGGCATGAAGCTGACTACATGAATACAGAGTCGAATGCTACGAAGATTGCATCCGGCAATATACCCATTGCTCACACTCATGTCCTAAGCGTTGCTACCAACGCTGTGGAAATTGTATGGCCTCCGTGACCAACAATAAATCACTTCCCTGCGGCCACACTCCTACGAGTCTGTTTTGCTACGTATGTGACTAACATGCTTGTCCCTCTCCTTCCGACTCCTGCTGACTATAGGCCTCCCGAAGCAAATAATCGACCTGGTGAGCGTTCCATGCATGCAGACCGTCAACCGTACGCTCAAATGTGGGCATACGGTGACGGTTGCGTGTCACCGGGACCCAGCGGCACTCGCCTGCCCGAGCAAGTGTGGATCGCTACTGCCATGCGGACACCGATGCGGGCGCAATTGTTTTACCTGCAGAAAGATGAACCTAGAAAATAAAGAGGAAGTAATTGAGGATCACCAAACCTGCATCGTTCAGTGCGGACGATCCTACACGACTTGCCACCATGACTGCTCTAGAAAGTGCCATCCTGGAACACCATGTGGGCCATGCGGACGTCCCTGCGAAGTCGCATGCACCCACGCTCGCTGCTCAAATAAATGCAGCGAGCCTTGCCCTCCATGTGCTGAGTCATGCACTTGGAGTTGCAAGCACAGAGTAAGAACAATCAATCCGCACTGCACCCGATGCACTCCGCTGACAAAGAGACAGGGCAAATGCCACATGCCGTGCGCTGTACCATGCGACATAATTCCATGTTCGGTCCGGTGCGACAAGCCCTTGGAGTGTGGGCATCAATGCCCCAGCATCTGCGGTGAAGACTGTCCGAGTCCACAATACTGCCGGCAATGCGCCGGTATCGATATCCTCGACAGAGTTCTTGATCTCATCGAACTCACCACATACCGCGAAGCGGATCTCGATAGTGACCCGGTCATCTTCCTCAACTGTGGACATTTCTACAGCGTCGGAACTTTGGACGGCCACATGGACCTAAGAAGTGCCTACGAAATCGACGAGCAAGGCGAGATCTTGGAACCGAAGAACTTCTCCAGAACCGAGATCGAGGCTTGTCCCGAATGTCGAGCGCCGTTGCGCAACATACATCGCTACAATAGGGTCGTGAAGGGGGCATTGCTAGACGAGGCTACGAAGCGGTTCATGGCTCACGCTGGCACACTCCAGGCCAGATTGATTGCGGACGTTGCGCAGTGGGAGGCTAAACTCGAGCAGATGGCCAACCAGTTTCGCAAGCAGGGGAAAGCATTGAACACCGCGTATACTAGCAAGGAGAAGGGAATCATGGATTACAAAGATTGTGCAGCGCAGGCCACCAATTGTGTCGCTGCGTTCCTCGCCATCGTGGCCAAGACGGAACAACCGTACGGCCGTGTTCAGAGGTAGGTTATCATATGTACTCGGCGGCAAATCCCTTCCAAGAAATGTACCTGACCAGCCCGAATAGTATGGTTCTTAACGCCCGGCGGCGCCAAAACGCGGTCAGTAAATTCGAGTTAGACAATTCGGTTATCCAGTACGGCTTCGAACTACGCGGCAAGGCGCAATCACTGCGGGTCCTTTGGGCCAATCTCTGGAACTTTCAGCGAATGATCAAACGCTTCGATCCCGAATTAGCCAAGGGCCACCGTAAGCATTGGAGGAATGAAAAGCTAGAGAAAGCTAAGAATTTATCAATCGCGCTTATACTTGACGCCGAGAAAGCCAGCATGGTCAGGGAGGAGATTGAGGCATACATCTACCACGCCAAATTCGTCGCGTTGGAGCTGTACGATGCTCCGGAAGCGACGGAATTGCCGCTGGAGCAGAGGAGTACGATTCGCGACGTTGAACTGCACCATCTGGATCAGTGCCTGCTCCGGATCGACCAGCACGCATCCGCCGAGCATCTCCGCGCGGATGTGGTGGCGGCACAGCATCTGCTGAACGGTTGGACGTTTTACTCCTTTGTCATCTCGGAGGAGAAGAAGACCATCTATGCCGCCATGGCGCGGGAGTTTGGAGGTACCGGACATTGGTATTATTGCCAGTTGGGACATCCGGTAAGATGCGTTCGCTTTCACCCAGCCCACTCGCCTTGCTTACCATATCTGTTTAGTTCTCGGTCGGTGAGTGCGGTATGCGAATGGAATTGGTGAGATGCCCCGAGTGTGGCTCGCCGGTGGGTGGACAGAATCATCAGGCTACCACGGGTGTCACCCACGCACGAAATTTGGACACGGAGTTTGGGCAGATGACGATCTAGGCTGGGATTGGAGGTTTCTTTTTATTTTTTTATTTTTTTATTTGGGGGTTTATGTTTTGGATAGGTATCATCTTCCCGGGAGATCCTATGAACGGGATTGATAGAAGTTCGGGATTGATTCCACTGTGTGAAATAATTTCTTTGTGAGCGAAGTGATTAGAGCTGTCAAAAATCAGGAAAAGGACCTGGTGAGTGCTTAATCACATACCATCACTCACCCATTTACTTCGAAATTCGAATGTCTACAGGGCCCTCAAGTTCTAGATCTGGAGATCTCCTCTTCCCACCCTAGTCGCCATCGGACGCCACCGCTGAGACTCGCAGCAGGCATCCATCGGAACATCCGTCCATGGTGTTCAGTGTAACTTCTCTGTGAAGCGACAAATGTTTGTGAATTCGGATTTTTTGAATTCCAGCACGGAACCACAGTCCAAGTGAGCGTGCTGAAATTGTTCGATTTTACCATGTAGTAGATCGATCAACCAACGAAGCTGAGCTCGCCGTCCTGTTCCGTTTTCGTCGTCGTTGTTATTGGTTCCAGGTTGGTCGTTTGTTCGTTTGATCGTGTGCGTTTTTTCTTCCCGTCAAAACCGAGGGTCCGCGACCGCGTCCGGCTCGCCCTCGGCCCAAGCGCAGGCTTGGCCGCACTTTCCATTGAAATTCCCCCAGGAAATTCCGCCCTCTCGTCGTCCACTTCGTTCCTCTCTCGTGCGCTTCCGTTTAAGTTGTGCCAGGTGTCCATTTCTTTCCCGCCCGCCTCCGCCCTCCGTCCCGCAGGCTTTATTCAGGTTCAGGCTCAGGTTTCAATTCAGCCCCCCACCTCGTCTCGGCTCAATTCCTCATCACCCCGCTCTTCGGCCTCGTCATCCGTCGCTGTGTTGTCCATTTCTCATCCTGTGGAGTAGACATGATAGGTACCCAAGTAGCTGCCCGTCACGTTCGTTTCGTCGATCCGGATCATTGAATGGCCATGCAACGTTGTCCAGTCCAGAAGGTGCTCGATTATAACTATTCGAATTTTGAGCACCGCTATTCTAATTCGAGCACTATTCTTACTCGCTAAGCTTTTTGTTTTGTTAAGTAAAAAAAAAAAAGCTTCCTAGTCAGCTTCCTGCTTTGTCTCACTACTCTACTTCCCCGCCCCACAATCCCAGACCAAGCACGACCTAGAGTATTCTTCCTTCACCTCTACTCCTCCGCCACCTCTCCTCCTAGACCAGACGATAGACGAGAACCGACGTTTCGCCTCATTCCCGCGAATCCGACGACCTCTGTTCTCAGACCGCCCTCCTCCCCCGTCCTCTACCGACCGACCTCTCGAAAGCTTCTTAATCAACTCCGTTAGCCGTTTCTCCCATTCACTTGCGAGGAACTTATCACACGGTAGAGAAGAAAAAAAAGCGGTCAGCAAGGCACCACTCAACTCCCCGAGCCAGCCCGAAGCACACGCACGAAGAAGACGACCGTACGGCCACGATAAGAACCTCGTCACTTGTGTCCCGAGCCCCTCCATAACTCCGTTGCCAACTAGACACGTTCGCCAAGGATCAACTACTACTCTCCCGAGGTTTCCATCGAAAGGAAAAAGAAAAGAAAAAAATGTCTTCTCCCGTGCCCACGCAGTTTGCTTGTATGTTTATGTCCTCTTGCGTTGTCTGATTTTCCTTTCCCTTGATGAACCTGTTCCGGTTTGGCCGCTGCTGTTGGTCCGCCGGGATGCGCGATGCGGCCGTTGGTGAGATGGGAAACGATGGGCGCTTTCGGTTCTTGGAGGAGCGGTTGTTTGAAAACCTGGTGTGACTTGTTGTCTTCCGCCGATCCACACTTGTCCCAAGCGCTGTGTCGGTACATTGACCCGTAATGTCCGAATGCTGACGCAAGCTGTGTATGCGATAGATCGGAGTCTCAAAACCATTGGCATTATTGATGCGTACCCCAAATATGCGGATCTGCCTGGTTTCGCTAAGTACGTTTTCGTCGTCGCGATGGGAATTAATAGGTTGTTGGGGGACTGACGGTTACGTGTTTGTCGGTTTACAGGACGGAGGGGAATATGAGGTGTTGCACCTACAGCCCGTGTGGAAAGTGGTTTGCTTGGGCTACCCCCGAAAAGTAGCACCCTCCTCCCCAGCTCCGATCTGGTTTGTCGCTGACCTCGAGGCAAGTGTCAAGGTTGCGTCGGCGGATACCGGTGAAATCCGTGCTACCCTGCCAACGGAGGCTGTTCACGAGATAGGCTTCTCGCCTCAGGGCAGCTACATTATCACATGGCAGAGACCTAGTACGTTCCCGTCGTTGCGTGATTGGTGGTGATGCTCGTTGTTGCGGTCCGCTGATACCTCTGCTCTCTAGCTAAGCAGGAGGATGGAGCTGCATCGAAGAATCTTAAAGTCTGGAGAACCGAGACCGCCGAGCCAGTCACAGCGTTCGTGCAGAAGCTTCAGACTGGGTGGAACCTTCAGTATACCTATGACGAAAAGTACTGCGCTCGAGGCGTCACCAACGAGGTCCAGTTCTACGAGTCGGACAAGATGGACAAGGTCTGGGGTCATCTGCGTGTCGAGGGCGTGTCGGATTTCGCCCTGGGCCCAGGAAAGAACTATTCGGTAGCTGCATTCGTACCGGAGCGCAAGGGACAGCCAGCCATGGTCAAGGTCTTCCAGGTTCCCAACTGGACCACTGTGCTCTCTCAAAAGAGCTTCTTCAAGGCGGACAGAGTCCAGCTCAAGTGGAACGATCTTGGAACCACTGTGCTGGTCTTTGCTCAAACCGATGCCGACAAGACTGGGAAGAGTTACTACGGCGAGACGAACCTTTACCTCATGACGGTTGCCGGTGGTTCCGACTGTCGTGTTCAATTAGGTATGTTGCCGTCAGGACAATGCGCGCGTGAACTGTCCGATTCTAATTCTTATGGTAGACAAGGAAGGACCGATCCACGACGTGATTTGGTCACCTGACTCGAAGGAATTCGGAGTGGTGTACGGCTTCATGCCCGCCAAGACGACCATTTTCGACTGTCGGGCGAATGTTGTCCACTCACTGCCCGCTGGCCCCCGCAACACGATCCTTTTCTCTCCGCATGCTCGATTCGTGATTGTGGCGGGTTTCGGTAATTTGCAAGGACAGATTGACATCTACGATCGCCAGGCGGGAATGAGGAAGATCACCACCATCGAGTCCTCGAACCCTTCAATCTGCGAGTGGTCGCCCGACGGTCGTCACATCCTCACCGCCACGACTTCTCCTCGCCTCCGCGTCGACAACGGTGTGATGATCTGGCACTACACTGGAGAGCTGATGTACAAGGTCGATATGGAGGAGCTCTACCACGTCCTCTGGCGCCCCCAGCCCGGCGTGCACACTCTTCCCAGCCCGCTCCCTTCGGCACCGGCCCCCCACGCCTCGGCGTTGAGCCACGTTGGCACGGCGACCCCCAAGAAGTCGACCGGTGCCTACCGACCCCCTCACGCTCGTGGATCGGAGACGCCCCTCCATTTCAAGCGTGAGGACGAGGGTGGCGCGGCCCACAACTATGTCAATGGCGGCGGTCCCGGCGGTCTCAATGGCTTCGGCAACAAGGGACGGCGTCGTGAAGTCCCCGGCGCAACTCCCGCCGAGCGTCTTGTCCCCGGTGCGGCTCCCGGCGGCGGCGTCTCCCTGGCAGGAACGGGTGCTGGTGCAGACGAGGACCAAGGCATGTCCAAGGCTGCTCTCAAGAACAAGAAGAAGCGGGAGGCGGCCAAGAAGGCCAAGGCCGAGGCTGAAGCCGCCGGCGTCGTCGAAACCAGGGAGGGCGGCAGAGACGGACTCCGTGTTCCGGGCGGCAACATGCGAAACCGCAGCCGCAACGGCCAGCCCAACGGACGCGGGCGCAGCAAGAGTCGTGGCCCCGACGGCCCGCCGAAAGATGCGCTGGCTGGACCCAAAAAGGTCCAGACTCCTCCTCCACCGCCGCAACCGGCGACGCCATCCATACCGCAGATCAGCGCCGAGGACGCCGCGCAAGACGAGAAGAAGGTTCGCGGCCTGCACAAGAAGCTGAGAGCTATCGAGGAACTCAAGATGCGATTGGCTAAGGGTGAGAAGCTCGAGGACACACAGTTGAAGAAGATCAAAACCGAGGACGGCGTTCGGAAGGAGCTGGAGGGGCTCGGAGCTGATCCTTAATTGGACGCGGCTCTTGACTTCTTTGTGGTTGGGGGTGTTGGGGTGTTGGGGGAGGGGAGGGCATTTTGGTGAGGGGGGAGGGGGGGACGGGGGGAGGGACATCATAACTGTACGATGATTTGATTGATTGAAGGACACACGGACAAGACGGAATGGATGTCAAAACGTAGATGTAGCAATCACAGCTGAACTCCTGCAAGTCTGTTGGTTGTAATGGATAGATATCATTCGTTCTTTGGGGGCGCTTTGGGGCGCTTGGCAGGTTTGGTGTGATGCCAAATGTGGCGGGTGTTTCTAGGTGTTTGGTGTTGGTGTTGGTGTATGTGACGGGTGTGGTGATGGGAAGATGTATGGGGGTTAGCTATATGAATATCTATATCATATCATATTCCCAACTTCTGTGTTTTGTCGTCATGATGTGCTACCAAACGCCGAGTGTTGTTTTTGTGCATGCGACCTAGGTAGCTAGATCATGGCAGTATACCCACACCATGTTCACTCGACCGCTGGACCACTGTTATTCGACGTCGGAATTCTTTAGGCCCTCGAGTAGAGTGGGAGTCGCGAGTGACATCTTGATGCTGTTGGTATCATGGGTGTATATAATTCTGGAGGCGCTTTCCGCTATGCTGGAGCCACCACCGTCAAATCCGTTGTAAGGTGCGGTCACTCAAGGTTTTATGACATCCCGTCTACCGCCGTACTCGAAAGTCTACTCCGACCGTTTCGGACCAACCACCAGTTCATCATTACCGTGCCCCATGAAGCCCGCTCGTAAATGCCCATTTAATTTTCCATGTAATTGTCCGTACAGTAAGATGTAGTATGCTATGTCATGTAATCTAGAAAGCACGTAGGTAAGTAATGGCAACGATCTGATCAAAGGTATACTCCTCTCCATCCGTATCCACCCTATTCCCTTCCCTCCATCCCCTTCCAACCCAACCAACCAACTAGAACACAACAGAACAGAAAAGAAAAAAACAGAAAGAAAAGAGAAGAAAACAAGAACGCCCAAGCCCCATACGCCTTTCGTATCTTTCGTACCACACCATGCTCTTTCCCGTATCTATCGCTTCCTGAGGTCGACCACATCGAATCCCATGTTTTCCATGATGGTGACGTGGCCCGGCTTCTGCGCGTCTGTGTAGATGTTGTCGACCGCGTGCGGGTGGAACAGGCCTTTGTCACGACAAGCGACGATGGTCTGGACGCCCGGGGGGTCGGTGAGACGGAAGACGCCCCATCTGCGGGATGGGTTAGTAAGGTGGTGGATGGGAACAGGGAGGGGAAGGGGGGATGAAGGCTTACGAGGGGGTCTTGGAGGGGGCGCAGACGATAGCGATGCTCTCGGCCATCATGAGCTGGTATCCGGAGTGAGTGTGCAAGTCCACGGAGCTCATGAAGCACGTCTGTGTTGGGTGCGTGTGGATCCAGCCAAAGACCATCAGGTCCTCGTTGTGGCAGTATTCGAACAAAGCCTCCTCGTCTCTGGTGGTGCATGTGTCCGAGGTCGCTGTCTGCTCGGGAATGACGAGGCGGGACACGAACAGCGCGTTTTGGACCAGCTTCCCGCAGAGGACGCCGCATGTCTCGAGGTTGGCGTCCGTGTTGTCTTGGGCGATCGCGAGGAATGTATCGCGCAGCGGGCTCGGGAGGAAGAGGGTACGCAGGCGTGTGCCGTTTTCGAGCGTGGCGGGCATCGAGAATTGGTGCGGCTGCGTGGCAGGCGCAGCGGGTTTCTCGACCACCTTGGGTGGGAGTGCGGGTGCATTGCTGGTAGGGATCTTTGGTGGAAGCGGAGGCGACGTGAAGGCTGGTGGAGTCGGTAAGAGCGGTAGTGGAGGCGCTGGAACATAGACCGTTTGTGAGTGCAGGCTCCGTGGAATGGTAGGATAGAAGCCCGCCCAGTTGCCCTCAATCGGCCGGTTGCGAGTCTCAACCTCATGCTGTGGGAACCCTTGGAAGTCATACTCGCTTGTGGAGTTGCGCTTATTGTAGGAGTCGCGCTTGGAGCCGTTGTGCTGGGAAAGGTCGATTCCCATGCTAAGCGCCTTGATGCTCTCCATCATGTCCTCGTCACCCTCCCTGGCTTCACGTTCCCTCCTCTCCTCAACCGTCTCGTAGTAGCTACGGCGCGAGACCGCCGGATCCTCAGCCGGGACGCGACGAATAACCGTACCCGTATGATCGACGACCACGCCCTTCCCACTCGTGTTGGCCACCGTCTGCCGTCGCTGTAGCTGCGCGCGCTCCCAATTGCCAAACTCCAGCTTCGCGATCTCGAGCGCATAGTTCCGGTCGGTCTCCTGAGTTGTGGTCTCGGCCGCAAGGTTCCGGTCGTTCCGCTCATTATCCGAGGGATGGGATGTTCTCGAGAGCCAGCCGTCTACCGATATACCACGCTGCGCCGCTGCAGGCGCGTGCGGTATCGCCACCCTCTGGCGGGCGGCCACGAGTGCCAGGTACCGGGTTTCCAACCGGGGCTTGATCTGTTCGAGTGTCCGGAAGGCTTCGGGGAGACGGGATTGCAGACGTCGCAGAGCACGCGCATTGTCGGGAAAGTTGCGCTCGGGGTGCTGAATAAGGTACTGGAGCATCAGTCTGTCGAGGTTAGCAGCGACACTTGACGACAAGCGAGGTCGGAAGGGAAACTGACTCTGTCCAGCGCAGCAGAAGGATGTATGCCTGCTGCTCATCGCCTTCCTTGAGGTAGATCTGGGACTGTACGGCACTAATTAGTTCCGCGCGAGAAGCTGGTTGCGGGGCAGCTCTGGAGAGTCAGCTACCAGCTGCCTACCTGCTTGTGCAGTGATTCAGCGGTACGCAGCCAGAATCGCAGCGGGATGAGCGGATTGTAGTCGAACTTGGTCGCCTGCTCTGTGATGTCCCTAAGACTCCGCGGCTCTGCGGACTCGCGCTTCTGCGGCCTAGTTGTAGAAGTGTAGTCAAACTCCATCGTGTCTTTTCGTTGTGGTGGTGGAGCTCCGTATTTCCCTTCTTCGTCTTCTTCTTGTTGTGATTGGCGGGGTAAGGGTGATGGCGGGAGATGCGGCGAGTAGTTTATTCTCGAGCTCGTGTGCAGGGAAAGTAGAACAGGGTGGATGCTCTTGTATTATGTATTTTGAGAGGGAGAAGATTAAATGAACAGAGGACGAGTGATCAAGTGGAGGGGGATGTTCGAAACAGCATCATTCTAGGTATCTTGGTCGGTGATGTCGACTGGTGGGAACATAGGTAGGTGACCGAGTCAAAGTGACTTTGAGCCTGTGACGCGCGGAATGTGTCACGTGGACAGCTGTCCATGGAAGAACACGGGCCAAAACAGTGACTAATACCGCCTGAACGGAACAATCAAGAGTAAAACTGTTCAGGAAAATCGACATTTATTATGCTGCGAGACGGTTTGCGCGAGTCTTTCTTACGACAGCGGACTTTCGTGGAATCTTGGTGCCGGTCTAGGGGCCGGGCCATTTGTGTATGCCGGCCCGCGCCGGCTTGTCGGGTGCGCCACTAGCAGCGCGCCAAGCCACATCCGAGAGAAAATCATGATGCCGAAGTGCTAACGGCCGACCTACAAAAAAAATTCCGTACGTAGATTCCTCAACTCCACTACTTTACGCACCCCTCCATGCCACCTCGACCCCCACCGTAATCTACCGCCCACTATGGCCGCCGTCAATAAACTGGTCAAAGAAGCCATCAAACTCAGCCGTCAGCTATCACCACGCACCGTCGGCTCCCGTAATGCACACTTCGATATCGTGAATCAGGATTTCGCGCGTGATTGCCCCCCACCCCCTCCCTTGCAGTCGAGACCCCTTCGGACACATGGACTGGCCGCTGATTCCCACAGAAAGCACGCTGGATGCTCTGAAGCTCGAAGACACCCACAAGAATGCCCACGTCATTGACATGAACCCAGGCCTCGGCCTGTGGTCCCAGGCCATCTATGACCGCCTCCAACCGAAATCGTACACCCTCCTCGAGCCCAACGATAGCTACCGCGAGCACCTCAAAACGCTGAAGCCCGAGTATCCGAGGATGTCGGTGGTCGGGTTGGACGGCTACGAGTGGGACACCTACACAAAACTTTTCGAAGCGACCCAGTTCCCGGAACCAGCGTTCGAGCCCGGCTTCCAACCCCCACAGTACAAAACTGTGCCGCCCGAAGAAGGACTTAATACCGATCTCCTGTTCGTCGGAAACCTCACCCGGATCTCCTCCTCCCAGCGGCTGATATCGCAGCTGATCGAGACCTGCCTCCTCGGCGGCTGGGTTCAGCGCTTTGGCCGCGTCCGCTTCGTTCTCTGGATGACGAGCATAGACAAAGAGCGGCTGCTCCCCCACGCGCTACAGGGTCGTGCACGCGCTTCGGTCGTCACTGACGCTGCAGCCGAAGTCACTGAAGTTGTTGGGGGTGCCCACCGCACTGGCAGGGGCTTCTCGACGCCGCAATGGGAAGGGGACGTGCCGAAAAAGCGCACACACAAACGTGTACTCAAGTCCAATACGCTCAAACTGAAGGCTGAAGTCGACAAGGTGGAGTTGAGCTACACAAAATGGCAGGAGCAGTGCAAGCTCAACCCATTAGCCCGAACGCTCTGTCGAGGCCCCGCGATTGTGGAGAGATACAGACGCGCCATCCGCGTTTTCCTGGCACACGTCAAGCAGGAGATCTACATCGATGGGCCGGAGGGGACGTATGCGCAGTATGATTTGCCGAAGCTACTCGAGATGTATAACGAGGTGGATATCGAGGCGATGAAAGACAAGCGGGCGGAGGGCTTGACGGAGGAGGAACACGAGAGCTATACCGAGTTCGAGGAGCAGTATTTGCTTTCGATGACACTCGACCGCGCAAAGGAGAACTCCCTGATCGACGAGAAGTACGCTCACTCGCTCCAACCCCCTCTCCTACAGGCATGGCACCCGCGGAATATATCACCCATCGTCCCGTCCGAGAAGGATGTATACCCGCCCAAGAAACTCAATTTGCTCGACTTCCAGCCGAAACTCGCCCACGAGTACTTCCGGCACCCGGATCCTACCGTTAGAGACCAGCGAGTGCGGATATTTACGTGGATCGTACGGACGTGCTTTGGGCTCAGGGCACAGAGTCTCAAGACTGTACTCAAGAACCTGGCACCCGGTGGGGAGTATATCCTCGAAGAACTGCCAGGAGAGATGTCGAAGACTTTGGGGAAGAAGAGGGTGCGATGCCTGACGGTCGACGAGCTCGTCGAGATCACGGCGGCGTGTGAGAGGTGGCCTTTCAAGCCGGTGGATCTGGGATTCGGCGGTTACAACCGGTCCATCACTGCAGAGAAGCACATGAAGTTTAAGCTGGAGTGAGTGGTTGGGTGGATTGTATATTGGATGTGGGTGTATTTGATGGCTGTTTGTATGAGTGATGGATACCTAGAACTCCTCAATGTATGTATGAGTATTGTGTTGCCTGTATTTATGGTATGGCATTCGCTGCGCTTGACCGACCGCATCGAGTATCGTAGTCAATGCCACATACCAGTGCCTAAAACAAAACATCTTCAACGCAAATAGAAATGCAATTATCCGAGTCCATATCTCACGCATCACGCTAAAGCACCGCTTAGTCTCGAGTCTCATTTCCCATCTCGGCCTTCTCATCGTCCTCATTATCCTTATCCTTATCCTCATCGTCATCGCCATCACTCTCCTGACTCCCCTGAATATGTCTCGCCTGTAACCTTACAAGCGCAGCATTATATCTCTCAACCACATGTTCTAGCGCATCTTGATACTCCAACGCTTCTGCCGCAAACTCTCCAATCCGAAGTGCCAACCTCTTGATATCCACCGGATCAGTCTCCTTATCCAACCTCTCCCTAAGCACCCTCAGCACGCCGTCCTTGACACTTCCCGCCTTCTCCTCGCCATCCTCCTCCTCGCCATCCTCCTCCTCGCCATCCTCCTCCTCGCCATCCTCCTCCTCGCCATCCTCCTCCTCGCCATCCTCCTCCTCGCCATCCTCCTCCTCGCCATCCTCCTCCTCGCCATCCTCCTCCTCGCCATCCTCCTCCTCCTCCTCCCCCTCCTCCCTTCCACCCACCTCCCCCCTAAATTTCCCCCCCACCCCCCACCTCTTGATAAAACCTCGTACCCACCTCTCCATCCCCGCCCTCCCGCTCCCACCCCCCCGCTCCCCCCTCCTCTCCAACACCCTGCCGGCAATATCCTCCAGCATATTCCTCTCCAGCTTTACACCCATCTCCTCCAACTGCCCAATATGCGCCAGGACCTGCCGCTCCTCCGCAATGTTGAGCACGCGACCGCGTCGCGGCGGCGCCAGTCGCCGCGATAGCGTTGTTCGCGGCACCCCGTGCTGTGCGGCTGCGCGGCGGAGGGATAATGATGGGTTCGAGACTAGTGCCTCTGTTGCCCGCGACAGGCGGGAGGTGAGCGTGGCGGGGGAGGCGGCGCCGCGCGGGCGTGGGGTTTGTGGGGTTTGGGGCGTGCGCGGGAGGCGGAGGGGTAAGACGGGTGGTAGGGGTGGTAGGGGTGCGCGCGGGGTGGAGGCGTAGCGGGTTGTGGGCGGCATTGCTATGTCGTCGGTGGTGTGGTGGTGAGGCAGGTGGGGAGTGCACTGGTGCAAGACACGCGTAGAGTAATGGAGCTCCAGGGTCTAGTGTAGCTGAGCTATCCGCGTTACTAGTAGAGGCATGGCCTGTGCATTGAGCTCTGCACTCAATGAGACGCCGCCCCCAACCACCACGGTTAATCACGAAATGATTGTAGACGACATACAATGGTTCATTGAGGAGCGAAATCGACTTCACGGACAGGTACTCGATATTTCCATTGACATCACCACCAGCCATTCTCCAACCTTCATTCACTATTTCTGGGAGGATCACGATCACGGCAAAGCTCTTGACATTTGGATAAAAGAATATCATTATATCATTATATCTACTTCCTCCACCTCCACCTCCACCTCCGCCAACCCCACCACAACGTGCCAGCCAGCCAGCCAGCCAGAGCAGAATCAAAATCAAAGGAAAGGAACGGGGTACTTACATATCGTAACACCTCCCCTGAACTCCCGCAGGTTCCTCCCTGCGCCGTTTTTGTTTCCTATTTTTTCCCCTCAGCCTTTTTTTTGTCCCCCATCTTTTTTTTTCTTTTTTTTTCAAGGCTCTATCACCCGAGCTGGGAAGACACACCGCTACTTCAAGTAACGATTGTCTCATGGGAATGCGCAGTGAGCCGATAACACTGCGCGCACACGCTCACTACCTATTATGGGTAGTGAGCTCGGCCCCGCATACTCTAACTAATACTGCGGAGGGGAGGTAACCTATGGCGAATTAGTATCCGCTGGTAACCTCTGTCTAGAGAGAGGGGGGGGGGGGGGGGGACTTACATCACTCCCTCTCGCCACCATTGGGACTCTTGATCCTCATACTCATCCTCCTCACCTCATTCGTTTTTATAACGAAGCGTTGGTTTTTTTTCCAGGACGCTGTAACCTAACTGGTTCAACAACGTCCCAGATCGTCTCCCGGGATTGCAAGGCGAATTTTATCACCGAAGCAGGCTCGACTAGAATATAAGAGCTTCCAGGATTGCCAGGCGAATTTTATCACCGAAGCAGGCTCGACCAGAATCTAGGAGCTCCCGGGAGCTTCCACCGTGGGTGGTTGGTGGTGGGGGTGGGGGGGGGGGGGGAGTATACTGATTCGAAGTTAGTATTCGCTGGTTGACGTCCTCATCATATATCTCCAGAGCGGGGGGAAACTTACTTCACTCCAACCCCCCACCACCTGTTCTGTTCTCCTTCTCATCCTCCCCTCTCCTCCTCTTCCCTGTCTTTTTTTTCTAGGCTCTATCACCCGAGCTAGGTTGTCGATCTGCCGATGCCGCAAATCCGTCTATCTACGTGAACTAAAGGTGGAATTGGGGAATGGGGGTATACGCGTCGAAGGAGGCTGCGCGGTTGAGGACGTGTTAGCTATAGCTATGGCGGTGAGAAAGACGGAGGGAGGGGGGAGGGAGGGAAATACCAAAATAGGCTGGAGAACAAATGTCGATCCGGGTATCACAGAACTATAGTGAAGGACTGGTGGGAGTTAGCATTGTGAACGCGTGATTGCGAGTGAATCACCGGCCGGCTGGCTGGTTGGCTGGTTGGTTGGTGTGGTATGTAGGAGGAAGGAAGGAAAGGAAAGGAAGGACAGGGGGATGGGGGGGGTTTTTTAGGGGAAAATAGGCCGGCCAGCCGCTGTGACTGGTGGGAAAGCTTGTTTCCAAATCGGGGGGTCGGTGCTGAACGATAAGGATGGGGGAGTGGCCCAGGTGGGCTGGACGGATAAGCCTGGCTTTAGTGCTAGCTAGAGCTCTGAGACGTTTGTAGCTGTCGAGCTTAATGGCTGCTAACGAGTCGCGGGATGTCATGGCTAGAACGCGCTGGACGCAGCTGCGAGTACCTTTGGGTTCGACCAAGTCCCCCCAGCACACCCAGTGCTCCCGATAGTTCAGCTAGTCCATGCAATTGAGGGGTGGTTTGTAGTCAATCTATCCAACACTTTACCGCCACGGACTGGACTCAAGCATGCGAGCATACCCGCAACGCAATGAGCGCAAAGCTTGCCCAAGTTCTTAGTGGGTCCAAACTTACTCCCTCCCATCGCCGCTGCACCACGCGTGACGACTCCACACTGGAGGCAATGAAATGTCACCCAAGCTGGCAATGGGATAGTCATGTAGCTGCTACCAACCAACGGCAATATCCAGGAGATGTAGACTATGCTAGTTGCATTGTGCTCGTGGGTACTGAGCTGCACACCTCGAGCTCTCCAGCTCGAGGTACGTAAGCTCCCCAAGCTTCAAAGAAGGCACAGACACACACAGGACCGTGGCCCCCGGATGTCACCGAAGACCACGCGCGGATGTTTAGACTTTAGCCTTTGGGGTGGTGAGTCGAGCTTAGCTTATATTGACATTAAGGTAAAGTTACTACCTTTTGAGTTCGGAAGGGTGGTGATGGTAGATAGCTCATTTACGTGGTCACGGTGCGAATGGAGAGTAATGGAGGGGAGTTCTAGATGCAGATGACAATGGAGAAACGAGAAGAAGGAACGGAGAAGGAGCAAGAACGCTCGTGGCCTGTAGCCTGCTGGGTTGAGGTCAAACCCCCTTCACAAAGTGAGCAGCTTAGGTCATGGTCGAACGAGTCTTGAAGACTTCTACAGCACCAAAAGCGATTCCTCCTTGGGCTTGTAACGTAATGAACACGGGGTGCGCCGCATTCAAGCTTTTTGACAAGTCGATCACCGTGGCAGGCAAGCATATTTCCGAGTGATATATTATGAATCGCGCACAACCTGAACACTCCTTTAGAGTACCTCAGTTTAATCTGTGCAATTACAATCACCTCAAATTTACAACCGATCTCCTCCAGCGGTACTCTTTCGATACGGAGAACAAGATGCATGATGCGAGATCACCAGCGATCACACCAGACGCAGTGACTCAACCCACTCCGTCTTGGCGCAGTTTTTTCCGAGCCCCACTCCACCACTACCCCGCGATGCCCATCCCGACGTCTAGCTCTCCAACACCAATTGCACGTCATACCCCCATCTCCACCCTCAATTCCTCAATTCCCCAATTCCCCAATCACAGCCGCCTAAACCAAAATGTCGACCACAAAGCTCTGGGGCGGCCGCTTCACCGGTCTGTAACTCCCAATTGCGTCTGTCCCGGCTGGCGTGGAAGCAAAGCAAGAAAGAAACTTACACGATACTTCGTTCGTTCACTAGGCGCAACGGACCCGCTCATGACCGTGTACAACGAGTCGATCCACTACGACCGGCACATGCACACAGCGGACGTGCAGGGTTCGCAAGCGTACGCGAAGGCCTTGCACCTGCGCGGGATCCTGACGGAGCACGAGCGCGACGAGCTGATCCGGGGGCTGGACTTGGTGGAGGCGGAGTGGGTCGCTGACAAGTTCGTGATCGTGCCGGGGGTGGACGAGGATATCCACACGGCCAACGAGCGCCGCCTCGGCGAGCTCATTGGCACCCACATCGCCGGGAAGCTCCACACCGGACGATCCAGGAATGATCAAGTCGCCACTGATATGCGCATCTGGCTTAGGGGGAAGCTGGAGGGGATTGAGGAGGCCCTGACGGATCTGCTGAAGGCCCATGTGGGTAGGGCTGAGCAGGATATTAATGTCCTCATGCCCGGGTACACGCATCTGCAGCGGGCCCAGCCCATCAGGTGGAGTCACTGGGTCATGGCGCATGCGTTTGCGTTTGCGAGTGATCTCGAGCGCCTGAGGCAGCTGTACAAGCGCGTAAACCAGTGTCCGCTGGGATCCGGAGCGCTGGCGGGAAACCCGTTCGAGGTTGACCGCGAGTTCCTGGCTAAGGAGTTGGGGTTCGAGGGGGTGGTCGGCAACTCGCTGCTCGGTGTTGCGGACCGTGATTTCGTCGTCGAGACGCTGCAGTGGGCGGCACTGGCCATGAACCACATCTCGAAGTGGGCTGAGGATCTGATCATCTACTCGACCGCGGAGTTCGGCTTCGTCTCGCTGGCGGACGCGTACTCGACCGGCTCTTCGCTCATGCCGCAGAAGAAGAACCCCGACTCGCTCGAGCTGCTGAGGGGCAAGAGCGGCCGCGTGTTCGGCCAGATGGCCGGGTTCATGTACACGCTTAAGGGCCTGCCGTCGACGTACAACAAGGACCTGCAGGAGGACAAGGAGCCGCTGTTCGACTGTGTGCGCACCGTCTCGGACTCCTTCCAGATCGCCACGGGAGTGCTGTCGACGCTCCGCATCAACGAGAAGAAGATGCGCGACTCCCTGACCATGGACATGCTCGCCACTGATCTTGCCGACTACCTCGTCCGCAAGGGCGTGCCGTTCCGCAAGACCCACCACATCTCGGGCGAGGCCGTGCGGCTGGCCGAGGAGCGCGGTGTCTCCGGCATCGACAAGCTTAGCCTCGAGGACTACAAGGGATTGTGCGACGTCTTTGAGGAGGACATGCACACGGAGGTGTTTGACTTTGAGAGGAGTGTCGAGAAGAGGGCGGCCATTGGAGGGCCGGCTCGGCACCGAGTGTTGGAACAGATCGAGAAGGTCAAGGCTGTGCTGAAGCAGTAGGCACGGCGGGATTTCGGGGCGTTTTTCTTTTCTTTTCTTCTTCTTTCACCTCTCTCTTGTTTTATGTATTCGGGTTTCCTTTGTAGGATCTGGTGGGGAGGGGTGGAATAGACTGGTGCTCGTACATACACACGGCTACATCTCCAGTCCTCTGTATGAGGTATGTAGTTGAAGGCAATGGCGCGGCACAGCCCTTTCCTACATAGGGGAACCAACCCAACCGTTGGAGTCAACATGACTGTGTTTGTGTTTGTGTGCAACGCCGCCTCCAGAAGACCAACCAGCCAATCACTAGCTAGCCCCAGGGACCGCCTTATCTCGTATCGTTCAGGCGGGTGGCTAGGAGGAGGGGAAGTTGGAAGCGTTGGTATCAGTTGGCAGATCAGAAACATTGGCATCGGTGAATCAGTAGAGCACGTACCAACCTACTACCTACTAACCCGACTGTTACTGGAGTAATTAGCAGATTCCCAGATATCCACGAATTCATGCGAACGGCGCATCCTATAGCCGATCTCCAGCGCTTGATCGGGATCACCGAGCGATATCGTGGTACTCTCCAGTAGTCCTACGGTCCGAGCGTAGCCTATTCATACAAGTATATAGACTGCAGAGTCTAGACCATCGAGATCCGAGACTGGATTGTTTTTATGGCTTCTCATCCGATCCGGATTCCGACAACCATCACCAAGAAAAAAAAAGTTGCGTGGTCAGCACTTGCACAACCTGGTCGCCAGGTTCTCGGTAGAGTACCGTAATTTTGTTTCCCTTCTGCTCTAGAGTAGAGTATGTACGGTATGTATCCTTCAACGACACCACGAATGCAAGTGGGGTGGATGAGCATGGATTGGGATTCATGCAGCAGCACTGCAGGAAGGAGAAGCGAGAGTCAGTCTGACATGACAGTCTGACTGACTCTCCACCCATCTCCCCGCCAACGCCAAACGCCACTTCCCAACAATCCCATCGCGGCTCCGACCGAACTTTGCGGTTTCACCTCTCGGCGCAACGGCGGCAACGTCGTCGTCGGTATGTTTCAGATCAGCGAAGCCGGGCAAAAAAGGTCAGCCAATAATGAGCGCTGGCGCGCGATCGGTGCTTTCGGGAATCGAGGGCGTGAAGGTGTGCGGCTCGGCCACTCGGGCTGCTCTTGGTTTGCCGAAGAAACACCTGGTGCGACGTCGGAGGGGCACGTGCCCACTTGCCCAGATGGACGACCCGGGCCGAAGGTACCGTTGAACCGTATCCCCATCATCCGCTGGTTGTGCTGATTAGGGTGTAAAGGTATGAATGTGATCAAACACCATACGACCTTCCGTTCCTCAAGGAAGAGATCCTCCGATCGGAGGAGAAGCGATCACCTACTGGAGTGCAATAACTGGAATGCTCTTGGAAGGAGAACCATCGGACGTCTTGAGCTGGACGAACCTTCTATTCGGATGCAGAGCATCAAGAAAGATAGTGTGTGGTTCTAGAAGCCTGCTTCTCTTGCTAGTAACATATATCTACCCGTTTGTTAGCATGATTGATCATTCACTGACGTTAGCAGAGGTCGTGGGGGTCAGCGGAAAACTCACGACGTCTACTGGAAGCAATGATCGCTCGCCTTTTCTTTCCTGCTAGTATTTACCTGGGCGTCGATGGATGTCGCGCTGGCCACCGACGTTCGGATAGCTTCCTCCGAATCCTCTGTTTGGAAGTACTTGCTACGTGTTCGACGAATCGATGGAATCGTTGGCTTCATATTACAGGGCATGTTTCCAGAGGCCTCTGTGGGGGCGTTGTCCACAAGACGGCATCTGATTATTCTAGAAGGCGGGATCCTCCTCCGGTTCTTCGAGGACATATAGATAACCAGACTTCCTCCTCACTTCGCCGATTGAGACCCATTTATATTGCGTTACACCTCTTCTATCCACTCTCTCCGGTGATATCAAGAATCTACCTATTGTATTGCAGCTATATTCGACGCGCACCGTCATCTCGCGTGCCAAAGCTAATTCGATTCTGCCTATTTTCCCACGACGGACCTGCATCGAACCGAACGGAGCCACCGGAGAAATACCTTGACATCTCCCACATAGGCAGTCCAGGCAGCGTTTGCTTTACCGACCGGACGGGTACGGTTGCGGCGTGTGGCGAGGGTGATTGCAGTTGAGTCGCGACGACGCGAGCGGACAAGGAGAAGGCACGGAAGCGAACCGTTGCGTTCGTTCGAGAAGCCAACCCGGTATTTACAGCCTGAAGAAGCGGTCCTTCGGTCCTTCCGCTTTGACCGGCAAGAGGCCTAGGACCGTCTATCTGTCTATCCGATCTCACTATCGGATCCATCTAATCTTGGTGGTACAATCAGCACTCCCACCCAGTCTGCCGACAGACAGGTGCTGGGATCCTGGGAAATTGGCCAGGGCGGAAAAGGGACCCCAGAACGCCAGACCGCCCAGATACAGACTCGCACGCAGTGAAAAAAAGGAAGGCCAGACGCTCAAGGAACATCCCATCCATCTATCCCACGTTCCCCCTCCCCCCTCCCCGTCCCTCTCCTCCTCACCTCCAACACTCCCACGAGCCCTCCGCAGCACGCAGCGTGAAATAAAGAAGCAAGCAAGCACTCAAAAATCCCCACGGCCATCGCCATCTGCATCTGCACCACTTCGCCTAAACATTGGCCTCCGAACCCCTCCACGCACCTTAAGCACTTCGTATTCGATCGGCGCGCGCGTGCCCGCCCGCCCCCTGGACCACTCCATCACCCCCCGTCACCCAGCCCCCGAACCCGGTCCCGACCAGCCCGGCCCAGACAAGACCAGAACAATTATACTTCAGATATGTCGGACAACGCGCCCGAAAGCATCTCGATCACCGTTTGCGGCGACGGCGGTACAGGTATGACGACGCCCGACTGCTAAGATAACCCCCCTTACTTGCGCACGTACTGACCGCCCGCGGCGCACCTACAGGAAAATCTTCCATCTCGCTACGTCTTGTGCGATCCAAGTGGACCCACGAATATGATCCTACCGTCCAAGACAGTTACTCGGTGACCCGTATCGTCGACGGGCGGACGTACCATCTTAACCTTACCGGTACCCACCCATCCACCCACCCGCCATCCACAGAGTTGCCGGGAGAGACAATGTGTACGAGTGGTCGCTAACGACTCGCAGACACTGCCGGACAGGAAGAGTACCGTGGACTATGGGCAGCGTCCAACCTCGAGGCGGACGCATACTTGCTTGTGTACGACATCACAACCTCCGAGTCGCTCGTGGCGCTCGACTATTTCAACGACCTGATCGAGATGGAGTCCGAGGAGCGTATGACGCGTCCGGGCGCCGTACCGCACATCAAAATCGTTGCCGGCAATAAGTGCGATCTCGCGAATTCGAGGGCCGTGACCAGTGCGCAAGGACTCATCTGGGCCCGGGATCACGATTGCGGGTTTATGGAGACTAGTGCTAGGAACGTCGTCAACATCGAGGAGACGTTCGAGCTGCTCGTCCGAAGAGTCGTTGCCGCACGAGAGGCGGTCAAGAACGGTGCGCCCTACAAACCCGGTACAGCCGCCCACCAGGGCGAGGAAAAGCAGAAGAAGGAGATCAGTAGTATGGACGACTACGACGACGACGACAGGGCGGAGAAGAAGTGGTGTTGCGCGATTATGTAGTCGGCCTGCTCTCGACTGTTGACCTGCTTGGACATATCTCTGCCGGTTTTGTTATCCTACGGGCGGGAGGATTTGCACATTCGAGTGCCCGGGCATGAGTGATGAAACCAGATGCTCTGCTCATTCCCATGACAGCGACAATTACGATGATGCATGCCTACTCATTTCTTGCTGCTACGCTGCTATCGCATTGTCCTCTTCTGCCATTATACTTTTCTTTCATCTTACACCCTCCTTTACTCCTCTCTTTCATGTTTCTCCTCTGTTGATACTCCTATTCATTCATACGTTTGTGATTTGACGGATACCCTTTCTGTTCTATTTTCCTTTCTCTGTATTTTTTATTTTCCCCTTTCTTTTCTTACTGTTGATAGATAGGGATTGTGCGTTGGGGATTGCTGCTACATACTTACTGACTACTGCTGGATTTTTCTTTTCTTTGTACTCTACTTGGATGGGTGGATGGATGGGTGGATGGATGGGTGGATGGATGGGTGGGATGGACTCTGGTTGTGTTTTCGTTTTACGTCTTTTCTGATTCAATACAGGTGGGCTTTTCAAAAGGGGGACCAGGCGATGATGATGGTGGATTGTATGGTATTTTCTTCTTCATACGGGCTCTTGCGGATCCCTTTTTTTTTCTTTCCTTCTCTTCGTCTCCGCTGATCAGGTATCGACTACATAGATTGTAATGGGGGAGGGCTGGCTGGTCTTCCAAATAACATGGTCTCTTTACTCATTAATCTCTTGACGAACTTCTATGGGCTGCCGCTGTGATCTAGACTCTAGTGATCGATCTTGAGCGAGAAATCGACGTGTTGCGTGCTCTACAACGCGATTAGCCTTATCATCTGGATAGCTGGATGGAGAAACACCCTACCTGATGAATCGAGCTGGTACTGATGATGTCAATGTCGTTGCACACGTACTCCTTGACATTGGCCGCCGTCAAACCTCCCGAGCACTCCAGCAGCACACTCCTGCCACGCGCCGCCCAGCGCTGCTTGATACTCATCGCGGCGACCTTCAGACCCTCGCCCGTAAAGTTATCCAGCATGACCACATCCGCGCCCGCCTGTATAGCCTCATCCGCCTCCGCCTCGCTCTGACACTCGACCTCAACCTTAACACTGAATCCAGCCACCTCCTTCGCCGCGCCCACCGCGCGCGTGATCGACCCCGTGCTCCACACATGATTATCCTTCAGCATGACCATGCTGGAAAGATCGTGACGGTGGGCGTCGGCGCCGCCAACCAGCATACCATACTTCTCGACGACGCGGAACCCCGGCGTCGTCTTCCGCGTGCCCGCAATGATCCCCGTGTATCCTGCGGCGCGCGCGAGCTCGACGAGGCTGCGGCTCGCCGTCGCGATGCCGGAGCAGCGTGCGAGCGTGTTCAGCGCTACCCGCTCCCCGAGAAGGATGCTCCGTGCGGCGCCGGTGACGGTTGCGACAGCGATCTTCCCCGTGGAAGTGGCCGTAGGGTCCAGTGAGGCGCCCTCGCCGTGGTGGAACTCCACGCGGCAGTCTAGCTGCTTGAATACCTCGACGAAGAAGGGGACGCCAGCGAGGATACCGGCGGATTTGCAGAATAGCGTGGCGGTCTTGGGCGACTCCCCCACGACGTATCCGCCGTAGTCGAAGGAGGGCGCGTCCTCGGCCAGCCACGAGGTGATCGTCGTCTTGTAATGCGGCGGGAGGAGGTGCGCGTACGAGTGCGTGGAAGTGGTCATGATTGCGAGTGGGGGAGGTATGTCTTCGTGGAGTTTGTCGTGGGGATTCGGTTGTGTTGTTGTGCTGTCGGTGGTTTGGTGGTGTGCGGGGAGGAGAGGGGCAGTTGCTTATGAGCTCTGGCGAACCCGCGTTGGCGGCCGCGGGGCAGACCGGCACGGTCAACGCCGGCGCCGACAGTACCCGCACTGAAACCCCGATTCCTGAGCTCCCGTCCGTCACGAGACAGACAGGTACCGGACATCAACTCTCCGCCAATAAGAAAGAAAGAAAGAATAAAGATTCGTATCGATAACCGCTAAGTTTATATGGTCCAGAGACGACTTTGCATGGCTCATGTGCGAGTTCCCAGCCGTGATTGGTCACAAGCGTCGAGGCTGGGGACTCGGGCACTCGGGAGACGAAGTCATGTCTCCACGATTGGCTCACTCGCTGTTTGTCGCCATGGTGGAAAGCGACACGTATGCAATCCTATATGTGAAAGAGCAAAGGCATATATTCAATTGAACGTCCGATCTAGTTATCTACAGCACGGCCGTAACTACTCTAGGTATTACAAGCCAGAGAACACCGGCTTCCTCTTCTCAGCAAACGCCTTCAACGCCTCATTGCGATCCTTCGTCCCGACCACCTCGAGATACCCCCTATTCTCCGCTTCCTCATCCTCCGCGATCACGACCCTCTTTGCAATCCTGACCGCTTGAGGCGCACCCGTACAGATCTCCTGGGCAACCTCAACCGCAGCATCGATAGTCCTCTCCCGCCCCTCCTCGTCCGGCCCGACGTCCACAATCCTGTTCGCGAGGCCAATATGCACCGCCTCAATTGCGCCGACACGCCTGCCACTGAGCACAATATCCAACGCCCTACTCTGTCCGACCAGCCTGGGCAGCCTATACGTCCCACCGGCGCCAGGAATGATCCCCAGCCTCGTCTCCGGGAGTGCGAGCTGTGCCGCAGGCGCCACGATCCTAATATCGGTAGCGAGCGCGAGCTCGAGCCCGCCGCCCAGCGCAAACCCGGAGATCGCACTGATCGTCGGAATGGGCAGGGTCTCGAGCATCTTCAGCAGGCCGCGCAGGTCCGCCAGGAACGTGTCGACGTCCTGCCGCGTCATCGACCGCCGCTCCTTCAGGTCCGCGCCGGCACAGAACACGCCGGGAACGGCGGAGCCGATGACTAGCGCCCGCGTCTTGAGGTCCTCGCCGGAGTGGATCGGTGCGAGGAACCGGGTTAGCTCGGAAACGAGCTGCTTGGACAGCGCGTTTTTGGCGGCGGGCCGCGAGAGCAGCAGGAGCTTGATCAGCCCTGTGTGCGGTGCTGGCAGGGTCTCGATCGTGAGCGGGGGGTTGCTGGGTGAGGCGGCGGAGTACCGGCGAAGTAGCGGCAAGGCATTGGGCATACGCCGGCTGCCATTGAGGGCGCGAGAGAGACGGAGGACGGTGGGAGGGCGCATTGTGGGGTGTTGGGTACGGCAGACAGTAAGCGAGGGGAGCTCAAGATGTGGAGGTCAAGCTAGGTGTTGATGTCATGGATTGGAGGTTACACCGAGTGAGCCGACGGTAGCCGGCTGCCGGTGCGAGTGAGACATAGTTGCGCACACCAAACCTCGATCAGCTTTCGAGCTTCGAATCCTGGTTTTGATGTCTGGTACTAAAACGCCCAAGCTCTGGCTAGCAATATTCTAGCGCTTGGAGTGCGCTACAGGCAACTCTTGCGAAGAGCCACATTGCAACGAGGAAACGATAGTGAGGCACGGGACTACCTACTTCTGACTGATATCACCGACCATCATGGCATCATGCTCGGTCAACAGCGATTAGGTGCTGGATTACCACTATTCACTGACCCTTCAAACCCTCACAACAGCGGAAACCTCAACAGTTACTCGCATCGTTCCTGATTAGGAGCAGAGTCAACCCGCCGGTGACGATATTGCGCTTTACCGGGGCGTGGAGCTTCTACCCCGAATTCCTGAGACATAGTCTGTCGGGCGATGGCAGCCAGCAGAGAAGCCAGCGCGGCCAGACGAGCGGGATGCGGCAATAGTGATTGTGTACTTAGATAAGAAGACTACCTACTCGAAATGATATCCAACTTCACCTCAATCTCCTGCTCGAGCTCGAACTACAGCTGTTGAATGCCAAGCGGTTCCGCAGGCTGCAAGAGAGCCTTCAGAATCCAGATATAGGCGGAAACAATCGGAAACATACAGGCGGTTACGGGAAATATTCCTCTGTTCAGAAGCAATGGGGCCTCGTCGACATAAAGTCGATACATAAACAAAAAACAAAAAACAAAAGAACTCTATCAGCCGCAAAATATTCCTAAGTTTCCGACGGTAGTTGGAGCGTTTCTGACACCTAATGTTGTTTCTTAGCCAGACTTATCCCGACCCGACCTGATAATGTATGGTCCAGATATATCCCGTCTCGACCAGACTTGAAATATTTTGGTCTGGATATATCCCGACCAGACCCGAGCATACCCAAGTTTAGTCGCGACTGGTCTATGTAAAATACTGGTCTGGAGAAGCCTGAGGACAGCGCATCGAGCCATTGCTGAGTGGTGCCAATTAGCCGTCAGTAGCAAACGAAATCTTGCATGGCACGGGTAGTGATTGTGCCTTTGGACTGGAGTGAGACATGCACATGCATCACACAGCAATAAATCGATGACACGACATCGTAGCCCCCACTCCGCGGCTAGGCTTAGGTGCACACTTAGGTGCGAACAGACGGATACAAACTGTTTAAAGCCGTAAGTATTCCAGTTCTATACTACCAAAATCGTAACTCTTCCGAAGTTTCAAGAATGGCAGAACAGGGTACATACCTAGTTAGACTATACCACCTCAGAACTTTCAGACGATACTGATTGCAACTCAGAAGCCACCCCACCGGCAGATTGGCCGTTCGATATACATGCCTATAAGCGCCATAGTACGTGGGTTTTCCCAACAGAGAAGCACTTGGATGTACTTGTGTTGACGCTGACTTACCGCGTAATGAAGCGAATCGGAGGATGACATACGAGCCGCACTTGCAATCTTCGAATCGGAGGTCTTGTCCGATAGTACATCCGTTGACCTTATCCAAACCAACCATCGCAACCATGCAGGACCCGAAGATGAGATCTTGATGGGACCAGGTAGGGCTGGTTTCAATATGAATGAGACTCCAGCTGATACATATCTTCGCTTGATAGACCGTCCCCTGTATGTCGGACAGACATTGGATGGGGAGCAACTTTCTCAAAGGTTGGATGCGGTATGTCTATATTGATTGGCCTTCGTTCGGCGTAGATGACTGGCGCATAGCTGATGAATCACCCCAGGACTCTTCAATCGGCCATCGTGGAAGATTCTGGTAAGTAGCCAAGAACACGCCGCCCCGAGACCGAGGGCGCTGACGACTCCTTGTGGAAGCATTATCAATCGCCGTCTGGATACACACAAGCTTGAGATATCAGGGCCTGCGCTTAGGCAGATGATACGTGCACTTGAAATCGATCCCGAATTCATCAGTACCCTCGGTCAATACTGTCATCAGCAAGAAGATGATTCTTTCCAGTGTCTGCCCTACCGAGGGGGTGGATCCGATCCCGGGACCCCTTTTGGTATGTGATTCCAGTGCGTGTGCAGCTAGCTTCGAGTGGTTTCGTGAACGACACGGATGCAAGGGGACCGGATGGATACGAAACAATCAAGCTTGTTCACCCGCAAGTGGTCGTTCGAGGCTCTTACTTCGCAATCCACTCCCGTGGCTTCGGACATGAGAGTCCGCCAGATGTCATGGCCGTGAATCTTTTGCATGGCAGATGCCGAAAGCTGCTTGATGAACCTGCGGCTCGCATAAAAAAGGCATTGAATGGGAGTCAGGTATCCGGCGGGCATATATGGGTGCCTCTACTCTATCTCCAGAGTATCATCAGGTATTGGAACAACGTCTTGAACAGCTTTAATGCTGAGCTGATTGTTGAAGTTAGTGGTCCTTTCTTTCAATGACTGGGTCATTTCTGCCCGCTGACGTTCGGCTAGGAGCGCACTCTTCTGCAGGAGCGCACTATTCTGCAGCGGAACAATAATTATGCATACACATCCGATTATTCTCACATCCGTGACAACCACACCGCAACCATCAGCCTCATTGCCGCTCATCTCTACTGGTATCGATCGCAACTTGCATCACTGGAAGATATCGTCTCCGATATAACTGCTCGTCAAAAAGTGTCAATGGTTGGCCTTGAAGCCCAGTCGTTAAAAATTGTGCTGGAACAGGTGGCTTCCAACCTGAAATTAGCAACAGCTTTTCGAGATACGTTAGAGTGCAAAGCTCAGAATATCCTCGCCTTGGTAAATCTCCTATGGCGTCCAAGAAGATATCCAGACTAACCGGGATCCCGGTACATAAAGCTAGACAGAGAAATGCAATCGGACAGAGACCATCAGATGCAGTTGTACGCCATGGAAACCCAGGCGAGAGAGGCGTGCAGAGCCGCTGAGGCATCCGAGGAATCACAGGTTTTAGCCCGCGCAATGAAAGAAGACAGTGTAGCCATGAAGACTGTGAGAATTCGGATCGGAGTCATCACACCTTCGTCCTTGTACCATGTTAAAGATCGCTGCTGACCTGTTTTCTCGCGCAGATCGCGCTACTGTCGGTGTTCTTCCTACCTGGCACCGCTTTCTCCGTATGTCCTCTTTTCCCATTGGCAGTCGTCCGCAGGCCAGTCGCGTTTAGGCCATGTGCTCGTGCTGATCGGGAAAAAAGGCCATACTGTCAATGCCGTTCTTCAGTCAGAACGAATGGTTCAGCGATGTATTCAAAGTGTGGCTGTGGGTCGCTCTCACCGTGCCATCGACGGTGCTTGCATTTGCTTTCTACACATACTCCAAGTGGCGTTATATGGGGAAAGAGTCGGGAAGACTCGGGACCGAGATGGGCGATCGTACGATTGCTACTCCCTGGTCGCCAACGAGAGGATATAACGCTGCCTAAGCAGGTCGTCGAGAGTGGTACATCGTAAGTACCTGACTTACATCTTTCGAACTGTGTTCCTACAGTTGGAATCAGCCCGGATGGAAGTATCGTGTAGATGCGGAGTCGGAACGTAATCAGGGCAAGATACCAGTTTTTTGTTTTTTGTTTAATCAGTAATTGGTTGCGACCTAAGTAGATCATGGCAATATATGTACACACTCCGGTTCCGCGCCAATGTCCGACCCGACTTTCATCGAGTGGCCCGAATCGGGCCACCCGATGTGATTTTCCCTGCCCACCGCCTCGGCCTGTCCCCGTAACGAAAGTAGAGCGCACTAAGGAAATAACACTAGGAAAAGACATCTTCCGCTCCCTCTCCCTACTTCCCTCCGCCTGCTGCCTCTTTTAACAGGGATGCCATGAAGGAATGTGTGGGAAAGAACAGCGGGCGGGAGCCCGGCTCCTCAACCGCAGCACCCTCCTCCTCCTCCCGCTTTAGTTCCGCCTACCTTTCCTCCCGCTCCCTGAGCTCTCACTAGGAGATCTCACTCTCTGTATCTTCGTCGGCGGTCTCAGGCATCCGTCTGCCCACATCAGTGGAAGAGAGGAATTCCACAATTGCCTGGCTGCAGCGCTCGTCTACGAAGAGGTCCCGGATCTTGAATCAATCTTTGCCCCTCCTTGTCTGCTTCCGGACCTGTGCCCACAGAATTTTCTGCTGTCTCTTCCATTCGTGGCAGTTCTTGAAGAGGTGCTCCCGGGTTTGAGTCTTGTAGCGACACCATCCGAATCGGGCGTCTGGTCGGCTTATTGTCCACTGGAGGTACTGGCCGGTGAGGCAGTGCCCTGTTTTGAGCTGGTAAAACCTGCAGGCTAGGCGCTTGGGGGGCGGCTGATAGAGTTGACATGGTCAGTCTACTTATATCCAGACCGACCAAAGCTTAGGTCTGGTCTGCTTAATTTTATCCAGACCGGAAAATCGCAGGGTCTATGTAGAACACTGCGAGTCCAGACTAGTCACCAGCCGCTCATAGCGTTCTTAATGGCAATGGCAATTGCGGTATCACTGTCCCAGTGGTCTCTCCAGATCAACAGTCCCAAATCAACGGCTATATACTACGGTGGGGGTTCGGATCCAGTGCTCGACATACTATAGTCCCGTCCGGACTGCAGTACGGACTGGACGGACTGTCAAGATACAGTCCAGCCCAGTCTGAGGCCTAGGATGGACGGACTGGACTACTAGCTATGTCGAACACTGCGTGTGGGTCGGTGTGACTGCTCAGCCCGGCCCCTTAATGCGCTCAGTGCGCACAGTCACAAGGCCGGCTTACGCAGTGAAGATGATGCATACCTACGCAGGACGGCGTGTCACAGTGTCACTCTGCGATTGATTTCCGTGGGGTGCACCTGTCACCTGTCTCACTCATCTCTATTAACTTCTAACATCCGCACGTGGAGCCTGCGTGATGTACGGCGGCGATTTGGTGAACTCAATTGCAACGGATCTTAAGGAGGTTTTGGCTGTGTTGCGAGAAGGGTTTCCTCCCCAACTTCACTCCGCCTCGCCGGGAAACTCGGGATACGAGTGACCGGCCATGCACCGCTGCACCGCTGACCACGACGCCATCGCAAAAACAGTACTGATTACATACTGGTTAGTTATCTACTGATATACACGTGCTCGCGCTGATCGATGCATACTAATTCCTATGTACTTAAGTATGTACTCCGCCTCGATTGCCAACCATCAGGCCTTGAGGTGCGCCGGGTGGTGGTATGTAGGCGCCTTTGGTATGTACGGTGCGCACCACCCACCATCATCACCACCCCCATTCCTCTCAAGTCTCAACTCTCTAGTCTCGGCTCAGTCCACCTATCAGCAGTGGCCGGAGACGATGTGATACCAAAGGTCCAACACCGACACGTGAATTAAAGATTCCAGTTTTCACCCTAGATACCGGGCTTCAGCTTTCAGCCTTTCCTACGTACCTACTCTAGTATGCGGCATTTACCGCGTCCGATGTTGGTTGCACAGCGATGACCATTGACGGTGCGGGGAAAGGTTTCTAGAAGAAAAAAATGAGGACTATTGCGTCCGACCCTAGGTGCAGCTGGCTAGAATCTCCGGAGTTTGACTGGCCGAGGGAGGGAAAAGCAAACCTGTGGCCACACCCACATATACGTACGACAGACGACCATGTCGAAGACTTGAAGGATGGAGACCGATGCCGCAATCGCAGGAGTGATATCGCACCTAACTATGCCGTACTACCTAACTAGTAGTGAGCAATGGAGGAGCGGTCGATGTGCGCCATATTAGCTTTGCCTGCGCTGCTGAGTTGCTGCACACATCCGTGTGTGTTAGTGAGAAATGCTCCTGCGTCGCGCGGACAGTGTGGGCCAGCGTGGGGAGTGAGGAGCGTTGGCCGGTCCTGAATATTGGACGGGGTTTATTACCCCCGCGAGCCGTCCCCCCGGTGAGCTTCACCGAGCGGTTCACCGGTACACTCCAGCCAGACGCCCACAGAAACTACCCCCACCGCGGACATGCTCCCTTCAAACGCATCTTCGGATGCCTGCGTGATCAGCAGCAATGCGGACGTTGCCGGAGTAGGCGTGAGTCCCCGTCCGTCCCGTTCCAGCCTCCTCGTGCTAACGCCGACGTCTCTGCAGGTCCGCATCTCCGTCTACTGCCCCACAGGCATCACGATCCTCTGCGACGCGGTGGACGCAACGGATCTGCACGCATCGTTCGCGCGGTCACTGGGGCTAACAGGGCTCGCGATCCTCTCCACGGCAGTTGTGCAGACATGGCAGCGGCGGCTATCTCTGTTCCACTCGCTCATTTTGGTGCACTACCTCGCACTAATCATCCCTCCGTTCTTCTGCAGCTGCGTGTGGCAGCCGGTATCGCGGCATGTGCGGTACTGGTACGTGGCGTTCACGTTCACAGCCGAGGCGTGGATGGTCTACGTCTCTGCCGAGAAATACGCGTACGCCCACGACTGCGACGTCGCCATGGTCATACAAGCCTCCACGGGCGGGACGCTGAAGAAAGACGTGGGACCGACGTTCGCCGTGGCCTTGCTCGCTGCGACGGTGCTCCAGCTTTCCGCCATGCTGGGGTTCGATCTCGGTATGCATATGATAGGCTATGTGGAGGCGGAGATTCCACCGGCGGCGCAGCGTGTCAAGTCGCAGTGGATGCGCGTGGGCGCGTTGGTGATGGCGGCGGCGGAGTGGGTGGCCTTCGTGGTGTTCACCGAGGAGTTGCTTGTGACTAATAGGCTTGAGGGGAAGGAGGGGGAATGGTCGTATGGACAGATGCTGTCCGTGTCCATGTTGCTGGTTCCCGTGCAGGACTGTCTGTGTATTCTGATTGTGCGCCGGCAGCAGCAGCAGCAGCTGTGGGGGTTCTAGCCAATACAATTGCTCTTCATGGTCTGGCGAGATCTGATTTTTTGTGTGTTAGATCGAACCCGTATCTAGTGTATGTAAGACTGTCTGGGTATGATGGCGTACGTTTTCTCCATTTCTGTCCACGGCCCAGAGTACTGGCTCGGTCACTCAGCGAGACGAGCCGGTCTCCTGTTGGAAATATAGAGTAAGATGTGGTGGTGAACAGTGTAGTATTGAAATGTAAGGCTGTAGCCTCGTGAGAACCCAAGATATATAGGAATAGGGGGTAAAGGCCCGTGCCTTCTACCATGACTAATCTAGACAGATATTGCAACACTTCCCCTCTTGCTGCCTACCAGCAAGCATTGAAACATAGTGATGCCAAAGGCGAGGAGCTTGAACCAGTCCGTAGAAGGACTTTCTCAGTCTGCAGGCATGATTTCCATCGCCGTCCCCTTCCGAATTCTAAACGTCTTCCAGCCGGACATAGTCCCATGTTGAGTTCTCGGCCAACGGCCAGAATTCCTCGTCAACTGCTCCAGACCAGTCATGGCCGCGTCTCGGGTGCTCAATAGCTCCCGGTAGCTCACCGGATCTGCAGAATCCGACAGCTCTTCCACCCATTATGTGCTGCGGGACTTAGCAGGTAACGTAGAGTACCTTGTTAATTTACCACCTGGAGCGTAGGTCCTCTCGTAGTCAATACCTTGCACCTGCTCGTAGCCTTTGATAACCAATCTCACCTTATACCTGGTAGAGCTGTCGGGATTCCTTTTCGTCTTGTAGACCCACTTGCACCCCATTAGGCGTTGAGCCTCGGGTGACCGACTCCTCCACAGGTGTAAGTACGGTTCTCTTGTAGAGATGCTTACTGTTGCTGCGTTGCAATCTTCCACTGCCTGTGTAGAGTACTATCCAACGTTTCTTGATAAGACAGTGGATCATCGTCATTCACAGCATCGGAGGCCGTCAAAGCCCCGAACTTTTCAGCCCGTCTTTGACCCCTCGTCAGTCTCCTGGATGGCGCTGGTGCAGCAGTGGCAGCTACCTTGTCAGGAATGCTGTTTGCCGTAGCAGTGACTCTCGCGTCCCTTACTAGGGAGCGGCGTTGGCTGCGCTTCAGATGCATTCTGCAACTCTGATGGTGGTGGTGGTGGTGGTGGTGGTGGTGGTGGTTCTTGCAAGTTGCAGCTCTTCTGCATATACCGCTTCCTCTTCTGGTTTTAGGAAGGCGGTTCCGCATCCGACAACTATCTGATCCGCATGCCTGCCATCATAGGTACGCACATCTCAGTGCCGTCCATAGGGTATCCACATCCGATATCATCGGTATGCCATCCATCGGTACGCGCACACTTGTGCCGACCGGAGGATTCTCACATCCGACCTTCTCGGCATTCCTTACATTGTAGGTACGTGCATAGTCAGTGCCGACCGTAGGGTACTCGCATCTAACACTCGGCGTGCCTTTGCCTTGATGCATCCCGAGCAAGCCATTTCCATTGGTTTCTGGATGTAGGTCTCGAAGTGCTCGTCGACTGAATAGTGGCCGCAGTTGGCGCTTGCGGATGGTAGGGTATTGGCCGAGGTACTCGCCGATAGTAAGGGTCGTATATGGGGTACTGGCCAAGGTGCATTCCGATAGAAGGGTCCCCGATGGAATACTGGCCGAGCTTCCGCTCGCCGATAATAAGGGTCGCCGGATGATTAGATCAAGTGGCTGCACGTCCGCACCGTTTGCGATACTGATTTCGAGCGCGTCTTCATCGCTGAGGAACATCGTGATGTCTTTAGGTGTAGGTGGAACTCATGGCCGTGAGGTGTTGCCGAGTCTGCCGCTCGCCGGTGGGGTTCAACCCGTGCCTTCTACCATGACTACCTGATCTAGACAGATATTGCAACATCTCCCTCACCCTCCGCCTGGGCGCTGAGCAGGTTGTACATACAAAGCTATCGTCTGGTTATCCTGTTCGTCGCCCAGTGAAGTTCTCCAGTGCGAACGTTCCGGGATTTCGGGTGTAAATCTGGCAGTAAGTCGGTTAGCAACGTAGCGGGATGCAGGGCGCATCCCCGGTTCCCGCTCCAGCCGGGATGGGATGATGGATCCACTAGTGCCCGTTGACTACTCTGCCGACTTCCGACTCCCGTCTCCGCTTCCGTCTCCAGAATGAACGGGACGACAAACCGCGCTAATCAGTCGCTAAGCAGTCGCGGACTCGCGAGTTTGGTCTGTTGTATGCCGAAACGAAACGCCTTCGCCTGGGACTGTTTCTATTTCTTCGCGGATGACCATTAATTGACCATTCCCAGCCCCAGACACTGCCAGGCTGCCAGCTGCGCAGACCGAAACCACACGCGTTGGAAGGAAGAAGAAGCATTGGCTATCGCGAGACCTCAATGACAACGAAGATAATCGTCGACGAAATCGGCACGTACGATCGAATATGGAACGACAAAACGCTTGTGCAGTGTGTATTCTCCACTAAACAAACTTTCAAACGTATATATAGTTGAACTTACATACATACATTCTCTGTCCATGATCTCGGTAATCTCTTTTTGCAAAGTGCCTGTCCAGTGGGCCTTCTGCTACATACCTGTAACTTGTTGAACCATCTCGCGCTCAACCACGAATCCACGATATATTGGTTGGCTCTTCAGTGGGCGTTGGCCGCTGCTTCGTCCCTCGTGGGTTTTCGAGCGTACACGACATAGCTAAGAGCCAATAGCATCAGTCTCGATTCCGGGCGAGTGAGTGCTGGCAGAAAAGAGGGCAACGGCTTACTAAAACGTGTAGATGTGAGCGCTCTTATCGAACTGTGCGACCTGACAGTCGCGGCAGATCTTGTCCGCCATGTCGCTGTGGAAGCCCAACACGCGCGTAAACAGCGCCATACCTACGCCGCGTCAACCACCGACCGGACACTTGAGCCTTGGTTCATCCAGGGAGGGGTGACTAACCGTATGCATGGTACCCCGTCACGCCCGCGATCAGGTTCATCGCGCCGATCTGCTTGAGGCGCTTGTCTTTCGGCCATGGGGCAAGCGGGTGCTTGTACTGTGCCACCTCGATATCGACGAACCCGGCGCGCTCGAGGAAGTCGTGCATCAGGATATGGGTGATGGACGCGGGCCGGCCGAGCATCGCGACAGCTCTGACCATGCAGTCGAACCAGAGCTTGGTCGGGTTGTTGTCGGCCAGCGTGTTGTCGTCGCTGTGGCAGGTGCCTAGAAAAGACTGTGAGTCAACTGAACCTGGTGCGCCAGCGTTGCGTACGGAGGACGGAAGCACACCTCCAAGCTCGCACCACTCGATGTACCCTCCGGGTTTTGTGCACCTGTTGTGACGAGAACGGTTGTATATCAGCACCAGATTGGAAACGTATGTGCGCGGACGGGATCTCGTGCGTACTGATATATCTCCGACATCAATCTTTCCCAGTCATCGATGCATTGGCCTAGATTCCGTACGTGAACAAGGTCGAAGGAATTCCTTTGATAGGTGAAATCTCGTTCGGCATCGTCCACTTCGAACCGGCAATTCGGCGGCACCCATTCGCGCTGAATGGGACTAAGATCCATGCCGATGACTTCGGCCTGCGGATATTCTTCCGCCACTTGAATAGCCCAAACGCCGGTTCCTAGCACTGCCATCAGCCGAGGGTCCACCGAGAGAGAGAGAGAGAGAGAGAGATAGAAAAAGGAAAGAGAAAAAGGAAAGCCCATCGCATACCCGTGCCTACGTCCAAGATTCGGGTCGGGCTTTCTACCGGCGCCAAATGTAATCCTTCAAGCATCAGATTGAAGATATCGTGACACAGGTCCATGCGGTCCTGCTCAATTTCATCTAAAGGAAGTATGTTCTTGTCGGGTCCATAATAAGTGTGGTAGAGTCGGCCTGGCCTTAACCATCAACATGCCGCAATGGGTGGGGGTGAAACAACTGCTGAGCTAACTAGCAGCTTTTGATTCCGGATGTTTTGTAACTACCATTCTCGAGCAGATACTCGTTCATCGTCGAGGCGATGCACATGGTATCCGAGTCGTATCCCGACAATGCGGATTCGTAACCCAGGTCCTCCTCGTCGTACTGAACCGACAGTCAGCGATGATGCGCACACACACACACACCGAGACCCACGGGGACGGAAGGGCTCGTTCTTGGCTGGCTGACCATTGCAGGGTCCACCTCGATCGCGGGGGAATAGAGCTCGGTATTGGGTAGCATTTCATTCACAACTGCCTTTAGGAGAAGAAGAAGGGACGTCGGCGTAGGACTACAGTGGGGGGCGGGTGTCGAGGAGTGCGCGGCGTCTCGAGGGATAAGCAGACGAACAAGGGCGCCGATCGAGCAGAAGCGTTTGAACTGGGCAGGTGATGATGGAGGCGGGCGGGGTGGGTGTGGAGGAAAGCTAAGCTGAAGCTTGTTGGACCTATGGTTGTGGGGGGGCCACAGTCCAATATCCATGGCTCCCGTAATGTACCACGTTAGTAATAACATATCCGGTGTGGCATCCGCTTTGCGTGCGAGCAGGGTAGGGATGCGGGATGCAAGCAGCGTTCGAGAGCCGATGATTATGATGCCAGCGCGTCGAATGCTTGGCGTTCGATCGCATTCAATTTGACGCCAACTACACCGGAATCAGAGTTGGCGTGACAGCTCGACAGCTCAAAAGTCGAGTCCGCACGCCCGCTCGGGAATGCTGTGTTCCGCTGGATGATGCGTAGTCCGCAGAGTCCAACAGCGATCGATCCGGAAGCAGATGAATCATGGTGCGCGCTGCGAGTGTGCATCGGGTATATATGGAGTTGCTCCCGGTAGTTAGTTACTCTACTAGTAGGTACCGTCGACTACCGTGCTGTAGGATCTCCGAGCTCTAGGATCTCCGAGCTCTAGGATCTCCGAGCTCTAGGATCTCCGAGCTCTAGGATCTCCGAGCTCTATTGCGGGGAGGCCAGGGACGGGCCGGTATGTACTAGTACTAGTTATACCGGCACCTAGCGAAGTACTAGTACTTGTTCATCTAGTTGATCGGTTAGTTAGTGCCCGAACCAACGTACCGACAGATACATACAGGAATTCAACGTCGCGGAGTCCACTTTGTGATAGTCATCGACAGTGATGATGCACGGAGTCTCGAACCGAGAGGGTGCGAACGCCGGGGTGGAGGCCCGGCACTCAACGGGCGTGGAGTGTGGACGGTGGAAAGACCCGGGACTTTACCCAAACGAACGACTGCATGGTGGAGGGCGGACTAGGCGTGGATGGGTGATGAGAGGCTCAAAAACATGTGAGGAACAAAGTCGTGATCATTAAGACTAAAGTCTTTCTCTTGATGATGATGATGATGATAGTGAAAAGGAAACACGACGCGCAAGGACGACAGAAATAGTCGCAGCAGAAACAATTAAACGTTTGACGACCGCATCGGGTCTCCCATCAGACACACCTGGCATCACCTGCAAGACAGCTGGTCCCACCAGGTCAGTACAAAGTCCGACTCAATATCGGTTGGTCCCACTCAGGTCCCACAAAGTCCCGCTCCTTCGGCGCTCTATGCCGGTACTATGGCACGCAGAAACGCGGAGAATTCTGAACAGCAGCGACGTCGTAGAGCATCTAAGTCCTGGAAGTAACGAAGTAGCTGTGATACGATAGTGCTTCGCTTTTGGAATGGGTTGCCCGCGCTCGACGTCTTGGCTGGGGTTGCACACAAAATACCTATCTTCATAGAGTGGTTACCCCACGCAGGTGCGCCCATCAGCCGAGGTTTGTGCAATTTAGGAACGACAGGTCCACGGGGGGGGGGGGGGGGGGGGCGACCTCGACCCGGCATGTCATATGTGCCGTCGTCGTCGTAGGACGTGCCTCACATAGAGTACCTGAGCACTTAGAGCACTTACCTTGTGGTCTGGACTGGCACGAGGCTTGGGTGGTTTGCACTTGATTACCCCAATTGATGTTGGATGAGGCTCGAGAGAAATGTGATTGATCAGAGTTCTGACATGCGCACCACCAAGGTACCGCCCGATGGATCATGGGGGCAAGGGTGTTCGGAGAGCGGGGTGGTTAAAAGCAGCGTCTTCCTCACCATTGCAGATCATACCACCCACGACCTCCATCGACATTCTGCCCCCGGAGTTCTCACCGCCGAACAGAACCCAATCACTGCGGCTACGATTCTTTACGAAGCCAGGATATCACAATAGACACGCCTCGAAACACTTGATTGCACCCAACCCTTGCTGCTACGAACAGCCACTGGCGTTGTAGTCGTCATCCTGATTGTACAATTTGCCCCCCGGAACAGCGAGGTTAACATGCCCCACACCCCCGGCGTCCCCGTTTTCATCTATCCGTTCGTCGACAACATGCTCGGAGCCACCGTCGGCCTCCGCAAGGATGACGAGGCTTCATGTCATGACACGCCTAAGGCCATCCTCCCTCTCACCCGTCAGAACTGGACGCCGGTCAATCCAGCTCCAATATCTCAACGCCGTAATGCCCTACACCATTCACGAACCTCGATGGTCGTCCCCCTCATAGTCACCGCTCGCCTGTTACTTGCCTGTGGCTCCCATGAACGAAACAAATAGCCTTCCTTCGACAGGACTGAGGAAACTGCCATCCGGTTTCTACTGATATCAACCTGTTCTCTTGTTTCAGCCGATTCATAACCCCCTTATCTTGTTTGCCTCGTGCCGCCGACCCGCCGTTCCGTCACACAGGACGCCAGTCAACACTCAATCTACCTCCAATCAGTCCACACTCAATAAATCCAGGCACCGAACGCGGCTCTCAGCGGTGTTCTCTCTCCAATACCGCCCAAATCTCTCATCCATACGGCGACATCACGCGCGAGGGCTGTCGCCGTTCTTCTCCGAGATGACGTGCTTACCTGTCGCGACATACCCGAGGCCATTCAATCGTGCACCCAACCTTTCCCTCCCACGCCAGCCTTGGCCCTTCCTTACTCGCCAACCTTCCCCAGGACGACAGAATCGTGTCACCGCACTACAACCATCCGTGACGTCGAGAAACTCGGATGGCAGATCAATTCTTAGAAGATGATCGAACTCAGCTATAAACAAGAAATTATATACCACTCCCTATTGCAGAACAACACCGACGTGGAACTAACTATGAATTAGCACGTTTGCATCGCCAGGCCAGATAAATATGTGCACTTTCGGAGTGCTCGGCCTTGCGCCCAATTCGCTACCTTGCGGCCGTTCTCTTCGCGCGTACTTTTCCTCGTTGCCCGCAAGGATGGTCTTCGTCACCCGCGGAATGAGTTTTCTCCGCGCGGGTGCACTTATGCCACCGCTTTCACACCTTATTTGATCGCAACCTACGTTGGCGACATCCGATGCAACGGGACCAGAAAATATCGGCGACATGAGAAGGAAACCGCATACGACGGTCTGCGCGAGGCGAGGCGAGGGCATGGGGTTCATGTGGAACCCGGCTCCTCCGTGGCTCGCAGATCCGAAACACCAAGCGGCACCCCAAAGGAGGGAGTGGTGTTTCACCTAGCCAGGCGTATTTGCAAGCAAAACAGCTAGCATGTTTAGCCTGCTTAGAGCTCGTGTGAGTGAGGGAGGGGCTGTGGCCTGTGGGCGATGACGGAAACGAACACCCATCCAACAATGCGGGAGAGGGAGAGGAAGAGGGAGAGGGAGAGAATGGAGGGCATGGTGATTCGGTGGCCAGTGGGCTTTGGCTGACCGCCAGCCTCTCTTGGCTCTTGGCGGAAGAGAGTAATGCGGTGGGATGAGGGGGGGCGGTGGTGGCTGGCTCCGTGTGTACGCATATAAGTCCGACTTGTTAGATTTCATTGGTGCGCTACCTATGGTATTCACTTTGGCTACGCAGTTGGAGTTGGAAGGCGGGGTAAGTAGGCAGGTGGCTGCACCGCGCCCGGCCATCGGTCTGGCGGGAGAAAACGGAGTGTGCAGGCCTCGATCCATACAGGTCGAGTGTAATATAGTGCGGTTGAACTTTTGTCTTTGTCTACCTGAGTGTCATCGGCGGGTTGTGACGGGCGGGTGATCACTGATGAGATGGTGCTCGATGAGATGGGTCGTTTTCGAGGCGAGCTGAGTGCAGGAAAGGAGCTGCAGGCTGCAATGAATTGCGATTCGTTCACCTACTACCGTATGTTTTCTTTTTCATAAGTTAACGGCTATGTAGGTGGGTGCAAGTCTGGAACGTTTGGCTCGTAGGCAACCGTGTAACGGTAGAGTAGAGTACATACACACCCTCCACGAAGAGAAGAGAAATCCACACACGATCGGGCTGCGAGATGAACTCGTACTACTCGAGTGGTGGTGTGCATGGAAGGGAAAGAATCAAGTGGCTGTGTAGTGGTGTAGAGTATTTGACGTCAGTGCCTTGGCCAAACCTCACGTCCGTCCACATAATGGGCGAGAAAAGACGCATGTTTCAGGGATATGTTATGTGATGTAAGCTCCATAGATATTGAAGCACTGGCGACCAGGTGACCCTCAGGCAACTTTGATAAGAAGATATACGACTGATTGTGTTTGATTAGAAAGAGAAACGACACTGAAAGAAAAGAGTTACCTGTGTTCTTCAGGTGATGAACCTCAAGTATCTCGCAAGTTTATTGACGAGATGAGGATGAACAATGATGAGAGGGGGGAAGGAAGGTAAGGCCTGCGACGGTTGTGTATGTTGACCAACCGACCAGACGAACATAAAAAGTAGCAACATCTCAACGTTTGGCCGATCAAAGCGGGCCTGGGCCCGACCCAAGTCCCACAATATACAACAATGCCGCAATCGAGCAGAAGTGGAAAAGTCGCAAACATTCTGGCTTTCTGGGACCAGTCCTGCGAGAGCTTTCCAGCGTTGAAGCTGCGGAACTTCTCGCCTGCGCATCCAGCCAGTCAGCTCATCGTACATAATCATCGAGCTGTGAGACAGTAGGGCACCCGCCGGTGGGCGACGGGGGTGGAGTCCGGCCCAGTCCGGCGCGGAACCGCATGACGGATATATGGGTGGATAACATGATCCCAGCGTGTGGACCGTAGCGAGGTAGAGTAGGTAGAGTACATGTGCACAATCGCTGGGTCCGGAATCCGGATTGCTTACTCTGCTCCCTGTCACCCACCTTGCCAGAGTAGAGTAGCGCCCAGAGTGCCCAAGACTGTGGACAGTGGGGCAGTGTCACAAGAACGGCTTTCGCACTTTCGCAGAGAACTGAACGGCCGGAACAGGTAGATTGTTTTCAACGGTGGGATGCTACATGTAGAGTAGGTAGTTGGGATGAAGTTGAGATTAAGTTGCGGATGCCGGAAGGGGCGTCGGGACTCGGACTTCGGCTATCGACCAGGCAGGTATAAGGCTCCGGCCTGGATCGCTATATGAGTACCGAAACTGCGGTACGGTAACCGCGGTACGGTAACTATCGCGTGCGGGTGCGCCGTAACGAGAAGGATGTCGATACAGTACTGGATGGGCTGGATATGCGGGGTAACCAGCTTTTCGGACCCCACGTCTGCGGTACTTGGCGCACCCGTCCCGCCCGGAAGGAGGCCATCGCTTCGCAACGTCGCTTCCTTCCATCTACTGCTAGGTGTAGTCTTCACTGCATATGCACACCTAAATATTTGTGTACGAGAACATCGCCTGGGAGCCGAGCAGAAATCCACAGCCAGCGCCAAGTTCCTCGACTGATGGCACTAAACAAGTTCTCACTTCTTATCCTGGACCCTACATTCGTTAGTTCCCCCCCGTTACCAAGTTTTACTTAGCACCACCCATCTACACGTGTCTCTCCCGACACCCCGCTTCTCCTGTTGAGACTTCGTGTGTAGTTTCGCTAAAGTAGTTCGCCGACCTGGTTGGTGGATTATGGCCTCGGAACCCCGTGGTGTGCTGCCTCCTTTATCTATATGATGGACGACGCCCCAGCTAGATGCTCCCTATACTCGTTCCCCCACTTGCCGGTACATATACCCGCCTAGCTCAGTTTCCCCGAAACTTCATACATCATCATCGTCATGTCGTCTTCGTCGTCCCAGATCGAGGTCGACTCGGATACGGTGTGTCGCTATGCTTCGTTCCTGCCACGGCACTCCTGCTAACATCCCGATCTCGTAGAGCGATTATGATTACGAAACTAGGTGTGTTCCTACTTACCTGTGTGTTGTCGCTGTTCGTTGCTTTTTCGGCGGCGACGACAGCGTCAACCAGTAGTCGTGTACTGATGCCGTTCATCCGCGAGAATAGTTTCAATTCGAGCACTGCGAGTCTCACGAGCAGCATAAACGAATACATCTTTGGAGCCGATGGCCGTCGCTACCATGCGTACTTCGGACCCGAGAAGAACCTGCTGCCGACGGACGAGGTATGATATCCTGCTCCTCCCGATCGCTGGCTGTCCGGAATGTGGCTCACGCGGATTCGTCTTCATCTAGATCGAACAGGACCGGTATGTCGTTTCCCCAGCGAGCGCATGTCGCGCTACCGTACGCGCGAGGAGGGCCCGCGCATCTGACAATATCCGCGCAGCCTCGACATGTACCACGAGATCATGCTCCAGCTCCGCTCGGAACTGCACCAATCGCCACTGGCCGAGCCCCACAACATCCTCGATGTCGGTACTGGCACCGGAATCTGGGCCATTGATATGGCCGATAAGTACCCCATGGCGCAGGTCATCGGAATCGATCTCACGTACGTCATGCCACCCCCCGCCTTGAAAGTTGGCCCGGCTGCCGGATCACTCACGGAATAGCACTCGTAAATAGTCCTATTCAGCCGAAGTGGGTTCCGCCTAACTGCAAATTCGAGGTCGACGATGCCGAGCGAGAATGGACGTTCAAGCCTGTATGCTCTATATTTTGTATTCACGACGTGCGATGAACTGATTCGTGAAGGACTACTTTGACTTTATCCACGCCCGCACTGTCTCGCACAGCATCGGTGACTGGCCCAAGCTGCTCTCGCAAGCCTACATGTGAGCTCCCTCCCCTCTCGATTTCATCCTCCTTCGACTAATCCTCATATTCTGTTAGCTGCTGCAAACCAGGCGGCTTCGTCGAGCTCCTCGAGTTCGAGATGGCCACGTTCTGCGACGACGGAACGATGGCGGACGACAACCCGATGAAAGTCTTCTTCGACCTGCTCGCCAAAGCGCTGGCGAAGATCGGACGTCCCGGTGTGACCACCGCGTCGCTGAGAAAGAACCTCGAAGACGCTGGCTTCGTCGATATCAACGTCATCCAGACCAAGCAGCCGATCGGCGCGTGGCCAAAGAACAAAGTAAGTGCATCGCAAGAGGGAGGGGGCTAGAGATGACATATTTACTGACGGGACGTAGCGCATGAAGTGAGTCGACGAAACGAAGTCCCTCTCCCGGACTCGATACTAACCGGCCGACCGTGGTGACGTAGGCAAATCGGAGTGATGACCATGGTGAACGGAGAAACCGCCTTCAACGCGTACGGCTACCAATCGTTCACGCGGATCCTTGGGATGGGCCACGACGAGGCCGAGAAGATCTGTAAGGATGCTGTCGAAGCCATGTCCAACCGGAACTACCATCTCTACTTCATGAAGTAAACCCCTCCCCCATCCCCCCAATCCAGTCCTCTCTTGCCGACGCGTGGACTAACCCTTTTGCAGCGATGTTGCGTATGGACGGAAGCCGAGGGAGGATGAATGTTAAGCCGTAGCCACGGTGGGAAAGACGCGTCACGTGTGCGAGGAGTGACGAGTGACGGCTGCCGACGCGGAGATATGTAGATGTCAATGAGCTCCGTAGTTAATCGATTCCAAATTACTATCCAGGGTTCCTCATGGAGTCACAGTGGTCCGTTCATCCTCATCCCACACATGCAGATCATACGTTGCGCCTTTTTTTATGATACAACAAGCTGCACAGTCTTCCACCTACCGATCCTAAAGTCCGAAGCTATGCCGGGTTGACGGAGCTCTACCGTCCTCCACTAAGATTAAAGTCCGAACCTCTGCCGCCATCTTATACTAATCCTGAAGTCCGAACCTCTGCCATGTTGACGGAGCTGCACCATCTTCCACTAATCTTAAAGTCCGAAGCTTTACCGGGGCACGATCAACGGAGCTCCAGCGCCCCGAGCCGGGATGCTGCCTCGCCGTCACCAATGCCGTAGCTTTATATCCGAATCCAGCCACTCGAGCCTGATCTTCCGATTCGGGATCCTACCCCGGGATCTACTCTAGGGTGCTACCGATCCTAAAGTCCGGACCTCTGCCGAGTTCACGGAGCTCCGCCGTCGTCCACCGATTTTCAAGTCCGAACATCTGCCGGATTGACGGAGCACCACCGCTCCGAGCCGGGATGCTGCCGTGTCGTCACCATTAGCTGTTCGCTATTATACCCGAATTCAGCCACTGAAGCCTACTCGTCCGATTGCGGACCGCGCCCCGAGATCTGCTGTATGGATGACGCACGATGGCTCATGCGCCAGCAGTGCGGGCTCGGACATGCCAGGATCTGGATAACGGGGTAATGCCTCACGCCTTGCGGACTTTACCACCATCACCACCACCAATATATTACGGCATTGATTCAAAGAGTCACCGGAACGCCCGGCAGGCTGCATCGGCGTACAATTCGCCCGGCTGCTGTTGGGCGGCCTTAACACCTCCCGTTACCTATATAACCCGTCAGTCTCCGCCCCCAAATCCCACTGCCCACACAATCAGATCATCAGATATCATCATCCACCATGTCCCCCAGCACCAGCACCACCTCTCCCTGTATCGCCATCATCGGCGGCGGCCCTAGCGGGCTCACGCTGGCGCGGATCCTGCACCTCCACAACATCCGCAGCGTGGTGTTCGAGCTCGACGCGTCCGAGTCGGCGCGGCAGCAAGGCGGCACTTTAGACCTGCACGCACACACGGGGCAGGCGGCGTTGCACGCCGCCGGGATCTACCCCCAGTTCGAGAAGGTCATGCGCTCCTCCGGCGAGGCGTTCCGTCTCGGCGACAATAAGGGCCGCCTCGTTATCGACCTCCCCGGCGATGGCACAAGAAACGAGCCAGAGGTCGATCGTGTCCAGTTAAGAAAGATCCTGCTGCAGGCGCTGCCCGAGCAGGCCGTTCACTGGGGCGCAAAGGTCACCGATGTCGTCCCCGCACCTGGCGGGAAGGGATGGGCTGTGGAGTATGCCGATGCGGACGGCGCCCCCAAGAGCGAGACTTTTGAGCTCGTGGTGGGCGCGGACGGCGCATGGTCGAAGGTGCGCCGGGTCCTGATGGATGCGCGGCCGCACTACTCGGGCGTCAGCGGCGTGGAGCTGTGTATTACCGCCGTGGACGAGCGGCAGCCGGAGCTCTCGAAACTGGTGGGCATGGGGAGCTACTTCTCGGTGCACAACGCCGCAGGGTTATTCGTGCAGCGCAACGGCGACGGGAATGTGCGCGTGTACGTGTATGGCTTGACGCCCGAGGAGTGGGAGGAGACCTGCGGCGTCGACTTCAATAACGCGGCCGAGGCGAAGGCCGCGGTGCTGGAGCAGTTCTTGGAGGAGTGGGATGATAAGCTGAAGGATCTGGTGCGGCTGGCGGACGATAAGGTCATCTCCCGCAAGCTGTTCATGCTCCCCGTTGGCATCCGCTGGGAGGGGAAGGAGGGCGTCACGTTGATGGGCGACGCCGCGCACCTCATGACGCCGTTTGCAGGCGTCGGTGTCAACGTCGCCATGTGGGATGCGATGACGCTCGGGGCGGCGATTGTGGAGCACGGGGAGCAGGGACTGGCGGAGGCGGTGAAAGCGTACGAGGCGAAGATGTTTCCGTTTGCGGAGGAGAACGCGAGGGAGACGTGGGTGAGCCTGGGAATCACCTTCAACGAGGACGGGCTGGAGAGCATCTTCCACAAGATGCAGAAGGAGATGAAGATTCGAGCTGCGAACCAGTAGATTAGACACGAAGATAGAGCGTCCGAAATGATTAGATAGAACAGATACGACTCCACTCATGTATGCCCAATGTAGACTATCATTGTACCCTGCGTGACCTATTATTTCTGCCGACAACAATATCTCCGTAATACGTGCATGTCTGTGGCCTCTTCTATACCATCTCCAGCAGAAAAAAAAAACGCGACTCCACCAATCTGCCTCCCAACTTCCCCATTGACGGCCTAGTTTCTCACACATAAGCTATCATTCGGACCATCAGCTGTCATTCTGAATAGATTTAATCAGGCCGAATGCAAAGATGATTGATAGAAACCAAAAAACAGGATAACACCATGGTCATGGCACAGGTATCCGACCCTGAATGGATGCTTTTGTTCTATAGGTTTTAGTCTGCAGTTTCCGTGGTTAGATTTGGGGGATTGGCGGTTACCGGCCTGTTGTCAACGAGTCGGGGTTCATTTGGAGACGTGGACGTGGCGGTTACGCCGGTCGTTTCCGGGATGGATGAGTCTACAACTCTTAACCGTGGATGTCAGGTGCCGACGGTGGGGCCTTTTACGACTATATTGGCTTTACCTCCTGGAACAGTTTGGTGTTGCCGGCTCACGCAGCAGTGGGTGAGCTATGTTCCAAGATTCACGAATTCAACTCAAGACCTACAGGAAGATCCCTCTTTCTCGATTGACGCAATGATACAACCCACTGCAAAAACAAAAGCATTCACGCAACGACCTCGGTCAACAGATTCTCCGGCCAAACCGGCCTATCCACGCCATTCCCGCGGGTGCCGACGTTGAAGCGCAGTTCGACCTCGCCACTGGGAAAGCACAGCACGGGCTTCGGCGTTCTCAGCTTCACGCCTATCGCCTTGCTCTCGCGCTCCTCGAAGAAGCCGGGCGTCATGAGAGGGCTCTTCAGGATCATGCCGATGTACACCGGCAGGGACTGGAGCATATTCTGGTCGTGGCGGAAGACGACGTGGCCATTGCGGTCCCAGACGTCCTGGAACACGTCCGTGGGATACTCGCCGCAACTGTTAATCAGCCATTGGGAATAGTAGTTGAGCGCGATCTAAGCAGAGCAGGTGCTTGGTTAGCAGGTGGCTCGTTCGTGTGGTTTCACGGTTCGGATGCGCGGGCTTACGTCGACTACATATGAACCGCCCTTTGAGCCGCGCTCGATCAGTGCTTGAAGCACGCCTGTGGCGCCGGAGGCTCCGGTGCAGTAATCCGAGTTCGGGAATACGGGCGTGACTGGCTCGTCGTTGCCCATGGCTCTTCCGAAACCTAGGGAAACACCACAGCACTGGTTGAAACTCGGATCAGCATGGGTCGGCGTGACAGCGGGGCATACCGTACTGCATCGCTGATCTGCTGCCACCCCGAGCGTCCAGCCCAAGGCCCCTGCCATCCATAGCAATTCTCACGGGCATATATGATGCCCTTCTCCGAGTTCTCCCTCATATTTAGGATGTCGTCTTTGCCAAAGCCCCACTTCTGCATGACCCCTGGCCGATACCCGTCCAGCACGACGTCGGCATCCATGATCAGTGCTCGCAGCTTTTCCTTGTCCGCTTCCTCCCGTAGATCCAATTCGGCCTCCCACTTCCCCCAGTTCAGATCGGGGAACAGCGCACTCATGTCGGTGATGTGCGGCGCAGTGATCCTCATGACGCTGGCACCCAGCTCCGCCAGCTCCCTCGTCACAGACGGCGCGGCAATCACGCGCGCAAGCTCCACCACCTTGAGCCCGAACAGGGGTCTCTTCGGGTCCGCGCCTGCCGGAGCCGGCCACCATGCGGGCGGTTGCTCGGGATTGGCATGATGATGAAGCTCGTACAATCCAACGTGGGCATTCGCCCTTCCGTGCTCGGAAGCCAAGTATTCCTCAGCACTGTAGCAGATCGTGCCCGCCTGGCGGTTTTTCCCGTTCATGAGCTCGTCGATCTCCGCCGCCGCCAACTCCGCGACCTTCACAGCGTAGGGCTTCACGGCATCGGCCGGCGAGGCAGGCTCTGGGTCCACGCATGCGGAGATTCCAAGCGCGCCCTGCGTCGGCTCTGGGTTCATGCTGCCGTGTATGTGGTAGAACCGGTTATCGCGCGTGCGGTAGATGTTGGTTGCCGCGCGGCGGTGCCAGTCGTGGAGGGAATTGTGGATATCTCTGTTCGGGAAGTAGCGTTCGGCGCCGGAGGAACCGATTTTATTGCGGTCTACGGGCGCGCTGACAGACGGGTCCAGGATTTGCGTGAGAGCTATGGACATGATGAAGAGTTGTGCATGGTCGCTTCGACGTCCCTGTTAGCGGCGAACGACGGTATCTCACATGCAAAGCAGCAGACACTGGTGGGAGAGGATTACGTGTTGATCGTGATCCGCGGGTACTCTTCCAATCCGTGCTTCCGTTTGAGAAGCACGTTTAACATCGCACCCTGGAATCCCTTGATAGCTGATATGCTCTCGGCAAAGCGCCAGTTGATTGGGATCGACGGCAAGGCCGTACCTTCGAACGAGATACTTTGTGCTGCGTTGGCAAGCTCCGCGGGCGCATCGCTGTGGAGCGGGTTGCCGATGATACCGTCGTGGAGTAGCTTCGCTGCCTCTGCGGGGATCGAGTAGTTCACGTCCGACATGTTTCCTAGCAGTTTTCAGATTCGGTTTGAACAGAGGAGAGGATTATCGGTACGGACCGCGAGGCGAGTGGACAGGTATTGGCGAACACGGACGAAAGCGGATGAACCACAGATTACAGCCAATATATATGTTCTCCATCCTGCAGGCTGCACATAGCTGACAGGGCCCCAGTCGGGAATCGCATTTGCGGGGTCTGCACGAAGCAAAGTGAGGTGGGGAAAGCAGCAGGAGAGGATTACTTTAGCAGGGCTGACGTATTCTGCAGACGCAATCGTCGATCGGACATCGTGATGCGGGGACCCTTGCATTGTGCAAGGCGGAAGCGGCACCATCCTGACAGTGGGCGGGTAGGTCCTGCGTTGCATGGCCTAGAGTCTTTTGGGCTCAGTAAATTTTAAATGAAGAAAAAAAAAAGTACAGTGCCACAGTATTCATGGGGCATCTGTACTGGGGATATCCTTTCTGCAGATGTGTTACCATTTCACCTGATACTACCTATTCACCACAAATTTTCCAAGACAGAGTTGATGCACTGCCACACCGCGAGAACCAACATCATCACTGACGATGAGCAAGTCACTCTCCCCAATGAAACCGTCGTCTCCCCTGGCAGGACGGATGTGAGCAAAGACACCGTCAGATGGTAGGTATCTGGTTGGACAGAAAACTCACCTTCCACCACCACCACGTCAAACTCAAGGCGGCCAGAGTTATGTGAGCAATGCGAGCCATCCAACGGCTTGCCAACTGCAAAAGAGGCCTCACCCCCAGAGCAGTCTCATAACTCTACAACGCCTGTGTCATAGCTGTGAGCAATTTTGGATTGGAAATCAGGTGGAACCACCAGAAAGGATTCACCAACAAACTCGAAACCATCTTGAACTTAGCACTTATGAAAATCCCAGGAAGATTCAGGACAACACCAGTAAAGGCACTGCAAAGTGAAGCAGCACTGCGACTACTTCACCTCCGCTTATGTGAGACTGAAAAGGTTTCGGGACGTCAGAGTCTTCGTAGAAATCGAGTACAGAATAAAACCCAGGTATTTCCATAATTCACAGCGGAATATTCTTGAGGGGTATTGTCAGTGGGGTTCTGTGAGACTGGGACGGGTTTGTGTCGTCGGAGTCTATAGTAAAATCGAGGATAGAATAAAAGTCAGGGATTTCGATGATTCACAACGGAATAATCTTAAGGGTGTTTGTTCGATGGTTTGTTCGGTGCGATCATTGTAGTTTGTTCGGTTGCCCGCTCGGTTCGACTTATAGTCGTCCCGATCCTCAGCACGTGATTCCTCTAGAGTGCGGCCTAACGTAGCTCCGTTGCTTCCTTTGCATCGGAGTTCCGCGGCCTAGCCTTGAGTCGTCGTCAGCTCTCTTCGGATAGTCGTCTCGACTAGGCAGGTGGTAAACACCACGCGCCCAAGATAGATCGGAGTTTCCGAGCAATTATCTCCCTCATGCGCCGGCAGAGTTCTTCGCTCGAAGTTGTCTGCCCCCATCGGTCGATGTTCGATTCTCTCGTCATAACAGTTTTTCCCTGGATCGGAGTTCCTACTGCGGGGCCCTATGATCGGAGATCTCAAAGTCCTCTGGACTGTTATCCCGATCTCCCGCATCTCCGATCACTGTCTAGACTCTGGAATCCGTTTGCTCCCTCCTTCCTATCTTGTCCTTGATCGCTTCTAACTATCCTTTCGGCTCGCAACTCTATTCTAATCACCCGAACTATCTAATCACATCTCTTGCGACCGTCGTGACCTCCGATACCTATCGGGGTGTCACACCATCTCCCCTCCCACGAGGCTTCGGCCCGAAGCACCCAAGTCCTCGCCTTTATCCTAACTTGATAACTGTGGATGAAGTCCTCCAACCCCTTCATCCTACTACCTGCCCGAGTTCGAGAAAAACCACATGGGAAAAAACTCTTACTCATCTGTGAGCCGGTAGTCCCTCGGCGCACCGGGATTTTTGCGATGAAACTCGCGTAGCTTTTCCCGACCGCCTACTGAGAAGTTGTCGAATGGCTCGTTCGTCCAGTCCCGTCGTTCGGGGTAGTTGAGCCATTTCACAAGGTAGAGCAATCGTCGACATTTCTTGGAGCTGCCCATAACCTCATCGACGTCGTATTCTTCGTTGCCTTCCACATCATCGGCCTCTCGTAAGATTTGAGAGGGATCCGGTGGTGCTCGGGTGCCGGCTCGGAACGGTTCAACGAGCGAGACGTGAAAGACATTATGAATCTTCCAATTCCTTGGCAGAGTGAGCTTGACAGCGAGCGGCGATACGATCTTCTCGATTTGGAAGGGACCATGGTTCTTGTGGTCCAACTTCCGCGAGGGTCGGCGGGTTTGAATGTTCCGCCCATTGAGCATTACCAAGTCTCCTACTGTGACACCCCGATAGGTATCGGAGGTCACGACGGTCGCAAGAGATGTGATTAGATAGTTCGGGTGATTAGAATAGAGTTGCGAGCCGAAAGGATAGTTAGAAGCGATCAAGGACAAGATAGGAAGGAGGGAGCAAACGGATTCCAGAGTCTAGACAGTGATCGGAGATGCGGGAGATCGGGATAACAGTCCAGAGGACTTTGAGATCTCCGATCATAGGGCCCCGCAGTAGGAACTCCGATCCAGGAAAAAACTGTTATGACGAGAGAATCGAACATCGACCGATGGGGGCAGACAACTTCGAGCGAAGAACTCTGCCGGCGCATGAGGGAGATAATTGCTCGGAAACTCCGATCTATCTTGGGCGCGTGGTGTTTACCACCTGCCTAGTCGAGAAGACTATCCGACGAGAGCTGACGACGACTCAAGGCTAGGCCGCGGAACTCCGATGCAAAGGAAGCAACGGAGCTACGTTAGGCCGCACTCTAGAGGAATCACGTGCTGAGGATCGGGACGACTATAAGTCGAACCGAGCGGGCAACCGAACAAACTACAATCATCGCACCGAACAAACCATCGAACACACACCCTTAAGATTATTCCGTTGTGAATTATCGAAATCCCTGACTTTTATTCTATCCTCGATATTACCATAGACTCCGACGACACAAACCCGTCCCAGTCTCACACTATAATCTTAAGGTTACAGTCACCGATTTCTATCGATATGTCCTCCTCAAACCTCGACATGCTCCGCCTCGAACTTCCTCAGACCCTGAGCAATGCGCTCGTTAGCATCCCGCAAGCATCCGAAACCGTCGAAGTACGAAACCCGGCAGCCTGGCTCAGGCTGATGAACCACCAATACCAAACGGCACAAAGAGACCTGCGCCAGCTTTACCAAGCATGCGATCAGAAGTTCAACGAAGAGGACTCCCGAATGCAGGAAATCAGAAGGAACTACGAACAACTCTGCGATGGGGTCAAGTATGTGTACAACCTCTACGCTCACAATGCCGAAATGAATACAGAATGGCTTCGAACCGAGCTGTCAACGGTAGCGAACGCGACGCACGCCCTGAGCAGCGACGTATGGGCAGTCATTCGAGAACGTAACCAGAAAGACGAAGACAACCGCGAGTTGCAAAGCGTCGCAAACGCTCGGCTACAAGACGCCATCGTGTTCCTCGAAACGGCGCAAGTCGAACAACGCAGGGAGCAAGCGGTGTACAACCGCAACGTGGAAATTTGGGCAGGGAAACAGGAAGAGAAGGCAGAATACCTCTACAAGGAGCAACAGCGAATCAAGGAAAAAATCGCTCGAGCAGAGAAAAAATTGAAGGCTGTAGAGGTAAGGACAGGGAAGGCGAAGGAAAAGGCCCCAGAGTGGGTAAACACTACCCCAAGAGGAGGATCGCGGGCAGAAAGGTCAGCAACAAGGGAAACTCCGGCAGGTGCAGGAATGTCCCCTCCTCCTCCACCCCCAAGACGTCCGGTGACTAACCTTGGAGGTGATCCCTCGGATGAGGAACCATCGGATGATGACGATTCCATCCCCTTGCCGCGTCGTTCGCCGCCCCGTCACCGACACGTTCCGCTACCAAGAGAAGACGACGAAGACGAAGAGAGTCGCTTCGCTCGGATCATCGCTGCTGCCGTCTCCGCATCGAACCCGAGGGCCATCAAGCTTAAAATGAAAGAGCCCAAGCCGTTCGATGGCAAGCAAAGAACAGCCTTCCGTCCATGGTGGGACTCAGTTGAAGAATATCTTGAGTTCCACCCAGAGACAAACGAGCAGCAGAAGATAGCGTGGGTGGGATCCCGACTGGAAGGGACAGCGGCAGAATGGCATCAGGCCCGTCGAAAAAGCCTGAGACAGCTACACTTGGAAGATACCTGGCAGGCGTACCAAGAGGCACTCAAGGAGGCGTACCGCGACACGCAGGAAGGAGCGAATGCATTAAGAAGGATGTGGGCCCTCGAATACAAAGGAGATATCCAGGCTTACATGACGTCCTTCCGATCGCTCTACATGATCGCTCGCGCCACCAGCGAACCGCTACGAGACATAGTCAACCAGGCCATGACCACCGACATCGTCGACATGTGCTTCAACCAGCACACCGAACCCTACGAAGACGATGAAGACTTCCTGGAAACGGTGCTCAGGGCTGGTAACCATGTGGAACGACGGGACGCGCTGAAAAAGGCAAGGGCAATGAGGAAAGGGGGATCGGGTAGCCAGGGTTCCGGCGACTGGAAGGGACCTGGCAACGGCCGGCAGGGCCAAGGAAAGGGCAGAGACCCCGGGGGCCGCAAGGAAAGCGGGGAGTCGCCGGAGGGCCGAAAGGCCAAGGAAGCAACAGGAGTCCGGAAGGGAAGGACAAGGGAAGGGGACATCTACGCAGGAGCAAAGGAGGCTCTGGTAGGGGTTCCCCAGAAGGAGATCGATGCCCACAAAGCATCCAAGTGCGACTGTTGGCGTTGCGGACGAGACGGCCACCGAACCTTCCAATGCTACGCCAGCAAAACAGTCGCGGGTACCGAACTCCCCGAAAGTCCAAAGGTGTCATCCGTGACAAAGAGAAAGCGGGACACCCAGGATGCCGA